AATCAATATATATATATATATATATTTAAATTTTTTATAATACTTTCAAATTTATATTTTATTAAAAAAATAAAAATATTATCGTTTTTCGATATCACATAAAATTATATTATAATATCGATAGAGACAAAATAAAATAAAACATTAAAATCAAGATACATCTCGTTATATCACGTGAATACTCTTATGATGTATATATATATAAAATACTAAACACCAAATTAATGATATAAAAGGGGCGGATGAATTTGGCATGGGTTTGTCCGTCAATACCAGAAACACATTGCTTTGTCATCTTCTCTTCTCACGTTTATATCAAGCATTTCATTTTCAGGATTTTGGGGACATCAATTACCAAAAAAGCTTTTTCACCACCATTAAGACATGTTTTTAGATCTCTCTTTATTCTAAAGATTTTGATTTGGGTATTTGGTTTTGGAGGTGGGTGTGGCGGAGAATAAAAAGCTTCGCATCCCAATCTTGACATAAAACCCTCTTACAAATACAAATCAGAAGAGGACGACATTAACGAGAGAGAGAAGCTTTTTCCCATAAGCACCCTCTTCTTCTCTCTCGCCATGATGTCCTTGAACGCTTCTTCCTCTTTTCTGGTAATTTCAATCTCAATCTCAATTTTGGTTTTGATTTCTGGAGTTGAATCGGGTTAATATGAAGCTTGGATCATGATTTTGTTACGCATTTGTTGTTGATTTGATTTGATTTGATTTGATTTGATTTTGTAGAAGAACTCCTTTTCTGGAGCTTCGAGGACGCAATCACAGTCGCTGAGTTTACCGGCGAGTTGTCATCGTCGTGTGATGGTGGTGGCTATGGTGAACTCTAATGGTCGCCCGGAGAGAAACGTCAGCGTTTCGGTGGATAGTGTTGTTAAGGAGGTGAATGGTCCGGTGGCGGTTGAAGTGGTGGAGTCTGATTCTAAAAAACCGACGGCGGTGGGTGTCGGTGGTGGGGTTGAAGACGTGTACGGCGAGGATAGTGCCACCGAAGATCATTTCATTACTCCATGGTCTGTTTCTGTCGCTAGGTAACTACAGATCCTGATCTCGATCTTCATTCATTTTCTAATTCTCATCAAATACCAAAAGAAATCGATGATTTTTATGCTGTTTTCGTTCTTCCATTTCATGCACTTCAAATAATTTTTTATATTTTATTTATAATTTATATAGTAATGATTAGATACACACATATGTATACACACACAGAGTGTCTGGTTTAAGCAAAAACCGCAAAAAATGAAAAACTAAGGAACACCATGTAACCAGATAAGATGCACATGTGCATGTAAGTAACTTTTAAGCAATTTGTCCGGTATGCACACTTGCATTTGCATACCAACCAAAAACAGCTTCAGACGAACGATGACCTGTCCAGATGAACGGTTACCAGGGTGTTTCTTAGTTCTTTTTTTTTTCGGTTTTCCCTGCAAATAAAATCGAAGGGGATGTTGTATATTTCTGTAGGAGTTTTCTCTAATATAGTAAAAGGAGGACCCTTTATTTGGATAAAACAAAGGGTAGGGTTCAATCATCCAGGTTGTTTTTTGGGCTTGGTTCTATAATGAAAGTTTCGAATTTTAGTATTTTTTTGGCATATCGAGAGCTTTCCCGTAGTCAATTTCTTGCTGAGAATTTTGGTGTTCACCATGTCAAATGTTGTTTGCTTTTTGGCCTTTAGTGATTTCCGATGTTTTTATAGCATGATATTTGTCTTATAGTTATTGTATGATTTATATCCAACTGTTTACTAACACTCTCGCACTACCCCGGGGGGGGGGGGGTTCTTCATAGAAACGGTCGCTCAACTCTTTTGTGTAATGTGGGCTCAACTCTATTGTTTACAAAAAGATGGGTTCATTTTTTGGTTTGACGGAATGTTTTTGAGGGATTTGGATTTCATGGAAGGATTTGGAATCTTTGGCGTATTTGGTTTGTAGGATTTCAATTGGAATTTAATTTTTTGTAAATAATTTGTTTGTTTCGGTAAGAAGTGGAGGCAATTGAGAGATTACGACAAATTTGATGAAAGAGACGGGGCAGAGATACGATGGAAACAATTAAAATCCATGGGATTTGGATTTGAAATGACAGCCATCTCCACAGATTTAAAATCCGTTGTTTATGGGATTTCAAATCCAAACTTCCCTTCAAACCAAACACAAGATTGGAATGAAGTTTAATTCCAAATCCACCAAATTCCGCAAACGAAACATAGAAAAAGGGCGAGAGTTGGGCTTTGTTTCGTGAGTTGGTCAAAGAAAAGGAGGACCGTTTATTTGGATAAAACAAACGGTAGGGTTCGATCATCCAGGCTGTTTCTTTGGCTCGATTCAATGGTGAAAATTTTGAATTATAGTATTTGGCATATTGAGAGCTTTCCTGTAGTCAATTTCTTTTTGAGAATTTTAATGTTCATCATCTCAAATGTTGTTCGTTTTTGGCCTTTAGTGCTTTCCGATGTTTTTTAGTTATAACTTATATGAATGACTTTTCTTCTCTCTTTTTTGTAGTGGGTACTCGTTGTTACGAGACCCACATCACAACAAAGGTCTGGCCTTTACTGTGAAGGAGCGAGATGCCCATTACTTACGTGGTCTTCTTCCTCCCGTTGTTGTCAATCAAGATCTTCAGGTATATATATATATATACATGTTTGCATTTGTTTCAGTGTTTTGATAATAATTAATCTACCGATACCTAGATAAGATTCAAGCCACGGGTCTTTACTAGAGCTTATCATTTGCGGGTTTGGGCCGGGCCTAACCTATTTTTTGTCCAACGGGCCTAATATGGCAAACCCAAGCCCTTTTTTACGGGCTTGAAAACTTACCCATACCTGCCCTATAAATAGGCTGGGCTTGCCCACAGGCTAACGGGACTAAATATAGAAAAAAATTGTTTTGCAAAATACGGAGTATCGATAAAGGAAATGACCAAATGAGATAATAAGGAATTGATCAATTGAGGTAATTATGTTTTTACTTTTTAGATTTTAAAAGAGTGTTATTATCATGAGTCATAATTAAGTGGGAATTGATAAGTATCAAGAAATTTTCAGTTTTATTTGTAAATTTTAATTACTATACAACTATTAACGGGCCGGACGGCCCTGCTCAATTTTCTTCCATCGCCCATGCCCGCCCATTAATTTTAGCAAGTCAGCCCGGGCCCGTCCATTTCTTCGAGAATGGTAATCCTAGTCCACTTTTTTAGCGGGCCGGACAGGGCGGGTCAAGTGGGTTGTGCCGCCCGTGAACAACTCTAGTCTTCACACAAACAATCGCTCTAATCTTTGAGGTAGAGGTCAAGTTTGCTTACAACTTACCCCTCCCAGACCTCAAAGTGGGATATACTGGTTTCGTTTGGTTTACCTGGAAAAAAAAGATTCAAATTTTGTAATGATGTCAATAATCAGGTAAAAAAGATGATGCACAATATGCGCCAATATCAAGTCCCTCTGCAACGGTACCAAGCCATGATGGATCTTCAGGTAAATCTTGATTGCTAATTACATAATCTTTATAGGGTCTATCATTTTTCGACTTATAGTATGCGGTTTTTCTAAAGTTTTTGCATCTTTCGGGATTTGTAGGAGAGAAACGAGAGGTTATTCTACAAGCTACTTATTGAAAATGTTGAGGAACTCTTACCAATTGTATATACTCCGACCGTTGGTGAAGCTTGCCAAAAATACGGGAGCATCTTCAAGACCCCACAGGGTCTATTTATCAGTTTAAATGATAAGTAAGTTCCTAATCCCGTTGTAATTGTGGTGTCCGGGCTAGCTTGCACGCATAGAGGCAGACTTGGGGCCTGTTTATTAGCAGCTTAATGGGTCTCACAGCTTATTCTGTCAGCTATACATGACTGGTTGGTTGTGGCTTAATTATATACAAAGTGGCTTATCAGTAAGGGGGAACTTTATACAAAAAGCCAAGTTTTTTTCGAACTTACCCCTCCCAATTAAAAACATGCTCCTTCCATCAATGAAAAAAGCATCCCACACAAAAAATCATTCCAATCTATATAGATTGATTAATCCACACCAGACAAATTTATCCATAGAGGACTTAATGGAAAACCAACCACACAACCTCTTAGATTTTTTTTTTCAAGTGGTGTTACTATTTGACTATAAGAACCGAAGCTATGGATATTTTTTTTATAAAGTCATAATTAGTTTGATGGTTAGTTCCTTGCTTTTCGTAGGTGAGGTCATGTGTTTTGAGTCTTTTGTCGCAAAAAAATTCAGAAACATAATAAACATGAAATTAAAAGTTAAAAACTAAGAAAATGATGCAAACATGGTTCAAACCCGTGCCTAGAACGGGAGAAAAGCCGTGCAAACGAACTCTGCCAAGAGAAAACTTGTGTTTTCATTGTAGTTTCAAAATGTATATTCTTGCACCAAACAAAATAATACGGTGACACCTTTCATGACCCTAAAATTATTTACACTACGATGGATCAACGTAGCGGTGGTCCGTGCCACCGTATGCACCATAGTGGGTCCTCCAATGTGCACACATCTTGACTAAGCCCATGGGGTCCTGAAGATAACAATCAGGAAAAATCTTCAGTGGCCCTAAACTCAAACCGGCGACCTTTATTTTCCCGTTGAGCTGGCCCTCACCATTTTTCAGTTACTTCTTTGTGTATACATAAAAATCCATTGTGAGCTAATAATTATATATATGTTCATAGGGGGAAGATCCTCGAGATTTTAAAGAATTGGCCTCAAAAAAAGATTCAAGTTATAGTGGTCACGGATGGTGAGCGAATCTTAGGGCTAGGAGACCTTGGCTGCCAGGTAAATCGTTTCTTTTTCTTTAACTTGTTCTTTGTACTACAACTAAAACCGAGGGTGTGTTTGGTACGATGGACAACACGGGATAGGACAGAACAACAGCATTTTGTTCCACATTTGGTTGACTTTTAAACCGGGCCGTACGGGACTGATTGGAACAAAAATGCATTTTTTTGTCCCACCAAAAGAGGTGGAACAAAAATCGAGGAGATAATGACAAGATTGGTAAATTACTTAACTACCCTTGTGAAACTAAAACCCTAAAACCTTCCGCGATTCTTTTACCCGCCCGTTTAGTCCTGTCCATGTACCGAACGCACCCAAGTGGCATCCCGGATTGGATAGTTAATCTTTCTGTTTTGCAACGGTTATTTTGGTTCTTTTGTGTGATAAGCTTGTTCTTAGAGCTGAAGTAATCTTGATGATGACTTATTTATAATTTTTTTGCTTATTTAAATATATATACTCAACAGGGAATGGGGATACCTGTAGGAAAGCTCTCTCTTTATACAGCTCTTGGAGGAATTCGTCCTTCAGCCGTAAGTATTTCCAAGAATAGGACTATTATTAAGCTCGAGCTCGAGATAAACAAGCTTGAACTCAAGTAGCTTATTAGAAGCTTGACTCGTTTGAACCCCTAGTTACATGCTTGCATTTGTGATTTTTGGTGCTGCATTTGTGTTGCTTACTTTTCATATATGTCTCTCTCTTTCACACACTTTTCACAAGCTGGGGGTCTTCATGGGAATAGCCGCTCTACTCTTTGGGGTAGATGTCAAGTCTGCGTACATCTTACCCTCCCTAGACCAAACCTCTAGGTGGGATATATTGGGCTCGTTTGGTTTGGTTTGGTTTGGTTTAGTGCTAGACTTCTAGAAGGTCTGATATGAACCCGTGAGAACATAAATGTTCTTTTAGAAGTTCCTATTATTGTGTTTTCATATGCTTGCTTGCTTCTTATCTTTTTGCCAACACATAGAGAATAATAACATTAATATAATATCGTAAATATATATAGTGTTTGCCAATAACCATTGATGTGGGCACGAACAATGAGAAGATGTTGAATGACGAATTCTACATTGGTCTGAGGCGAAGGAGAGCAAGTGGGCAGGTTAGCTATTTTGTGCAGTCTTAATTGCACTATTATGCCTCCATTCACATATATTCATTATGAATATATTGATTATTGAGTCCTTTTCTCTGTTTTGCCAGGAGTATGCTGAGCTTATGAATGAGTTCATGTCTGCCGTCAAGCAAAATTATGGGGAGAAGGTCCTCGTTCAGGTTTGCAACTTCTCTTGTGTTTCAAGCTCGTCTATTTTAAATTTCAAGTTTAGAAGTAATATTGATAAACACGTTCAAATACATTGTACCAAATTGTACTAAGAAAACAAAATACCCCATCACCATCTTTATCCGCAAAAAAGTGAATTCAATAAATTGTACCAAAAAAGAGAATTTGATAATCTTTAATTTGACACCAATATCAATATTTTAGGGTTTTTTACCGGGTTTTTAAATTAGCAAGACATGTTCAACCATCACTTGTAATTTCTGTTCTATTCAAACATTGATTTTGGATTTTTTAATGGGAAATTGTATTAATTTTCCATTCTCGATTTAAAATAAATCTTGTTGCATCTCATGGGTCCTCATCAAATCTTTTGATTGTCGGTTTGCAGTTCGAAGATTTTGCTAACCACAACGCCTTTGATCTTCTTGCAAAGTATAGCACTACCCATCTTGTTTTTAACGATGATATACAGGTAGTAAGAATGGAATATTAACATTCAAATTTTTTACTTGCTTTATGTAACATCCCATTTTTTAAGCATTGTAAATATTTTTGTTGAGTATACATATATATAGGGTCTTCAGGGGAAAACTGTAAAAAAATGAAAAACTGGGGAACATCCTGCTAACCGTTCATCACGACGGTATGCACATGTGCATACAAGTAATTGATGTTGCTTTTTGGTTTTTATGCACGTGTGCATGTTATGCACATGTGCATACCGTCGTGATGAACGATTACCAGGGTGTTCCTTAGTTTCTCATTTTTTCGGTTTTCCCCTGAACCTAACCATATATATATACTCAACAAAACATATGTTTGCAGTGCTTAAAAAATGGATGTTACACTTTACTTCTTAATCCCCTTCTTAACGGTTTTGTTATTTTGTTTTAGGGGACGGCATCGGTGGTACTCGCAGGGCTTATTTCTGCACTGAAATTAGTTGGTGGATCCTTGGCGGACCATAGATTTCTATTCCTTGGAGCTGGAGAGGTTAACAATTTATCTATCGGGCATTTCTTGATTTGTTACTTTTCTACTTTCTTTTTTCCTTTTTTCGTCTTAATTTTAGCGGTGGTTTATGCAGGCTGGCACGGGCATTGCTGAACTCATAGCTCTTGAGATATCAAAACAGGTTAGTAAAAACATCTACGTCTTAGCCTACGTTTGGTAAGCGGGATGTTATAGGACTTGAGTGGGACAAAAATGTGTTTTTTTATGTGCCAACAAAATAGGTGGAATAAAAATCAGGGAGGTGAGACGTGATTGGTAAATTGCTAAATTACCTTAGACGTGATTGGTTTGATTGAATGTCTTTGAGGGACTTGGATTTCGTGGAAGGATTTGGAGTTGGAGGGATTTCAAATCTTTGGTGTGTTTGGTTTGTAGGATTTGGAGTGGGATTGAATTCGATTTTTTATAAATAATTTATAAGACCAAATTATAAAGATGATTAAATTACGTTTTTCATTAATTGATTATTATAAAACAAATGTTTTCGACATATTTTATAACATCATTACACACAAATCCTACGAAATCCCACGAAATACCAACAACCCCCATGGGATTTCTAAATCCCATGCTTGTGGGATTTCAATGGAACCTTGGGATTTCAGATCAAAACTATCCTTCAAACCAAACATGGTATTGGAATGGAATTGAATTCCAAATCCCTCCAATCCTACAAACCAAACATGGTATTGGAATGGAATTGAATTCCAAATCCCTCCAATCCTACAAACCAAACGGGGTCCGGTGTGTTCGGTTTGTAGGATTTGGAATGGAATTGAATTCCATTCTTTATAAATAATTTATAAAAACAAATCATAAAAAATTATAAAAATAGTTAAATTATTTTTTTATTATTTGATTATTACAAAAAATAAAGTGTTTTTAATAAATGTTAAAACATTATTACAAACAAATCTGTATGAAATCCCGTAAAATACCAACTCCTCCCCATGGGATTTCCAAGTCCCATGTTAAATCCAAGCATTTCTTCAAACCAAATTGGAGAAATCCCTCCAAAAACATTATTATAACCATAATTCTGGTTAAAATTACAATGATAGAACAATGATATTAATTAATTAAACTAATATTTAAAACCAATCTTGCAGACAAACGCTCCATTAGAAGAGACCCGCAAGAAGGTTTGGCTTGTGGACTCGAAGGTAATGAATATGAAAAGATGGCATCTTTTTTTCCCTTCTTACCCTTTTCCTTGCGTAACCATAATCCCACCTTTTCACCACATAATTTTGTAGGGTCTGATCGTTAGATCCCGCCTAGATTCACTCCAGCATTTCAAGAAGCCGTGGGCCCATGAGCACGAACCTGTTAACGAATTCTTGGAAGCTGTCAAGGTCTGAAATCTGTGTTTTTTTTTTCTCTCGTGTGCCATATGTCATTTGTATTTAAAACAAATGAACGGTGGTGATTGTATCAGGCAATCAGGCCAACGGTGTTGATTGGATCATCAGGAGCAGGACAGACGTTTACTAAAGAAGTTGTTGAAGCGATGGCGTCTTTTAATGAGGTAATTTGTTTCTATCTATGCATTTACCTGACCGTCTATTATACTCATTTACGAGTGGCTTTTGCAGAAACCTATTATTCTCGCTCTTTCTAACCCAACTTCACAATCGGAATGTACTGCTGAACAAGCTTATACGTGGAGTGAGGTATGACTCTTATCCTTTACCGACATTCCCAGAAAATAATAATCGAAATTTGACATCTTTATAAGCTAGCTTATCTTTTTGATCTTATTGAAAAAGCCCGGTTTTGGTTACTCATAAGCTTATAAGTTACATTTTTGAAGTGTTGCTTCAAGTAGCTTTTCAATAAGCTCTAGGGGTTTTTATACCAGTTATGCCCCTTATATTTTTCCAATTAATTTTTCAACATGTTCTTTTAGGTCATTTTACATTGTCATCTAGCTTATTAGGTAGTTCCTTATAAGAGTAAATTACGTTTTTCGTCCCTGTGGTTTGTTAAAATCGCGATTTTCGTTACTGTGGTTGAGAAATTACGTTTTTTGTTCCTATAGTTTGTAATTCATTTAGTTTTGGTCCCTGTAATTTATAATTATTTACTGCTTTGGCCCCTTGTATTTAAAGGTAGGAATTTAGTACAGGAACGAAAATAGCAATAAATTGCAAACCATAGGGACTAAAATCGCAATTTCTAAACCACGGGGACGAAAATGGAAATCATTAACAAACCACAAGGACAAAAATGGAAATTATTAACAAACCACAAGGACAAAAATCATACTTTATTCTTTTCTTTTATTATCAAACATGACTAGTTAATCAGTTGACAACTAGCTTAATTTTCGATCTTATTGAAAAAGGCTTGTTTGGTTAATCATAAGCTTATAAGCTAGCTTTTTGTGCTTCAGGGTTTTTTCCACTTTTTCTATTTATTCCCCTTGTATTTTTTCAACTTAGTTTTAAACATGTCTTTTTAGGTCATTTTACGTTGTCATCTACCTTATTAGGTAGTTCTTTATTATCAAAGAGGACTAGTTTATCCGCTGATAACTAGGTTATTTTTTGTTGTATTGAAAAAGTATTGTTTGGTTAATCATAAGCTTATAATATAGCTTTTTGTGCTCTAGGGTTTTTTTCCCACTTCCAATTATGCCCCTTATACTTTTATAATTAATTTTCAACATTGTCCTTTAAGGTCATTTTACATTGTCGTCTAGTTTCTTTTGCAGTTTTTATCAAACATGACTAGTTTTTTAGCTAACAACTAGCTTATTACCGAATGACAATGCATATTTGCATAAGATAGGGGTCTTTATGGAAACATTACCTCTACTCTTCGAGGTAGAGGTCAGTCTTTGTACATCACAGAGAGAGAGGGGGAGGGGGGGAGAGGAAGGTTCCAGGGAACCCCTCCCAAAAAAAATGAAAAACTGAGGAACATTTTGATAACCATTCAACTGGAAGGTATGCATATTGTGCATACAAGTGATTGAAGTTGTTTCTTGGTTTTTTTGCACGTGTGCATGTTATGCAGATGTGCATACCAGACAAATTGCTTATAAATTATTTTTATGCACATGTGCATACCATCCAGATGAATTGGTTACCACGGTGTTCCTTAGTTTTTCAATTTTTTGCGGTTTTCCTCTGAATCTGATCCTATGTGTGTGTGTGTGTATTTATATTTGCTTCATTGATCACAGGGTCGTGCCATCTTTGCCAGCGGGAGTCCATTTCCCCCTGTTGAATACAACGGAAAAGTCTACGTATCTGGCCAGGTCTCAACTTCTTGAACCTTAAAATTAGTTCCCGTCTTTAGTTTTCAAACGATCATATTATGAAAATTTGATTATCGTTCCACCATTTTTCAGTCCAACAATGCATACATATTCCCTGGATTTGGTCTCGGCTTGATAATTTCTGGTGCAATCCGTGTTCATGATGACATGCTTTTAGCAGCCTGTAAGTTCAGTCTCGATTCTCTTGTTTGTCGTTGTTAAGAGGGTATTTTAGTCATTTCCTCAAATAGTGAAACATTCTGTTTATATGTAACATAATGTTCGTTTTTTTATGTATTGGATGGAACAGCCGAGGCTCTGGCTGAACAGGTTACACAGGAGCATTTTGACAACGGGCTAATATATCCACCGTTCACCAACATTCGCAAGATTTCCGCTCATATTGCAGCGAAGGTGGCAGCAAAAGCATATGAACTTGGTGAGACCTCTCTTCAGCTCGAATTTTATACCCCTTAGGGGTTGTTTACCTTTTTTTCCCATGAAGCCATATATTGGTTAAGTTGTCTATCAGGATAAATTTGTTTGTTCGAGTGACAGGGACCGATGGGTTTGAGGGAGACAAAGAGGGTTGGATTATATCCGCCGCATTTCTGGTATTAGTTTGTTAGAGGTGGCTTAATGAGAACAAGTGAGGGGACCTGGTTTATTCTTTGTAGCCTTTTTGGCTTAATGATTAAGCCATAAAGAAACACTCCTGAATGACCGAGTGAATAAACTGCCCAGACCATTAAGCTGTAAGGGGATGTTGTCTGTATGGATTAATCTATTTGTGTAGATTTGGAAGGTTTTTGTTTGGGAGGGTTTTTTATAAATGGAAGGAGTGCGTCTTTTAATTGGAAGGGTAGGTTTGGAAGAAAAAAAACCACTTTCTGCATAAAGCTTTGAATAAGTTATTTTCTACATCATTAAGCCACTTCCAAACAGTCATATATATATATATATCTAACCTAATAAGTCGTCTCATTAAGCTGCTAGCAAACAGATCCTTTAAATAACCTTCAACTTTTCAATTTTTCACATATCTGTTTTTCTCCATTTCACACATTTTTCACTGACCATGGAAATAGCTGCACTACTCTTTAGGTCAGATCTGGTCATCTTACCTCTGACCCCACCCACCTTTGGGTGGGATAACTGAGTTTGTCTGTGCTAGAGTCCCACATCAGTTAGATTTGTCGACTATTTCTCATCAGTATACTTTGGAACCACCTTTCTCTCGTCAAGGGCGTTTTGAGAGAGTAATCTAATGGGGTTCCACATATTCTCACTGATCGCTTTCGTTCGGTTTAGATATAAAATTAAATGAAATTTTCGTTTTTTCTTGGTGTGCGTAGGTCTTGCAAGTCGTCTTCCACAACCGGAAAATTTGGTAGCTTATGCCGAGAGCTGCATGTACAGCCCGAGTTACCGCAACTATCGTTAGATGTGGCATGGAATCTTGATACCGGTAGCGGTCATTTTAGAGAGTTTTTCGGAATGTTGTAATTTAGGTATACCTGTGTGTACGTGCGTGCGTCGTTCGTTAACATGAGTTCTAAGAAGTGAGATCTCAGTGATTGTACCTTTGATTGCTGAGTAAATGAAATTGCAACTTCTATTTTGATAACTAAGTGTTGGCCAATCTTGAAAATATATAGCGGAATTGGCTCGATGATGATGATGGTAATCGGGCTAACGATCACGGGTTAGGAAGCGAAGTATATCCTGCATCCGGTGTTATTGGTGTCTGTTGTGTGGCGTTGGAGTTGGTCGGCGAATACCGGAGATTTTGTTTTTTGGTTGGAACCCGATTTGGTGTTTTTACCCAACCCGTTTGACCGGCTTATTTTGCCACATGTTTGGTAAACTAGCTGAAAAAATAGTTGTTGGCTAAAAAGTTATCTAATAGATGAGTTAATTTTTATTTTTATTTTTAAGATTACAACATTGATTATATTTATTAAAATATGGTTAAATTGCATAAAAAAGTAACGCATTTTAACTTGATTTCTATTTTGGGTAGTATACTTTCAAAACTTTCATTTTGTTATCCAAGATGTGAAGTTTTAAATATTTAAGTACCAGGGTAACCGGTTGAATCATTAACCGGTTACCATGTTGATGTGGCGAATGATTTGGTATCCAACTCAGTATTATTTGTTATTCAATCTAATTTCATCCTATCACTTGTCACATAGGAGTGTATGAGATGTGTCTTCAAACTGAGCTCGAATAATCTCATACCGAGCAGTTAGATATGGTTGTGCAAATAAGCCATATAGCTTATACAGCTCATTAAGCTGCAACCAAACAGCCCCTAAGTGTTTATCGGGTGTTATTCTACCTTTTTCAAGTGAGTAAGGACAAGCACCAAGAATGTTACCTGGTAACAACTCAGCCACCATGAGTAAACCTTACCAAATGTAAGAAATATGTGTAGTATTTATCATACATAAATGTTGTATGTTTAAAAAAAGTTTGGGTTTATTATATTAAACCCGTTAAAGAGTAAAAATAAGATAGATACTAATTAGAGCTATTCACGGGCAGAATGACCCGTTAGACCCGTCTTGTCCAGTCTGCTAGAAAAGCGGATTTGGATTACCATTCTCGAAGAAATGGACGGATCTGGACTGACTTGTTAAAATTAATGGACGAACATGGAAATGAAAAGAAATATTTGGGCAGGCCCGTTAATAAGTTGTACTTACACACAATTTACTTGTAATCTTGAATTTTAAGTAATATGCATCAATAAACAATTCTTCGTACATAAAAATGATTTTTAAGATTTTTTATCAAATGTTTTATAATATACTATAAATATAAATCGTTAGTAAAATCACTTTTATTAATGGGCCTTAGATTTAAACAAATTCAGCCCATAAGTTTGAGCGCAGAAAACCCTAGTTACCACGTCCAAGTCCTATACATCCCCTCAATCATTCGCCATATCTCCACAAATCAACCAATATCGCTTCAGCCTTCAGGTATCCACCGCCGGCGATCGCTCAAATAACTACGGTTCTATCTGGATTCCGATCCGTGTAGATTCAATATCGAATCTCTTTAGTATTTTGCTTAAACGCTTCCGGTATTAACCGGCGACGATCGTTCAAATTTCCCCGTTCTCTCTCGATTTCCGATTTGTATATATGTTCAACACGGAATCTGCTTAATCTTTTGTTTGAAAATGGTTTGTTTAACCTTATGATTCGTGATTTATATACTAGCGTGAAGATTAAGCAGCGATAATATAGATCGGCTTTGTGCTAATTCTAAAACGCTTCAGATATTAATCGGCTATGATCGTTCAAATATCTCCGTTTCTTTTTCGATTCCGATTTGCGTATTTTCAATACTTTATTTCCAAAACAGTTTCGTTATTTGCCGGCGACGATCGTCAAATATCTCCGTTTCTTTTTCGATTTCGATTCGCATTTACGATTTGTGATTTGTATAATAACGTTAAAATTAATCAGGGATAATGTATATCGTAAAACGTTTCAGATATTTCCAGGCGTCGATTCTTCAAATACCTCTATTTCGACTCTGCTTTGTGATTTGTGTAATAATATGAAAGTTAAGCAGGGATAGTGTGTATCGGCTTTGTGCGAATATTGTGCACTTAGTTCGAAAGAGTTCTCTGCCATAACGATTTGACAAGGGGAAGGTGGGCAGTTGTGTTCCATTTTTATCCATTGGAAAGTTCAACAATCATCTTCCCTACATTCCATTTCTTTTTCCTGTAATCCTTGTTTCTAAATCTGTAAATATTTTGATCCAAAGTCTGGTTTGATTTAAGAATGTGAACTCCACAGGGAATTTTAGTTCTACATTTGGTATTTGGTGTAAGAAATTGCGACCCACTCAGTCTCTCGATCTATAAATTTTTTGGGGCATACTTTAGAATGATTGATAATGGACCTAAGGGTTGTTTGGTGAATTTTGCTCGGTAGAAAAATGTCTTCAGATCTAAAATTCTCCTCCTAATGATTTTTGCATCTGGACCTTTTTTAACCATTTAACTCCTTAGTTCAAATTGGTTTTAAAGATTAGAGTTTAATTTAACTAAGGGGTAAAATGGTAATTTTTGTCATTCAGATGAGTTATTCAGCATCACAACCGAAAAATGCTTTAGCCTAAATCTATATTGACAACGAAATCTATACAAACATTCTAATCCATAAAATACTTGATAAAAAACAACCGCACAACCCCTATGTGACTTTCATCCAATCCATACCCCAACCAAATTTCTTGAACATGGTCAAATCAATAGCCATGTTACATAAAAGATTTCAATACATATGTAACCTTGGTCATAGAGGGATTTATGTAGTATTAAAATATCATAAAGATAAAAAAGTTAAAAAGGGTAAATTATAATTTTGGTCCATGTGTTTTTTGATTGAGTAAAAGAACAAATATGTCCCTTATTTAACGGAATTTTTTTAACAATCACTTAGCGTCGATATCAAATTTCTACAAACCATGATACTCATATTGTAATTTAAAAGTGAAGTGACAAAAAAATGTTATACTCAACAAACCAGAGGGACTAATCTTATAGTTTACTTGATATTATATTTAGGGGTTGTTTCTCAGTTTACTAATTTGTTTTGTGCAAAATGATTAAGTAGTCAGAATAATTAAGGTTGTGTTTCGTATATGGGACGGGACATGGCAGGACAAAACTCACGGTTCCATGTTTGGCGCAACATGAGACAGAACATGAATTTACTATCCCACATTTGGCATGACATGAGACATGAACAAGAATTGGGACAACATGGGATAAAAGAGAGTTTTTATTGTTCCACCAAAAGAGGTGGAACAAGATGGGACAAAAATGAGTCAAGAACTAAAATATTACCAATCTATCCTAGTTTGATATATAATCTTAATATATATTTGTTTTAATGGTCATCACCGTTAGTTTTGACGGCCGCCATCACCGACGGTAACCGGCGGCCACCTCCACCTCCACCTCAACTTCCTCTTCCACAGCAACATTCTCCACCGCCTCCACAACCACCATCCACCATTGTCCATTGCCACATCTACCACAGTCGACCACCGTCCATTGCCTCCATCACCATTATCGCCATTCACCACCTCTAACTCCTCCTCCTCTACTACAACAACCTCCTTCACCACCTCCATAACCACCGTTGACCACATACAACCACCATCAATTATAACAAAATTTTAATTCAATTTTGTACCATTATATGTGTGTATTCATTTACATGAAAATTGTATAAATTTTTTTATAAATTAAAATTTTAATTATTTACTTTATTTGTGTTAATTATAATTATCATATAATATTTAAAATCAGCAACTAACTTTTAGAGGTAACTTGTCTTGTTTTGTCATGTCTAGTCGTAGTTGTACCAAACACCAAACATACACTTGTTATGTCCAGTCCAGTCCTACCCTGTTGTTCTGTCCAGTTCTGTCATGTCTAGTCCTGTCCAATCAAGTCTGCGTACCAAACCCTACCTAAGAGCCGTTTACCCAAACACTTACCCGATAAGCGTCTATCTATAATAATCAACAAGCTCGATTACCTTATTGGGTAAGATTATAGTCTATGAAAATGACATCACATGCAACAACTTACTCCAATAAGTGTTAACCGGTCAACAGCTAAAAGTCGTCAATCTCACTTACTGGATAAAACTCTCAGTCTTTGCCGTTACTCTTACCAGATAAGATTCTTGTTTCTGGTCATGTTCATAAGATAAGGTAAGCGACCCATTAACGTTGGTAAAGGACCCCTTAAATAAAAACCGAAACTCTGGTAAACCACATGGATGGTAAATGTAATTCACTATAATACTTAAAATGCAAACTATGTAATTGTTATAATTTATATAAATTTATCTCAATCGTCTGTGTAGATGTTTAACAGTAGACTAACTCATAACCTAAATTACTCTTAGGTGGTCTTTGTGTTTTAAGAGGTGCTGAAGTCTGAAATCTAGATCAATAAGATTGTTTGTTTTTATATCTCAAGTCTGAAATTTGAACCGGTCAAACTAGTGTAAAAATATAAAAGATAAATATTTTTTTTACAAAAGTATAAAAGATAAATAGTTTTTGCTAATAAATCTCTTCCAACCCTCAAAATATGACCATTTAGTAGAAGCCGAATTAGGATTAATAGATACGTTTACCACTTAAAATTTCAGAGAAAATTTAGAGCTTTTAAGTTCTTATTTTAGAAATAAAACGAACACTTTTGATACCTAAACATCTGAACGAATCATACTTCAGAGGTATTAAGAGGTAATTTTAAAAAAACAAACAGTTCTTTAATCTCGTAATCAACGAGTATAACAACTACATTTAAATTTCTAAATAAACAAAATCAATTACAGTGTTTGTATTTAAAACTGTTTTAATTTAAAAAAAAAGATTACATATAAAAAATATAAACGAGTAGAAAGTGCGCGACAGAGAGAGCGAGCGCGTTCTTCCCCCATTTCCCCTTCTCCTTCACTTCTTCGTCTTCCCCTTCTCTTCTCCCCCACAATCACCATTGTTAAATCCACTCCCAATCTATCTCTCCTTCCATTAATTAAGGTTTTCAATCTCTTCTCCTTTCAATCTATTCTCCAGATCCACTTTCCCTTGATACTAATCCCCTAATCCCTCGATCAAACCCCAATTTTCCATCCATCTATCTGAATTTCAAATTTTATCGGGATCTTCTAACCCAACACTGAAAAGTTGCCAATTTTGGATCTTATTTCAGTGTTTTACTTGAAAAAGTAAAAAAAATTAAATAGGTACGTGTTTTTGTTTGATCGGTTGTGTCTGTATTAGGGTTTTCGTCAATTTTTGTTTATCGGGTTAGTAATGGTGGGTTCGGAGGCTTTACCTTCACCGAGGCAGCATGGAGTTACCAAACCCTTGTCTCTAGCGGGACCATCGGAGGCTGATTTACTCAGAACTAAGAAATTGAATAAGGTAGGGTCTGCTACATTTATAATTATTTCGTTTTCCTGCAATTTTGTTTGGATTTGCTTGATTTCAATTTGGTTGGGTTTTTTGAAGTTTTTGGTGGATGCTGGACTTTATGAAAGTCAAGAGGAAGCAGCGAAGAGGGAGAGGGTTCTTGGTCGAATGAAGCAGGTTCTTTGTGTTTCCTATTGTTGAAGTTATTTGTTATGACGTTTCTTCAATTTGGGCAGGTTATTGTGATTGTGATTTTGCATTGAAAGTTGGTTCTTTTTTATCAATATAACCTGTAAGCTCAAAAGGGCATGTTTCTAAGTATTTTCATTTGAGTTATAACTTGAATGTTACTGTTCTAAAAGGCTGTTCACTACCACGTGGCTCAATGCTCGACGCCATGGCCCAATGTGGTTTTTGTATCGTGATATTTGATTTTTATTATATTTATAATGTCTTACTTTTTCGGTTTTTTAGTATATAACCTAGTTTAAATTGTTTAATGTCATTGACTCATTGAGTATTAGTAGAAAACATATGTGTATATGTATAATTATACATATGATATACAGATTTGTTGTCATAACTCACGCCATGAAAAACGTCTTGACCTCGCCGTGGCTTCTAAGGCTTGACCTTGCCGTTGTGCCATGCTTCACGCCATTTAGAACCTTGGCTAATAGCAACATGTATGAGTAAACACGAAATATATCCTCATCTTCTACGATTGTTAACATATTGCAAACTTTGTAAAGATGATTGGAGTTTTGAGTTCATAACGTCTGATGAAGTAAGTTTTTTCTGGTTCTTCAGTTAAACATTTAGAGTCCAATGCTATTAAGGTGCACCAAAGAGCATAAGTAACACAAATAATCACCAAAATGGGTGAAGATGCATGCATATTTAGAATATTTGTTTTCCACAAAGAATCATTATCATGTGTTAAATTAAAGAATAAACAATTAACAAGTTGATGATAACCAACCTTTGATCGATCATTCATGGGTAATTAACATTAATAACATGAACCGATGACATTTATTTAGCATCAATTAACATTAACATAAAAATCTTTGTATTAGATTAGCCTAAGCCCATGATAACATCATCAATAAAAGAGACATGACGTGAAGAAATGAAGCCAAGACAACCACAAGGGTTGTGGCCTAGTGGTTGAGGCCCCGGGGGATGTGGTGGAATATCCCATCTGCCCAAGGTTTGATTTCAGGCGTACACAACAATTGTGGCCACTTAATTTATCAGGGCTGATTTCATGCAACCCCAATTTACCGGGATTAGTCTAGGCATAGCCTGGGACACCCTTCCAAAAAAAAAAAGAAATGAAGCCAAGACCCTAATATGGCTTGCATTTTTGTATTTCTCTACATTGGTCTTGCGGTCAATTGATTTTCTCATGTTTTCTAGTGGTTTTTTCAAGGTTACATGATGTTGATTTGACTATGTCCTCCTATGTGATTTGGTATAGATTGTAATAGATTGGGTCAAGCAACTTACTCGTCTCCGAGGGTACACTGATCAGATGGTGGAGGATGCAAATGCTGCCATCTTTACTTTTGGTTCTTATCGGCTTGGGGTAAGAGTATTTACAAATGGCTATGAAGTTTGGCTTGTGTTTGATAGTAGTGTGAACTTTTTAAGAGGCAACCGAGATGAATTTTGACACAATTGATATAGATCTTTTTGGTATTCTGTTTATTACACGTGGGTTAAAGATATTATCTCTTGGTTCTTCAAAATATAGGATTTGTGAATCACTTCATTTCCGCGTACAAACACATATTTAATGAATTTAGTTTATGCTTTTAAGACTTAAAACTAGTAATTTTAAGACTTCTGTGACTTACTTCGTTTGATATGGAAATATATGTTGTTTGCTATGATTTTTTTTTGTTTTTATTGTTGAGTATGTGTCGGTTTGCCTTGAGGCTTAAATCTCGTGGTACTAAGGAAAAACGCCCCGCTTCATGTTTTCCTCTTTCAAAACGTTGACTATCCCGATTAGATGCTCGTTGTTTATAATATGTAGTCTTGTTCTCTAACTTTGGTGGCAGGTTCATGGTCCAGGGGCAGATATTGACACCCTGTGTGTCGGGCCATCTTATGTGAATCGAGATGTGAGTTGTTTTACGTAAATCCAGTTGATGCTTGGAGGGTTGTTCATATACATGCATTTCTTACGTTACTTTTTATCTTCTCCCAAATTTCAGGATGACTTCTTCTTTGTTTTGCATGATATCTTGATAAAAATGGAGGAAGTTGCTGAACTTCAACCAGTTCCAGATGCTCATGTACCGGTTATGAAATTTAAGTTTGACGGGATATCTATTGATCTTCTTTATGCTAGCATTTCTCGTTTAGTCGTCCCAGATGTAAGTTTGTTCCATTATGTGATCTGCAATTAACTTCTCCTTTTCTTCGACTTCCATGGATCTTTCTTAGAACATGACTACAGAAGAAACTTCCCAAAATAAGTGTCTACTTTCAAAATAGATGACTAAATTCTCAAATCTACCCTTAATTAATGCACAAATATTTAAAACTTGTGAAGAGAGAGAAATTAATAAAGGGTAGAGATGTCATTTAGCTAACTAAAAAGTGTAATAATTATGCATGTCTAAAACTGTGCCGTTTCTATTGTTGACACATTTAGGGATGGAGGGAGTTTAGTAACAATCACTGCCTGTCCTTTCTATGCTTATTGCCGTTTTGACAGTCTATATACTTGATAATTTCTTGGTATTTTTGGGTAATTCATACGGTTTCAATATGATTTACCTTTTCAATTTAGTATTTTCTTTTGACCATGTTGAGAAAAAATCTTTGATATGTGACTTGCATCAAAAAACTTGGTGATTGTTGTTGTGTTGTCTAGTTGTCGATGCAAAGTTTCATTAATATTCGGTTTCACAACTATGATCACATTAGTTTCTTGCATATAGGGATTGAGTTAGGGGTGGGTCTTGGAGCAAACCAATAAGGTAGTAAGGTTCCTTCTTTGATTCTTTCTCTATGTTCGTTTATATATATATATATATAGAGAGAGAGAGAGAGAGAGAGTGAGGTTCAAGGGAAACCCCCCCCCCCCCAAAAAAAAAGAAAAACCTGGTATTCATCTGTATGGGTGCACATGTGCATACAACTAATTGAAGCAATTTCTTGGTTTTATGCATGCGTGCATACTGGACAAATTGCTTATAAATTACTTGTATACACATGTGCATACTGTCCAAATGAATGATTACCAGGGTGTTTCTTAGCTTTTTTCTTACGGTTTTCCTCCGAACCTAACCCTATATATAATTATAATTATTGTATGAACCGCCATCTTTGGACCACTGTACCACCGCTTTACCATTGCTATAATCACTATTTCAAATCACCGTTGTGACCGCGATTTCAGATTTTGACCTCTGTAACAGCATTGATTGGGATGTTTCTTGCGTGTCTTGAGCAAAGTTAGATATCTATCCTCTTTAACTTGAGGAGTGTTGGTTGTTTAGTTGTACATTATGTTAAACGAGCTTTACTTCATGTATGTGGACCGAATCCTTTCGGTGAGATTCTCTATTTTCGCTTTATCCCCACGATGCCATGACTACACCTTCTATATGAGTTCTCCGCTCAGCCAAAAATCCTAAATCTTTTCTGATTGCGTTAGGTTTCTGAAAGTGTTTGACTTTGACTTTTGGTCTAATCTTTTAACAGGACTTGGACATTTCTGATGTTTCCATTTTATATAATGTCGATGAGCCAACCGTTCGTAGTCTTAATGGCTGCAGGGTTGCTGATCAGATTCTTAAGCATGTTCCAAATGTTGAGGTGACGATTGCCGGTTGATTCTTATTATTGCGAAAGTTTTTGCATGATTGTAGTCTAATTTTGATGTTTTTTTCTTGTGAAATTTAGCATTTCCGTACAACTCTTCGTTGCTTAAAGTTTTGGGCTAAAAGGCGTGGCGTTTACTCAAATGTAAGTGTGTTTTTTAGGACGTTTTTTATGTCGTTGAAACCGATGAATTATTGTCCTGTTAGGGTGCATTTTTGGTATTCAAACAAGATAGAACAGAACAGTTGTTCAATGTTTGGTAAGACAGAACTAGACATGACAAATCAGATAAAATGTCAATTTACCTCTAATGAATTGTTTATATATTTTTTTATTAATTTATGTAATTTGTTAAATTATAATAAAATAATTGTTTTTAATAACAAACTCTATCATTAGGAAGTTTTTGACAAGACGATTAAAATGACGCAAAATAAAAAAGTTTATGTAGTTTCTGATTTCTATTTATACCTTTTCTATATTATTTTAGTATTATTAAAATTTAATAAATTACATAAATTAATCAAAATATAGAAACAATATAAAAAATAATATTTTGAATTAATAAAATGTAAAGAATGAATAAAATGTAACGAGCGAGGCATATTTGATGTTTTAGAAGAGAATCGTGTTTTATTTTGAGGTTATATTGTTATAGGCGTGTTCCACCTTGTTCTATGGGGTGAGGGTGGAACGTGCTTGTTCCACATAAAAGTTCTGCCAAACGTGGAACAGTGATCCATTATCCGTTAAGTCCAGTGTACTAATGGTGCGTTTGGTACACGGGAAAGGACAGGACAACACAGAACAACTGCAGCAATTAATCTGGTAAATTACAACTACCTCTATCCTCTATAACATTTTTTTTTCTGTTTATCTGCTTCAGGTGACGGGGTTTCTTGGTGGCGTGAACTGGGCTCTTCTTGTAGCACGGGTTTGTCAATTTTATCCAAATGCTGTTCCGAGCATGTTGGTTGCTCGATTTTTCAGGGTTTATACACAGTGGCGATGGCCAAATCCTGTTATGCTTTGCGCCATACAAGAAGAAGAGCTTGGATTTACCGTATGGGATCCTCGTAAAAATCCGAAAGACAAAACTCACCATATGCCAATAATAACGCCCGCCTATCCATGCATGAATTCTAGTTATAATGTCTCGACTAGCACGCTCCGTGTTATGACAGAGCAGTTTTTATTTGGTAACCGGATTTGTGAGGTAAGATACTGCCCGAGCTGTGTGTTTTACTTTACTCTCCGTTGGCTGGTTTATACCAACGGCTGTCACGTTCAGGGGTATTCATGGTGTGGTTTGGCCAAACCGCACCACATGCGGTTTGAGCATTTTCCCAAACCGCACACCGCACCCCGCACCACATATATCTCAAACTGCAAAAAACCGCACCTCGCACCACATATATCTCAAACTGCAAAAACCGCACCGCAATATGCGGTTTGCACCTAACACACTTTACATCTATAATCCAATAATTATAAGATTAAATCTTTATTATAAAATCAATGATAACCTGACCGTAGTCCAAACACATAACATCTGATTCCCAAATGCGTATTACATAAATAAAAATAGTCTTAAGGAAACTAAAAATTATATAATTAAAAATAGTTCAAGAAAAATATTATGTAAACTAGCCTAATTTTAATAAAAGGTGCGTTGCGGTTTGAACCACGGTTTGATGAGTAACTGCACCGCATAGTGCAGTTTGGTGAAAATGCAAACCACAAACGCATCGCTGAAGTTCTAAACCGCGCTTTGTGGTGCGATATGGGCGGTTTGTATGAACACCCCTAGTCAAGATATGTTTTCGTTTCTACATGTCTTACCTGACACACCGTTGAATCGTTTTTCTACCTGTTATGTTTCCCGTTACCGATCTTATTGCCTGCTTGTACACACCTTTCTTTTGTGTGCATGCCGGGGGGGTCTTCATGGAAACAACCTCCCGATCCTAGTGGTTGAGGTAAGGTTTGCGTACATCCTACACCTTTCTGACCCTATTTGCCAGTGGAATATACTGGTTTCGTTTTGTTTGGTTTGGTGTTGTTAAGTTACATTTTCATTTCCGTTCTTATCATTTGCAGGAGATAGAACTTAACAAAGCTCAGTGGCCCGGACTCTTTGAACCATACATGTTCTTTGAGAGCTACAAAAACTATCTGCAAGTCGACATAATTGCTCTGAATTCTGATGATTTGCGAGCTTGGAAAGGTTGGGTCGAGTCTCGGCTGAGGCAACTGACGTTGATGGTAACGTTTTCAATCCTCGTAGGCAATTTTTGACAACCATAAGCCAACTTATTTTTTGAGCTTATTGAAAAATCCCCGTTTGGTTAGCTATAAGCTTCCATGAGTTCTTTCTTTTCTTTTCAATTATGCCCCTTTTATCTTCCAATTGATTTTTCAACATGTCCTTTTGGGTGCGTTTGGCATCCAGACAAGACATAACAAATAAATTTTTGGGTGCCTTTGATATTTAATAAATTACATAAACTAATAAAAATATAGAAACCGTATAAAAATAATATTTTGAGGACAATAAATAAAATTTAAAGAATAAATAAAATGTAAGAGAGTCGTATTTGATGTTTTAGACGAGAATTATGTTTTATTTTGAGGTTATATTGGTAAAATACAGGTCTGTTCCACCTTGTTCCATGGGGTGGGGGTGGAACACGTCTATTCCACTTTGTTCTTGTCTGTTCCACATAAAAGTCCTGTCAAACATGGAATAGTGGTCCCTGTTCTGTCTTGTTCTGTTCAGTGTACCAAATGCACCCAGTAGGTCATTTTACATTTTCAGTAAGATTCTCATCTTTTTTTCTTCTTTTTTGTTGCTTTACCATTTATAACGCAGATTGAGCGAGACACACAGGGGAAGCTGCAGTGCCATCCGTATCCTCACGAATACTTTGATCCTTCGAAGCAGTGTTCGCACAGTGCTTTCTTTATGGGATTACAACGGAAACAAGGTGAAGTAATTCAAGAAGGTCAGCAGTTTGATATCCGTGGTACTGTTGACGAGTTTCGACATTCGGTGAATATGTACATGTTTTGGAGACCTGGAATGGAGATTTACGTTTCTCACGTTCGTAGAAAGCAGATCCCGTTATATGTGTTTCCAGACGGTTATAAACGGACTAGAGTCCCACGGCTCGTAAATCTGCAGCCGTCCGACAAATCATCTCTCGAAAACGGTGAAGTTTGCGGAGATGCTGGTTCTTCTGAGAGATTATCTAGAAAGCGAAAAGATGAAGATTGTCATGTAAAGCGAGATAGTCTTCAAAAACGACAATCTTTGAGCCCACAGAGCCGTGATTCGGTTTCTCCTGATATCATTGGCCATTTGTTTGTTAATGAATTGAAGTACGGTTCCACACCAGATAGTGTATCGAGGAGCGAAGTCGGACATTTGGCACGAGAACCCGATAATAACTTCAAGAATGCAGATTCGAGCTCTAGTTTGGTTGCTAATCCCGCAAACGATATGAGTTGTGGTCGGGATGTGGGGCCGGAAGATGTCGTTTTGGGAAGCAACGGTCGGGATTCTTTGCAGGGGGGTACGACTGAGGCCGATTCCGATAATGTATCGGGGGATAAAATCCAGGTGTTTGAAGTTGCGGTTTTGGTTTCAAAATGTTTTCTTCTATTCAAGATTTACGGGTCGTCTACTCTTCACCTTGCATTTCGAGTTTTAAAAAAAAATATGAATCGTTTGCAGCATGTGATGCCAAGAAGATGACAACGGCCTTTTGGGTTTCCGTTATTCAGGAAGCCTTTTCTTTGGTTTCTTTATATCAAAAGATTCTACATTTATGTTTTCTAACGTTCTCTTAACATAAGGAATCTAATACCCTTTTTTTGGTTGGTTTTGTGTTATGAAGCCAAATGGTGAACTCGGGATGGTACTGAATTCTAGAGGCACGGCCGAGTTGGAGCAGAACACGATAATGAGGCAAGTTCTAAAGTTTCTATTTAGTATGTTCTTTTATAGTGCGGTGGTATGCGGGATAAGATAAGACAAAAACTTGTTCCACGTTTTGATGACGAGATTAACTAAAATAGGTAGAAAAGAATTAGTGAGATGGGACAAGATTGGTAATTACTAAATTGCCCTTGTGAAATTAAAACGCTAAAACCTTGCATAGTTCTTTCACTTGCCTAGTGATGCACAAAAAACCCCAAACCAAAGTACGGCCCGTAAAACCCGGGCCTAGTGAGTCTGAAACCCGGTTTGGGCCAGGCCTCAAAGTCTGATCAGGACGAAATTTTGGGGGCAAGACTGGGCCTAGGCCTGGTCCGAAAAGCCTGACCTGAAAAGGTCTTAAAAAGTGATTAAGCCCCCCTGAAAGAACCTGACCGGACCCTTTTTCAACCCCAAAGCATGGTCCAGACCGACCCGCCCTGGACCTTTTTTACTCACTGGAATGGGGTTTGGAAGGCCCAGGTTTGGTATGCGAGACAAGACAAGATTGCGAGATACAAAAAGTGTGTTCTTTTTAAACAAAAATCAATGTGATGAGATAAGATTGGTAAATTACTAAACTACCCATGTCGAATTTTGTCAATGTGATGGGACAAGATTGAGAGATACAAAAAGTGTGTTCTTTCATCCACTTCTGTCACCCTCGTCTAGTCTAGTCTAGTCCTGTCTTGTCCCATTCTGTCTGTGTACCAAACACATCCGTAATACCACCCTTTATCCTGCTCAAGATCGACTGGAGCTTGAGAATTATTAAGCTCGAGCATGAGTAGCTCGTTAGAAGCTCGAATCGTTTACACCCCTCGCCGGCTAGTCCTGTCCCATCCTGTATGTATACCAAATACACCTGTAATACTACCCTTTATAATGCTCTGCTACAGACTGTTGTATCGTGGTTTTTGCAACAGGTTAGGTGTGACGTCGACTGCTTGAGGGAAGATTAGAGCGCGTTTCCGCTTGGAAGAGGAGCGAAATCCAGCATTTGTGGTAAGTTTATGCTCGTTTGCGAGCTTTGACTTGTTATTTGACCACCGATGATCGTTTCCAGAAAGATCTTGAGTTCGAAGAACTTTTAGGTTTTAGTATTGGGATGGGTTGGGGTGGGTGGGTTGGGGATGTATAGTTTTTGTTGCTTTCAGGTGCTAGCTAATGGTGTTCTAGGAGTGCGATTAGTGATGTCGGTCTAGCGTTTTGTTCTAGTGTCGAGTTTCTAAAGTGGCAGAAAACGGATAGTCATGGGGAAGTATTGTTAATAGAGGTTGAATGTGAGAGGGGCATTTTGGTCTTTTCATTTTGTAACTTTGGTATGAAAAGATTGTAGGCATTTGGACTTGCATTGAAATGGCATAAACCTCTTTTTATCTTGCATCATAAATTTTTGTAGCCTTTTTCTTGTTATATGCCATCTTGTTCACATGTATGTGAAATTTACTGTGTTTATTAGAGCATCTTCAACCTGTATGCTATATTTTTTCTCTACCAAATTTGGAGGTTTTTTCATTTTTTTCCCTATCTTTCTCTATTCTAGAGGATAGTTTAGAATAGCTGTTGGAGCTCAAAATAGCATGGCTGTTGGAGATGCTCTTGTGTTGAACTTCATTCCATCCTTGTTACCCTCCCAAAATAAGTGTCTATATATTCATGGGATCTTTTAAGACTCTTCTAATTTGTGAGATTTGTGGAATTTAACTTAGGGCTTGTTTGTTTACCTCTTAATAGTTCAATTAAGAGGTCAATCTTGTTTGCAAAAAAATCTGCCTCTTAATGGTTCTAAATCATCTGAATGATTATGTATCATGGGTCTTTCTTAACCATTCAGTGTCCTAGTTTCGTTGTAAATAATTACCAAACAATTATATTTCATTTCGCACTGTATCATTTGTCTTTTAATCATTCTGCACCAAATCTTTCAACAACCGTCAAATTGGTACGCAACCCCTTTTTACCTCTGACTTGCTCCTATGATTGGTCTCGACATCATAAGTTTTTAACCTCTTTTTACGTCATTTAACTAAGCAGTGTCATAAATTTTAACCCTGCAAAATTTATATTTAATACAATGTATATTATGTTGGAACGGTCAAATTTTTTTCTCCGTTGCTACGACAAGCATTCAATTATTTCAATTTGGTAAATGCTTCAATCGCTAGCAGGCAAAGATTGATGATGTAAACGTCAAGTTATAGCCATAGTTCTTGATTACATAACAAAATATCACATCAAAATCAATAGATGTCACGTATCCTGAAAACTCGTTTATAAAATAAAGTAAGTATGAAAATAAGAACTTAATACATATTACACTAGGATTGTTTGTTTACCTTTTAATAGTTCAATTAAGAGGCATGTTCTGAATCGTTAAGAGGAAAATCTTGTTTGGTAAAAAAAAAATATGTCTCTTATGGTTCTAAAACACTCTGAATGATTTTGTATCATGAACATTCCTTAACCATTCAGAGCCCTAATTTCATTGTAAACAACTATCAAACAATTATATTTCATTTTTCACTATATAATGAGAGCCTTTTAATCAATCTGACCACTTAATCATTTGACATCAAACCATTCAGCAACTGCCAACAGCCCCTAAGGAGATGTTTGGTTGGTTTTCCATTAAAGGGTTGTTTGATTGGTTTTTGTTAAGTTCTGTATTGAGAAAATTGTCTGTATGGATTAATCTATCTGTATAAATTGAGAAAGTTTTGTTTGAGAGGAGTTTTTAATATATGGAAGGATTATGGTTTTTAATTGGAAATGACATATTTGGAAGAAAAAAAATTGACTTTCTGCATAAAGCTCTTCCCTAAAAAGTCAGGGGGAGATGGATTAGGGTAGTCAATCACATGAGTTAAATCATTATTTTGGTTTTGCAAATTGGTCCCTCTATACACATAGGGCGGTGCGTAGGCCGTAGAGGGTAACATGTGGTTGTTTTTAGATAAATTTGTAGTTTAAGGTTAAAAACATAAATTTCAAAATGTTCAGGGGTTATTTTTGTCGGTATCCCGATGATTTTGTGCATGAAATTGACGGTTAATAATGTCTGTGAAAGAAACCCTCGATCTCGAACAACAACAAACTCGTGAGGATGATGCAAGAAATCGAAGACACGTGGTTTGGTAGAATCTGGCATTCGTACCAAATTCATCGGAATCAATTGAACTCAGCTCATTTACAGGTCCGGTTTTCTTCCATTCTTTTCTCTCTTTCCCTCAATCTTAGGGTTTTCTTCCATTCATTCCCTAATTCACATTTCCCCTCTAATTTGATCATCTCAATCGATCTCCCTTTTTTTTGTTTCCATTTTCAATCAATTTGAAATTTTCTAGATCTTCGATTCGATTTTCTTCAATGGGGAAGGTTACTGTGGGTGTGGCGGTCGTCGGTGCCGCTGCAGTTTGCGCTGCCGCGGCTTTGATTGCGCGCCACCGGATGCGGAGTTCGAGTTTGTGTGTGAAAGCTGCGGATATTTTGAAGGAATTGGAAGAGAAATGTGCGACTCCGGCTGCGAAATTGAAGCAGATTGCGGACGCCATGACTGTTGAGATGCATGCTGGACTCGCGTCGGAAGGTGGGAGCAAACTCAAAATGCTCATCAGCTACGTCGACAATCTTCCCACTGGGTAACTTATATATTTATGCATTGTTCTTCGTAAGATTTTGAAAATTATGCAGCTTTATGGCGTTTCAAATGCTATAGGATCATGAACTATGCCTAAATTTCTAACAGATGTAGCTCAAGGAAACATATATATAGAGAGAGAGAACTGGACAAACCAATCTTGGCTCTTGATTTTGTGTATTTTGAAATTCTTAGGCAGTTGCCAAATGAGTTTAATGATAAGGTTGATAGTCAATTTCGGAATCGATTTAATCCACATTGTTTACATTGATTTGATGATCTGCATGGACAGTTAAGATGTTGTATAGTGTGTCACATTTAGGCGGTTTATATTTGATTTGGTCTCTATATGTTACGTGTGTATATATAGAGAGAGGGAGGGACCAAGGGAGGTTTAAACGAGAACAGTAACCAAATAAAAGAACACAAAACAGTCAAATCATGAGCAAAATCGCATGTGATTTTACACTGGTGGTCATAGCAAGGGTGCGCAGGCGACGTGGCCCGCGACCTCACGTAGCGGTCAAAGTCGTGTGAATTACATGTGATTTTACACATGATTTGAGTGTAGAATCACATGTGATTTGACCGTTTTCTTATTCCCTTATTTAGTTATTGTTCTCGTATGAACCTGACACACTCTCTCTTTCTCTCTTTATATATATGTAGGGAGGTTCAAAAGAGTATGGTAACCAAATAAAAGAACCCGAAATAGTCAAATAGCATGCAAAATCACATGTGATTTTACATGTATGTCGCGTGGATCAATGTGATTTTACTAATGATTTTAGTGTAAAATCACATGTGATTCGACCGTTTTTCTAACTCTCATATTTGGTTGGAGATTTTAGGAAATCTCCAATAACCTCACAATTTGGTGATTTGTATGGATCTTTTTGTATCTCTTTAACAAAGTGGGTCCCAACCATGACATTAATGGGGAAATCGCCAATGACGAAAGCGATTTGGTTGGTCATTTTTTTCATTTTATATGTATTATGGTCATTTCGGGAATAACCCGTTTTGATAAGAATGCCTTAAATTCAATCCAAGATGGGAACCGCTTTAGAAAGCTACATCATGCTCTTCTAGCCGGGGCCGTTCCAGTCTTTTTGGAGGCTCAGTATTACACCTGTATCAAAACTACAGATTAACTAGACGAGTAATAAATAAAACAAAGTATAAAAGTTATGATAATTGATAGAATCATAGAAATTACGAAATTAGAGAGAGACTAGCGAAGAAGGGAGAAGGGATTGGAGCCGGAATTGGGAATCATCAAATCGGCTAAATGAGTAGTAAAATCCTGAAACATTATAATTGGAAAAAGGTAAAACCAATTAGAAAGATCATACTACTAAAACATGTATAATCCCCTGACCAACCGTACAAGATATTGTCCACTTTATCCACACTTGGACTCACGGTTTGAAACGTGTATGATAGAGGAGGTACCCGATCTCTTATAAGGCAACCTTTGTTCCTCTCCCAAACACCCCCTCCCCTAACGGGGCCCCGTCCTCGCTGGCACACTAGTCTGGTTCCGGTTCTCATGTTGGGCTAAAGGTTAAAACCCATTACTGTCACGTGTTACTCTGTTGATGATGCGTGCGCCTTACAAGTGTGGGGTGGTGAAGAATCTGTGAGGCGGTGAGCCGGTGAAACTATGAAGTGGCATCAGACTTTAAATGGGTTAAGGGGCTGTTTGGCGGTTGCTGAATGGTTTGGTGCAGAATGATTAAGTGGTCAGAATGATTAAGAAGCTCTTATAATATAGTGCAAAATGAAATATAATTGTTTGGTAATTATTCAGAATGATATTAGGGTGCTGAATGGTTAAGGAAGTCCCAAGATACAAAATTGTTCAGAAGGTTTTAGAACCATTAAGATGCAGACATTTTGCCCGTTAGAAAGATCTACGGCTTCATTCTATGATTTGTATGATAATTAGTCCATTTTGGTGTATCAAATTGGATATTTCCTATTTGGGTACCTAAGGTATATTTCCTCTTTAACCCTTTTGGGTAGAATAAACATCTGCATACATCCTCCCCCAGGACCCTACCTCTGTGTGGGCTATACTGAGTTTGTTTAGTTTGATTTGATTCTGTTTTAAAGTTGAATCGTCTTTCAATCCTTTCACTTTCAGCAAAGAGGAAGGAGTGTATTATGCATTGGATCTTGGGGGAACAAATTTTCGGGTTCTTCGGGTGCAGTTGGGAGGGAAATCCGGTATTGAATTTACGGAGTTTGCAGAGGTGACAATCCCGCCTCAATTGATGATCGGAACTCCCGAAGTACGTTTCTCCTTTCTCTCACAACTCATGCAAAACCTGCTTTCCGTTCAGTTTGTTAGATTATATATGTCTCCAAGACTCGAAACATAGTTGTTTTCAGGCACTTTTTGACTACATCGCGTCAGAACTCGCTAAATTTGTGAGCGATGAAAGTGAAAAGTTTTGGCTTCCTCCGGGCCGACAAAGGGAGTTAGGTTTCACCTTCTCGTTCCCGGTGATGCAATTGTCTATTGATTCGGGGACTCTTATTCGGTGGACAAAAGGCTTCTCTATTGACGAAATGGTAATTACATTACTATTACTATTTTCCGTTCTAAAATCTTTGGAGGTAGAGGTCAGGTCTACGTGCATCTTACGCTCTGTAGATCTAAATGGGATAGTACTGGGTTCGTTTGGTTTGGTTTGGTTTATTGATGTTACTATCTCAAGTCGGCATATTTAGAATGATCGGGATTCAATAATAATGAAGTTGATAACTTATTTCCGTTAACTTTTAATTGCTAGATTGGTAGGGACGTGGTTGCGGAATTGACAACCGCAATGAAAAAACGTGGCATTGATATGTCTATTTCTGCTTTGGTAAGTTCATTTGGGCTGTAATCTTTCATTATGTCTAGTCAGGTAGTCAGGGGTCTTCATGGAAACAACTCCTCTACTTTTTGGGGTAGAGGTAAGTTATGTGTACATTTTATCCATCCCTGAGGGGCTGACCCCACCTCAGGGTGGGATATACTGGGCTCATTTGTTAGGTTTGCAATCTTGCATATTGTCTAGCCGGGGGTCTTCGTAGAAAAAGTTGTTCTATTTTTTTAGGGTATACGTTATCTAGCCAGGGGTATTGATTGGATGAGATCGTTCTACGTTTTTAGGTTGAGGATGCGGCTGCCTACATCCCCCGCCCCTCCTTTTGTAGTGGAATATGCTGGGTTCTTTTGATTTGGTATTAGATGCAAAATTCACAACCTAAAATGTTCTCTTGGGTGTAGGTAAATGATACGGTTGGAACATTGGCCGGAGGTAGATATGAAAATAGTGACGTTTGTATTGCCGTGATCTTGGGTACCGGAAGCAATGCCGCCTATGTGGAACGAGCTCAGGCTATACCAAAATGGCATGGTCCACACCCTAAATCCGGAGAGATGGTGAGCAACGATTTTTGTTTCAACTACTTACCCCCACCCCACTATTCCATTTATTGTTTTGGGTTTTACAAGTCGGGGTCTTTACTCTTTACAGAAGCAACTTATTTTCCCTTTGGGATAGTGGAAAGATCTACATACATCCTTCCCCTAGATAGGGGCGGATTTAAGACGGGAGATGGTGCACGTGCACCCGCTCTATTGTGCCGACGTAATGATATATCTTTAGGGTCATAAAGATGCACCCGCTTTAAATTGACGTGTGTTCCCTTAAGCTAACAAAAGCCTACTGTAGTGTCATTGCATGTGGCATTATATTTATATATGTAGGGTTGCATTCTGATGAAGAGTTAAGGTGAGAAGCATAAGAAGGGATCTCCACTCTTGGATGGACATTAGGATGAGATGCACTGTGATGCACTAGGTCAATCCCCGTATCAAGCACGATTCATGGGTGGGTTTGAAATTAAAGGTGATCAAGGGTCCAGATCCCTTCTTACGCTTCTCACATTAACTCACTTTCTCACATGATACTTTGTCTATATATATATATACACACACAGGGGCTTAATCATTTGAGAGCCCATTAGATTATGATAACCTTGAGAACTGCATCATGTGTTATTTCATATGATCTTTTTCTATCTAGGTATACTATTTAATGTATTGATTAACATATATTTATTTTACAGTGTGTTTGTTTTATATGTATTCATTTCACAATGTGAAACTTGTTTATGTGTATTTTGTGTTTCACAAACATGTCAAATAGGTTCACATTGTGAACTGGGCACATGTGAAGCAAACGCATTGTGAAACAAATATATGTTAATTAATATTCTAAATCCTAGTCTTAGATGAAAAAAAATTATATGAAATAACACATGATCCACAAGTTTTCAAGGTTATCACAATTTCATGGGTTCTCAGAAGAAGGCTCCCCTATATACACACACACACACGAAGGATCGTGTGAGAATAGGAGTTAAGGTGAGAAAGCGTAAGAAAGGATTTTGACTTTTAATCTCAAAGCAACCTATGGATTGGTTTCTAGAAGGGAATTGATTCGGTGTTTCTCATTAGTGTTGATCTAGTGAACTCTTCATTTAGAATAGATCCATAGGTGGAGATCTCGTCTTACCTTTCTCACCATAACTTTCATTCTTACCGGAACCCAACCCTATATGTATGTATGTATTTGTTTATATGAAAATTGTGTTAACATGTTTATAACTTCAATTTTCTAAATATCATCAAATAGTTCTTAGGACAACTTGTCCAGTTTGTCCTATCCAGCCCTTGTCATATCAAACACCAGACACACAACTTGTCCAGTCCAATCATGTATGTGTACCAAACACTACCTATAGGTTGCAAGTTCAAATCCCTTTTGTTGTCTTCTAATTTTATGGTAACAACAGCAAAAGAACGGAAAGGAAAAAAGAAACCGTACGTCTTATAATAAAATTTTGATATAAAATGCTAATTATTTTGTGCCCCACTTGGAAATTTTTTATATCCGCCTTCTCCCCTGGACCCTACCTCTGTGGGAGATTTACCGAGTTCGTTTGCTTTACGTCATTTGTTCTATAGGTGATCAACATGGAGTGGGGTAACTTCAGGTCATCACATCTTCCCTTAACGGAGTACGACAACACCTTGGATGCTGAAAGTTTGAACCCCGGGGAACAGGTGATTATTTATATGCGGCAAAACTCACACACACTCCTGAACCTTTGGTGAGATTTGGAGGTTGGGATCTACCCGTAAACCAGGTACCACTGGGCCAATGACCCTTTGGTTTACTTTTGTCATATATTGCTTATCCACGAGTAATTTGGCAGATATTTGAAAAAATGATTGCCGGGATGTATCTTGGAGAGCTTCTTCGTAAAGTTCTCCTTAGAATGGCGGATGAAGCTGCCCTTTTTGGTGAAACCGTTCCACCCAAACTAAAAACTCGATTCATATTGAGGTATCCATCAACCCTCATTTTCTGCGTCCCAAAATAAGTGTCCACTTTCAAATATAGTTATATAAAAATTATCAAATTTCCAATCCTACCCTTAAATCTTAATTATGGCACGAGTATTTAAGCGTTGATGAGATGGAGAGAGAAGGTTTTCCTTTTATCACCGAGGGTAGATCGTCATTTTGCTTGGATGCTTATTTGGAGATGGAGGGAGTATATTAGAAACGCACTCTTCTATTTTCTACTCCCTCCATCCGAAAATAAGTGTCCACTTTCAAACATGGATGGTTATAGATCATTAATTTTCCAATCCTACCCTTGACACATGAAGAGTTGATGAAATGGAGAGGAAAGGTTTGCTTCTTATCATTAAGAGTAAAATCGTCATTTCATTTAGTTTGGACATTTATTTTGAGACAAAGGGAGTATATTAGAAATGCACCCTCTTGTTCTTTACTCCCTCCGTCCTAAAATAAGTGCCCACTTCCAAAAACAGACAATTATAAATTATTAAATTTCCAATCCTACCCTTGACACACGAAATATTTAAGAGTTGATGAGATGGAAAAAGAAAAGGTTTGCCTTTTATCACCAAGGGTAAAATTGTCATTTTCCTTGGGCACTTAATTTGAGATATAGAGAGTATATTAGAAACATGTAGAGCGAAATTTTACTTTCTTTGTCGTGTAATTCACAGGACGCCCGAAATGTCCGCAATGCATCATGACACGTCTGCCGATCTCAAGGTGGTCGGGAACACATTGAAAGACATATTGGGGGTATATGCTCTTTATCGTTATTTTGCTTCCCTTTTTCGATTCTTGCAAAAAGGACAGTGTTCCAGTCTTTCTATTCCTTGGGATAGAGGCAGGGTCTGTGCATTTCCTACCCCTGACCGGGGGCGGATTTAGGGTCTGCTTCTTAGCAGCTTAATGAGACTTGCAACTTATTTGGTCAGCTATAAATGACTATTTGGTAATAGCTTAATGATCTAAAAAGTAGCTTATTCAGTAAGCTTTAGGGGGGAGCTTTGTGCAGAAAGCCAAGTTTTTTTTAAACCTGTTCCTTTCAATTAAAAAATCGCTCCTTTAGTCCATACCAAAACAGCTTTATGCATACATGACTTAATGGGAAAACCAACCAAACAGCCCCTTAGTGGTTTAGAACTGAATGGCTTTTGGCTTATATTCTTTGTTTCTATTCACTTGATTTGCACAGATATCAGATACGTCTCTGAGCACGAGAAAGATTGTGGTCGAGGTTTGCAACATCATCGCGACACGAGGAGCACGACTAGCAGCTGCCGGGATTTTGGGGATTCTGAAGAAAATGGGAAGAGACACAGTTAGAGACGGAGAGGTCCCAAAAACGGTGATTGCGATGGACGGAGGGTTGTATGAACACTATACCGGATACCGAAACTGTCTTGAGAACACTTTGCATGAATTGGTGGGAGACCAACTTTCGCAACACATTAAGCTTATACTCTCCAATGATGGCTCAGGAATAGGTGCCGCCCTTCTTGCCGCTTCTCACTCCCGCTACGTCTAGATTCACGGTGGCAAACATTCGGTATTTTTTTGTTCGAGAGCTCGTGCCGATCGCGTCTACGAGTCCGGAATCCGATTTAGTCTCATATTTCTTGATTAGTTTAGGAATGGAGAAAAGGGTTTAATTTGATCTTGGTTTCCATCCCCAAGGGCTCAAGGTGTATGAACTATGTTAGCACTTGGATCCCCTTCTTGGGCCCCTTGTTGATTCTTTCTATTTGGAGCTAATTAATGGTTAATAAAAATGGGAAATTTTAAGTACTTTCTATCCTTTTTTTTTCACACGTTGAGGGTATTTACGGAAATAGTCATTTTAATCTGTAAAAATAGAGGTTAAATCTGTGTATATCTCTACCCTTCCGGACCCATCATGATACCATGAGTCCATTGTGGGTATTTAGATAGAGGTCATTTGTGTACGTCTCTACCCTCAGATCCCAGCTTTGGATGGAATATACTGGACCTTTCGATATTGTGAGTCCATTGTGGGTATTTACGAGAACAACGGTTTTACTCGTTCAGTATAGAGGTTAAATTTACATCTCAACCCCGACCTCACCTTCAGGTGGGATATAAAAGACCCTTTAGTATTTGAGTCCATCGTGGTATATACTGAATCAATCATTTTATCATTTGATGGTAAATGTCAAATCCATGTACACCTTACTTTCAAACCGGACATTTTGATATTGGGAGTTCATCGTGTCCATTGTGGATATTTACGAAAACAGCCATTCCACTCTTTGAGAATACAGGTCAAATCTGTGTACGTCTCACCCTCCCCAGGACCCCACCTTCAGATGTGATATATTGGACTCTTCCCACCTTCGTATAGGATATACTAGATTTTTTGGAATTGCGAATCCATTGTGGGTTTTTGCGAAAACTAATCAAATTTGCTAGACCCACCTTCGGGTAAAGATGCTCGACCGTTTGGTGTTGCGAGTCCATTATGGGTATTTATGTAAACAACCATTCTACCTTTTTAAGGTAGAAGTCAGATTTGTATATGTCTCATCCCTCAGATGCCACCTTTAGGTGGGATGTACTGAACCCTTTTGTTGTTTTCTTTCATTTATCTTTGGTGTCTAATAAAGGACAAATTGCATGAAAAAGTAACATACTTTAATTTGATTTCTATTTTGGGTAATGTACTTTCGGAACTTCCATTTTGATACCTAAGATGTATAGTTTTAAACATTTAAGTATCCAGGTAACCGAATGAAACATTAACCGGTTATTATGCTGATGTGGTATCCAACTCAGTATTATTTGCTGACGTGGTTGGTGACATGAATTTTTTTTAATCTAAAATTAATTTTCAACCGATTACCCAATAGTTAAATGTTTAAAAATTACATCTTAAGTTCCAAAACAACAGTTTTAAAAATACGTTACGCAAAATATAAATCAAGTTAAAGTATGTTGTTATTTAATACAATTTACCCTTAAATGAATTATTTATATTAAAACATAATAATGACGTGGCGTAATCAAATTTTTGACGGTATTAATTACAATAATCCGTACATATCACATGCGACATGGACCGCCTTATCTCCCTCTGTTTCATGGTTAAATCAATAATATTTTAATATTTCTTATAAAAAAACTTGACAATTTTTTATTATAATAATAAATGTAATAAAAAAAGAAATTTTAAAGACTTCGTCAAAATTCTAAAACCATATTATTTTATCTATACTATATTATAAAATATTTAATAAAAAATTTTAAAATCAATTTTTATACATAAAATATTATTTATTGATATATATTACTTAAAATTCAATATTACAAATATATTGTGCATGAATACAATTTATTAAACTTTTATTTTTGAATTTGTGTAACTAATTGTAGATAAACATAAACAAATACATGATAAACATCTCATTTTAAATATAAAAATTAAAATATAATTAAGATCCATTGGATTGGAACAATTATCCAATATTAATTGGATCATATCGGTTAACAAAATTCAAAGGATGATTAGATTGGTTCAATTCCCTTGTATCCAAACCGATAAATAGTAGGGGTGTTCATGGGTTGGGTTGATCGGGTTGAAAATATTTGAATAACCCAATTCAATGCTTGCGGTTTGAAAAAATCTTAACCCAACCCAACCCGTATGGATTGGTCGGGTTGATACTTTTGGTACATTAAAATATTCTTTTAACCTTGAATATGTTATTTCTCTACTCATAGTTTCTTTTTCATCATCAACCATTTTGATACAACTTAATTCATATTTCTTACGTATATCACATTCAATTAACTTTCTCAATTTACATATATATGTTTATAGTTACTGAACATATATACGAACGAGTTATATAGAGATATAAATATATTGAAAATATATGTATATGAAAAACATATATGATAGTGTAATTGTCTAATGTATATATTAATAGAAATTCAATAATCATATTAAATCCAATAAATAAAAGGATATCGCTTTCATCGGGTTGGGTTCGGTTCAAATAATAGTAACTCAATATCAACTCGATACCTACGGTTTGACAATTTTAGAATTTGATTAAACATCGGGTTATTTCAAGTTAAGTTATTTCACATTGGGTTAGATTAAATTGATCGGGTTTTTAAACACCCCTAATAAATAGTCATACAAATAATTGATAGGATGTTATAGAAAAAGGGGTGGTGCGTGGCTTGTAGGACACTATTAGATGATGTTTACAGTTGTCCCTCGCGCACGTGACCTATTTTAGCTTTCAATGCCCAACGATTCACCAGATCCTCACGCTATCTCGTTACATTGTAATTATTACGGAAATTTTATATTATTTTTTTAAAATAAAAAATATAAATATTTTTAATGCTATAAGACAGCTGCTAATATTATGATGCAAAATAATTAAGGGGTCAAAATGATTAAGAGGTTTTATGATATAATGAAAAATCAAATATAATTATTTGGTAATTATTTACAATGAAATTATGACGCTTAATAGTTAAGGGAGACCTATATATACAAATTTTTGTCACTATTTGACTATAAGAAACAAATATACAATTTTTTTTTCAAACGGTGAAATTATTTAACTAATAAAATGACAATAACAAGATTTGAACTTGGTTGTGGGATGGAATAAAAGTCTTGCAAACCAACTCTAATAAATAAAATTTGTTTTCATAGTAGTTTCAAAATACATGTCGTGACACAAAACAAATTAATACGGTTGCACATTTCACGAAACTAATTTTTTTTACCTTTTGACGGAGGAATAATACGGTGGTACGTGCTACCGTATGCCAAATCAATATTATTTATTGAAACATTAACCGGATACCACATCACTTGCCACATCAAACGGTTATCCATTAAATATCTAAAACTTTACATTTTAAATACTAAATTAGAAATTTGAAAATATATTACGTAAAATAACAATCAAGTTAAAATATGTTAATTTTTTCATAAAATTTGTTTAATATATATATATATATATATAAATTTACGAATATGAAGATACATACATTAACTTTTTACTTGGCGCCATCATACGTTCACTGTCGGCGGGACTTTGACATTTCTGGTCAACGTTCGTTTCAACGGAACGAAAGTTGCCTCCAAAACGCCGATCTGGTGGGTCCCATCCCAACTGTCACTTCCCTTTGCATACTGCAGGCCCCTCTTGTGTACCCTTTTCCAATTTTAATAAATAAAATATAAAATATTATTTTAATACATAAAATATAAAATTATTAGCATCCAATAATGGAATTTATCCAATTTCACATGCAAAAACGTCATTTACTTTTTTATTTTATTCATTTTTTTAAAATCATATGCATTTTGTATTTACTAAAAATTATTCACATAATGTAACGAGATATATCTTTCTTTTAATGTTTCGTTTTGTTTTTCTTGTCCCTATTGATATAATATAATATATATGGTTTTGAAAAAGATAATGGTTTTACGATTTAGTAAAGTAATTTATTTTTGGCTTATGATTCTGTTAGAAATCAATTATTATCTTAATTATATTTTATATTTTTTATATTTAAAATGAAATATTTATCCTATATTTGATTATGTTTATCTACATTGAGTCATACGAATTCAAAAATAAAGCTTTAATAGGTTGTACTTATGCACAATTTACTTATAATCTTAAATTTTAAATGATATACATTAATACATAGTACTTCATGTATAAAAAATGATTTTTAATAATTTTTGTTAAATGTATTATAATATAATATAGATATTCATATAAATTCCAAGTCAATTATTAACAACTTCTTCCCACTATAAAAGTTATTTTATTAGTAATTAAAATAAGCGTAAATTGCATTATAAAAGTAATGTACTTTAAATTCATTTTTATTTTGGATAATTTATTTTTAGAACTTTTATTTTGATACGTTAATTGTAAAGTTTTAAATATTTAAGTAGTCGTATAATCGGTTAAAGCATTAATATTTATTATGTTGATGTGACAAGTGATGAGATTAAATTGAGATGAATAACAAATAATTCTGAGTTGGATACCACATTACTCGTCACATGAACATGATAATCGATTAATATTTCAATCAGTTATTCAAATGTTTAGATGTTGAAAACTTTACATGTTAGGCATCAAAATAAAAGTTTTAAAAAACAAAGGAAAACAAAACAAAACAAAGAAACAAGAAGATCGACAAATATCTCGGCATCTCTTTTACTGTCCCATCACTATTTGCTCCAAAATGCAGACGAGAACTGTGCCTTTCTTTCCCTCCATCTCTCTGCACTTCTTCTTCGTCTTCACAGATTCTTCATCAAAACCCTAAATCATTCATTTGGATTTCTTCAATCTTCCTCCAATTTCACCTTGTTCTTCTTCCTTTTCTTCAGATTTCGTTAATTCTAATTCAACAATGGAGTTTTGGATTCAGAAACCATTCCATTTTCTGCAATCACTCATACCACTACTTGTCTTCTTCCTTTTCCAGTTAACAAAACCTTGTTCTTCATACGATACGCCATTAAATTGCACCGAGACATCTCGTCTCTGTACTTCATTCTTAGCTTTTACTCCATCCCCTAACCAAACCCTAGCTGTGATCATGAGCATGTTCGACGTGTTGCCTCAAGATGTTACGGTGGAAGGTAATGGTAGGGATTATGTTTTTGTTAGGAAGAATTGTTCGTGTGCTGCTTCTCCTGTTAGCAAGTACTTGACGAGTACGACTTATACCGTGAGGGAAAATGGGGGATCTCTGTACAGTATGGTGGTGGATGCTTACGGCGGATTGGGTTATTTATCGAATTTCTCGCGGCCGGCGCGTGTTGGGTCGGTGGTGTCGTTGCAGTTGTTTTGTGGATGTTCGAATGGGCTGTGGAATTATTTGTTGAGTTATGTGATGAAGGAAGGGGATAGTATCGGATTGTTGGCGAGTAGATTTGGTGTTAGCATGGATAGTATTGAGACTGTTAATGGAATCAATAATTCAGATAACGTCACCATTGGTGCACTTTATTACATACCTTTAAATTCTGGTAGGTCATATAAGCTTAATCTAATTGCAGAGCTCCTTTTACTGCTTACCTTTTGCGAGATTAGTTGAACTTTTAATCGCATTAAGAAATCTTTTGATTTGATTAGTTGATGTTTTGGAGCACTATACGCTTGTGAACTGCACATTATATGTCTGTGGCAGCTATAGTTTAGTTTTAACATCGATGAATTTGAAGATCTTTCGTTAGTGAAGTAGTTTCCTTAACGATGAACAACGATAGTTGGCCAGATCTATTATGAGCACATTATATGTCTGTGGCAGCTATAATTTAGTTTTAACATCGATGAATTTGAAGATCTTTCGTTAGTGAAGTAGTTTCCTTAACGATGAACAATGATAGTTGCCCAGATCTATTAAGAACACTCAAATTTCAACTTACAAGAATTTTACTTCTGTTTCTAGTAGAGAAAGTTCATAATAATGCCTTCTTCGAACCATCCGTTGGTTTTGAATGTTGGGTTAGCATTATGAACTTAAGCAAAACCAGTAACCACATTGCAAACTATATAATATCCAAACATTATAATATAGTAGGCAGTTTATTTCCAAACTAGTGGACTTGGGGTTCTCCTAAGGATCAAACTTGTAATTTAGGGAAGATTTCATCGAACTATTTATAGAAAAAGTGAATAAAAGCATTATTTGTGCAACTACTTTGTGATGGCATTAAATGAGTACCATATCGATGAACTCTGCAGTTTCAAGAATCTGAACTCAAATCTGTCAATTCGATTGTTTATGTGAGAATAGAAGGGTAGGTGGATGTGTGAGGGGCACAAAATGTAGGAGAGCACCATCTCCCATTATGTAATTTTGAAAGGTCATGTCATCATTGATTATAGGATAGTACAAGAGCTGACACCTTATGACCTGTGTATATATGAGCACGGAGCTGCTACTAGCATAAATATGGAACTTCTAGCTTTAACAAGCGGTTTCACTATCACTGGGTTCAACCTTCTCCAGTCTAAGCAAATCATCTTTTTTGGCATTTATGAAGCCTCACATGTATTGTATTTCATGGGCAGAAAGAATTAAAACGAGTATAACCCCCCAAGATAGTTATTGCTATCTGTAGCAAGTGTGCACATGTCCAATGATTTATTCTAATGTCGAGAACTAACCCTCAGTTTGTACAACATGAGCATATTCACTGTCAGCATCCTTGTACCTTCAGGACTTCTTATCTAATTTACTATCAAATTTAATGTAGTTCCAGGTGAGCCGTATCCAGTGAAGAATGACACTCCCCTTGCTCCTGCTCCTGCTCCAGCACCGCTGTTTGTTGCTGATGTGGCAGGTAAGATAGGTTTGTTTATGCTTACCTCTTATACATTTTGTTAATCGTGACAGAAAAAGAAGACGAGTGCTTTATCATGTTAAGCCATGAATAAATTTCTTTTTTATTATCATATAGCCTGAATGAAGGCAGTTTATAATCGTGTTGCTAAGATCCTGATGCTAGAACAATGTCATCTATTGCTTAAACCAGCATCTCTTCAGCATGCATGCATGCTTCAACGTGTATGTACTCATTGATGTGAACGTGAAGTATGAACATGCAAAAATTTCAGTGAGAGCAGATTAACAAGAAAAGGCTGAACTTCATGTCAGGATGAAGATGCTCCCCTGCCATAAGAGTTGATAGATGTTCTGCTTTGTTTGGAGCTACCCTGAACTTGTTTGTCACTCCCTCAACTACTAATGTAGCTCAATTACAGCTAAATTTATTTCCTGGTGAAAATGGCAAAAATATATGATTGGAGAAGTAAAATATGACAAAGAAATTTAGCTGATGGCTTATGCATATACCATATGACCTGGAAATGGTGTAGCTTAAGCCATAAATGTATACAGCAGTTAGCAATGATTTTTTGCTTATTGGTCTGAATTTTATCAGAAGAAGTTTTCCTTTGCCTTTTGTTTTGTTTGCATTACTGTCTTTTACAATTCTATTTTAATCACATTGTCCTTTTTTTGGAAACTCGAAATATCCTGAAGTAAATTTGAATTTTGGTACAGTTTATTAAACTTGTAATCTATATCAAGTTATGTCATAAAGCAGCACTTCATGTTCTATATAGTTACTTGTATTAGCCTTTACTTTCTTTGTAGTTCTCAAAATTGGATACTAGAATTTGGTTCCCTCCAGATTGGAGCTAAAGCCTATATCTGCCATGCTATATATATGTTTTACTATATGGTCCTTCTTAGAGCTCATAGGAGAGGAATTGACTAATGTTGTTCTTTATGCAGTAAATCAGAGCAATCATAAGTCTCATGTACCATTACGATGGATCATAGCGAGTTTGGGGGTTGGTTTGACACTAATCATAGCAGTCATAGGTTTTTTTGTTTACTCGAGATCATCAATTTGTTATGATGATGTCGAAGGGAGTCGTACAAAGGATCCAAAAGATGGAAAAGTTCCTCATAAGTTTCATATTTTACGGACTACAAGCTTTTGTTGTGGTTCACGGAGATTCTGCTGTAAATCTGATGATTGGAGAGAAACAACAGGGGAATCTAGTGACCGTCATATGAACATTCCAAAAGGTCGAAGTTTCAGACTTTTCTAGACTATCTTTTTGTTCTCGTAATAACCAATAAAGTGATTTTGCTTCTTTGTCTTATTCCTGCAGTTATTGGGACTGATGTGTTTGACATAGAGAAGCCTGTTGTCTTCCAATATGAAGAAATTTTTTCTGCTACAGATTGTTTCTCTGAATCCAACCTTCTTGGTCATGGAATGTATGGTGCTGTGTACTATGGTCTACTTCGTGACCAGGTTGGCATTTGTCTTCTTTGCTTCATATTCTAAATATATGAAACTCCCCTAGTCTATGCTTTATTCATGCATTATTGTAGGAAGTTGCTATCAAAAGAATGACAGAAACAAAAACTAAGGAGTTCATAGCAGAGATGAAAGTTCTGTGCAAGGTTCATCATACGAATTTGGTAAGGCTTATGGTACTTTTGAAATTGGTACATATTATTCTCGTTTCAGAACTGGTTGCCACCCTTCTTTTCTTTATTTCAAAGAATTGACTTGTGTCTGGTTTTCTTAATGTTAAGGTAGAACTGATTGGTTATGCTGCTACCGATGATGAGCTCTTCCTCATTTATGAATATGCTCAGAAAGGTTCACTTAAAAGTCACTTGCATGATCCTCAAAACAAGGGTAATATTTAACATGATGTTTCATCCTGTACATTCTACAAAGGGAAAAATGCATCAAATGCAATGAGGTGCCTTAGTTCCTATTTAGTGTAACAAATAAGCTTTTTCTCCAAAATTTTGTAGCAAGCCCAGTTTGACCAGTAAATTGCTGGTCTCATACTCTAACCCATTTTCAACCCCCCCCCCCCCCCCAAAAAAAAAAGGGGTAGAGGTCAGTACAACCAAAGGCGGACCTAGAATTTTTTTTACCATTTGACTATAAGAAACAAAGATATAGATATTTTTCACAAAATCATCATCGGTCTATTGGTTTAGTTCTTTGTCGTTCATATGTGAGGTCCTGAGTTCGAGTCTTTTATTGCAAATTTTTTTAGAAACATAACAAATCTAAAAACTAAGGAAATTGACACAAACGAGATTCGACCCCGGGTCTAGGGTGGGAGAAAGGCCATGCAAACCAACTCTACCAAGGAAAACTTGTCACCTTTGTAGTTTCAAAATATATAGGGTTGCACAAAACAAAATGATACGGTGACACCTTTCATGACCCTATAATTTTTTACACTACGACGAAGGAACGAAGCCCGTGCCACCATATCCAATAGAGTGGGTCCGCCCCCGAGTACAACGCACATCTCACTCTTCCCTGACCCTACTTTCAAGCGGGATTTACCGGGTTAGTTTGGTTTGCTTTGGTTTTTACATATCGTGGAATTGAGGGAGCCTTGACATCTGTGGTCGTCATACTACTTGACATTAAACTTGTTAAAATTCTCATAAACTTCTAATAGCACATGTGGAACAGCCGGGCAACCTTTTGTCAACGTTGATGAAAATAACTGTTACATACTACACTCTAGGTCATACAACACTTTCTTGGATCATGAGGGTTCAAATCGCACTTGACACTGCAAGGGGGATGGAATACATACATGAACATACTAAACCTCATTATGTACATCGTGATATCAAAACAAGCAACATCTTACTTGATGGTGCTTTTAAAGCCAAGGTACTTTATCTAGCTTCCATCATTGCTCAACAATTGAAACCTTTATGTTACATTTTCATACATCTGATTGCTTTTTGGCTTAAACAGATTTCAGACTTTGGGTTGGCAAAACTTGTTGGAAGAACTAATGATGATGAAGCTTCAGTGACAAGAGTGGTTGGAACCTATGGTTATTTGGCTCCAGAGTAAGTGTATTCTATGTGTGCACTGTCAAAATGTTACTGTTGAGAGTCCTACATCGGCTAGACTCGCTGTTCAAAAAGGCGCGCTATGGCGTCCGTTATGGCGCAATATGGCGTAAGACGCTTCTCCGCTATTATTACAAGGCCTATAGCATTTTTGTAAGACGCAGCTCACGCCATGGCACCCTGCGGCATGCCTTTTTTATGAGTTATGGTTTTTTTTAAATAATATTTTTTTTGGTTTTTTTAATTTATTTAGCTTTTATGTTTTCACGTTTTTAACTTTAGATTTTACACTTTTTTAGATTTATTTAATCATATCACTCACAATATCACAAATTCATACAAGTTATGGACTCGCTCACAATGACTACATGTATAATGATAATCTAGATGATTTTTCTTCTTCTAATATGGATGTAAATAGTTTTAATATCATTATCTGATCGAATAATAAACATATAGGTGTACATATAATTCTATATATGACATAAATTTGTTGCTTTGTGCCATGCCTTGAAAAATGTCGCGTCCTCGCTGTGGCGTGTAAGGCTTAAGGCTTGACCTCGCTGCGACGCCACGTTTCACGCTATTTTGAACTTTGGCCAGACTTGGACCGTTTCTCCACGATATACGTTGGAACCTCCCCTTGCTCCTCAAAGGATCTTTTGGAGAGTAATCAAACGGGGTTCCAAATATTGTGACAGATAGAATTGCTTAACTGACTTCTTATTGATCCCTATTTTATTACAGATACCTCAGGGATGGTCTGGCCACAGCTAAGAGTGATGTATATGCCTTTGGCGTTGTTCTTTTTGAGATAATATCCGGAAAGGATGCCATTGTACGAACTGAAGCTGTTGTGACAAAAAATTCTGAGAGACGGTCGTTGGCATCCGTTGTAAGTCTACTTCGCAAATTTACAAAATCATCAAAATTTTCTCTTTAATAGAATGTCAACAAACGTGAAACAGGAAGTACACAAATCTCGCAAACCTTCATAAGTCGTTGTCCTCTTTATGCATGTTATTTGAGCCTATTCAAGTTGAGGTAGCTTAATTGCTATAAATGCGAATGTAGAGGCAGGTAATCAATTTGTGAACTATGTTCTAAACGACGGGTTATTTAGGAGAATAACCTTGACATATTCTTGTATTATGAAGAGGCATTCTTTTGGGATCATTTAGGTATATAAACATTAAATGAGATTTTAATTAAATTCATGACTTCTTGACCTATTAAATGAAAAATGGCTTCATACTCATCAGAGGTCATGGATTTAACTAAAATCTCATTTAAAATTATATACCTAAATATCTCCATTCTCATCGTTTTGTTAGGCAGAGGTGTTCTTAAATATGTCAGAAGGAGGTCAATGCATATATATATATATTTCAGAAAGTTATTCTCCTGGATAACCCAATGGTGATTGGAATTAGCTTCCTATAGGATTAAGTGAACATAAGACATAATGGATTGGTAAATAAGAAGAGGACTTTAGTGATGCATTAAATTTCATGGCTCATTTCTGTATTTTGTGTTGTAAGTTGTCATATGCATCAGGAACTTTTACAATGAAGTTTGAAACTCAAATCTTAGTATTGAGTGTTTAATGTTGTGGAAAACTGCAGATGTTGGCAGCTCTTAAGAATGCACCTGAATCTATCAGTTCATCGAGCTTGAGAGATCATGTTGATCCAAATTTGATGGACTTATTTCCCCATGACTGCGTTTTTAAGGTACTAGACAAATTTGATGGACTTATATCCCTCAAACATTCCATTAAACCAAAGGGCCCGTAGGATGCATTTCGTTGACGGGACAAAAAAATACAAGAACTTGTTTTCTCATGTTTAGCATGACAAATATGCGTTTTTTTTTTTCTTTCTGTGAACTTGACAAGATGAGTAAATTATTAAACTACTCATGTCAAATTAAAACCCTAAAATCTTTTGAGAATTGCTTCAACCGCCTACCTAAACGCACCCTTAAAGATTGTACTTGACGGATGTTATGGTTCGTAGATGGCTATGCTGGGAAAACAATGTGTGGAGGATGATCCGGTCTTACGACCAGACATGAAGCAAGTCGTCATCTCCCTTTCACATATTCTTTTATCATCTGTGGAGTGGGAAGCGACTCTCGCCGGGAATAGCCAGGTATTCAGTGGTCTTGTTCAAGGTAGATAATCTTTTTTTGTCCTTCCAAATCTTCATTTATTAGTTACTACTTGAAGAGGATCCCTTCAGTTTTTGCTTTCTTCCTGCCCATGTTTACTTTCTTCCTGTGTGTATAGTATGGTTGTATAGATTGTTCACTCTAGGCTTTTTATACATTATTTATTTAATGAGTATTTGATAAATTTCTTTTTCTCATTTTGTTTTTGCTTGTACCACTTTGCTCTTAAAACTAGTTTTTGCCCTGGGGTTGTTTACCAAACGATTACTGAGAAGACACTTCTTACCTTATCGAGTAACATTCACAGGTTTTTGGTAATTGTCTCTTAACCAGTAAGCGCTAATCGGTTAAGTGGCCGTTTACTGAATTTTCATTGAATAAGTGCTTACAGACAAGTTCCACCAACCCCACTTACTTTATCGGGTAACATTATTGGTCATCAAAATGGATTGTTGTTGGTAATCATCTCTTATCCGGTAAGTACTAAACGGGTAAGGGGCTATTTACCAAACTTCTATTAGATAAGTGCCTACAGGCAAGTGTCCCCACCCTCACTTACCTTACCGGATAAGTGTTTTACCATGTGTCAGCTCTTCTCCCTCATTTACCGGGTAGGATTCTTGGTTTTGCTATGCCTTTTACTAAGTTAGATTCTTGATCTTTGTCATGCTCACCCGGTAAGCACTTACCAATACTCACGTTGTGAGTATTTACGTGTTAAAGCATTTGGTAAACAACCCCTTTGTTTTGTCGATTGCTGCAGTTATTGTCTACAACTCAGGAACCAAACGTTTAAGAAAGCGAGACATTTTCAGGTCAATCTCCGAACTGGCTTGGAGAGATTTAACAATTTCAGTCAGTTTCACCTCCTTTCCCCTTAGGGTTAGAGGTTGGAGAAGAGAGGGTTGACATTTTTATGGATATTAATTGATAAAATTATCTACTAACTAATGTTACAAACATCACATTTAAAGCAATTAATCAGTTGGTTAGTTTTAATGACTAAAAAGTGGTTAAAAAGTCGATCATGCTAGCACACCTATCACTATGTTTGCTACTTGAGAGCATCTTTAACAACGGTTATTTTAGAAATATATGCTGAACTCTCCTTTAAAATAGAGATAGAGATATTCCTTGAAAGAGGGGATAGAAAAAAGCATAAACTAATCTCTAAACTGATAAACTTCACACCTACACCAAGATGCCTCTTTTCATAATTAAATTCATGAAAAGTTTCTGTAACCAAATAAACCTCAATCCCATCACCAGTTGTAGATGTGCTCACTGGACCTGACCTGACCTGAATCAAGCCTTCACCTTTCATCCAAGATCAAAACCGCATAATTAGGAGCATCGAGACCGCTTTTTGATGCTGCTTTGAACCAATCAAGACCAGTCCTTTTGCCAAATCTATTCGAAAGCAAGGGGGATTTTAAACATCAGATCTCGTTATCTTTCATACAAATAAATACGAGGCAACTTTGGAACTTCGACAAATACCATGATTACACAACCGAAAAACGATAATCAAGTTCTGATGTAATGGATCCCTTAACTTGTTCATGGCCTATAATTTATAGAGTAAAGTTACAATTTTCCTCCCTGTGGTTTAGAAATTATGATTTTTGTCCTTATGATTTGCAATTTATTGCTATTTTGGTCCTTGGACTAATTCCTTATCTTTAAATACAAGGGACCAAAACAGTAAAGAATCGTAAACCACAGGAACCAAAACAACAATGATTCGTAAATCTATAAGGACGAAAACAGAAACAAACTATAAACCATAGGGGCAATTTTTAATTAACCACAGACCAAAAACGTAATGTACTCTAATTTATAAGTAAATTACAGTTTTCATCCCTGTGGTTTGGTGTTTTTAACGAATCATGAAATTTAAGAGTTGGGTCCATGAAGAACCACGGGCCCAGGTTGGTAATTTATTTAAAATAGACCCAACTCATTATAAGAAAAATGCAACCATAGAGACCCAATAAGGTATAGGGGCACGTTTCGTTAATATTTCAAAACAGAAACGAGATCCGTTAAATTAAAAGCACCAAACAAAATTTTGGTACAAGAGTAAATTACACTTTTCGTCCCTGTGGTTTGGTGTTTTAACAGATTGTCGTTTCAAAAAAGTTAGGTCTCTGTGATTGCATTTTCTTAAGATTGGTTAAAATATGCAACCATAGGGGCACGAGATTCCTTAAAAACACCAAACCTAATTCAATTTTTTTAGTAACTTCTCTTTAAGGAAAAATAGATAGATATCACGATATGATCTTTGCATTACATGTTTGTACACATTTTTAAAATAATAATAACATTAATAATTTGGCGTTGTTAAAAAAACAGAATTACCTGATTCTGTTTTGTTTTGCATATTTCCAGAATTACCCTTGGATCATAATCAATCAGACATATCGTATTCAGCACCACTGGATTGAAGATCCATATCTTCCATCTCCATATTCCCATCATGTCGTCTACCATTTGAACTTCTCCCTCTCGAACCCCCCTGCAACACAAAAACTCCTAATATTTATATGTTTCACTGATTCACGACAAGAAAAGAAATTGGAACCTCCAGCAACGTCGTTTGATAAAAAGACAAAATAAATGTTTTCTCCAAGGACACCCAAAAGTTGTTTCTTGGCTCACTCCACGGCTGAGGCCAGCCAGGACCTGTCTTGTATTTCGGACACATGCCAGACGGATGGGACCTACCATAGAAATGACCCATTTTATACAGACAAATGATATAAAACGACCCATTTTATACAGACAAATGATATAAAACGACCCATTTTTATACAGACCTGATATATCATCCGTCTGTCTCACTGATTTACGACAAATAAACAAAATGGAACCTCCAGCCACGTTGTTCGATAAAAGACAAAATAAACGTTATCTGAACCTAAAGTAATACACGATAATTACATTAATAACCATTTTCAGACGAGACCCATCACAAAATGACCCATTTTTCAAAATTGTCCAAAATAACCATCTATTTCGCAAAAACCCTAAAAAAAGTTGCTCACTTTTTGGCTGAAAAAAATCTAGGGTTTTGCAAACTGACTATGCAAAACCCTTCTTTCTTGCAAAAGGGCACAAAACCCTAAAAAAGAGGAGTTTCAGCCAAAAAGCGACTTTCGCAAAAAGATTTGGATTTTGCTTAATGAGTGTGGTTATTTTGTGCAAGTTATGAAAAGAATTTTTTTTTGGGGGGGGGTGGTTCCGTATCACTTTTCATGGTTGTTTCTAAATCCATGAATTCCTACTCTACTAAGGAAAAATGGCTCCATGTTCATTAGAAGGTTATTTAGAGTTCGTTTGGTACACTTGATATAGAACAAAACGGGGATCGTTGTTCCACGTTTGGTAGGACTTTTAAGTAGATTAGAGTGGAACAAAGTGGAACAGACTTGTATTTACAGTATAACCTCAAAATAACTCCTCTAAAACGTCTCATTCTTTACATTTTATTTATTCTTTAAATTTCACTATTGTATTTTATGTTCTTCTAAAACTTTCATTTGATAGAACAAAACAGGGATCACTATTCCACGTTTGGTAGAACTTTTATGTGGATCAGAGTGGAACAGACGTTTTCCACCCCCACCCCCACCCCCATGGAACAAACTTATGTTTACCAATATAACCTCAAAATAAATTCTAACTCTTCTAAAACATCTCATTCTTTACATTTTATTTATTCTTTAAATTTCACTTATTGTATTTTATACTCTTTAAACTTTCACTTTGCTGTCCTCAAAATATTTATTTTTATACTGTTTCTATATTTTGATTAGTTTATCTAATTTATTAAATATTAATTAATAAAAAAATAATATATAAAAGGTATAAAATAAAATTTGGAAACTACAATTTTTTTATTTTGGTATCACTATGATCATTTAGACAAAACCTTTCTAATGTTATAATAATTTATTTATTTTATTTTAATTAATAAATTACATAAATTAATCAAAACATATAAAATAAATAAACAAATCACTAGGGGTAAGGTGTTCATATTATCTGCACTGTTATGTCCAGTTCTATCTTGCCAAATGCTAAACAGCTTTCTGTTATGTCATTTCTAGATACCAAATACACCCTTAAAGGTTATATTACCTAAATATCTCCAATCCAATCTAATTGTAACAGATATGACAAAAAGATGACCTTAAAAAGAATGGTGTTTGCAATTCTCAGACACAAAATGGGCCCAAATCAATTTACTTGTAAAGATGATACCAGCAAATAGGCAATTTTCATATGCAAACCTTCCTAAAAATGAATGTAGTGATTATGAAGTAGTCTAAGTACTCCTCCCAAAATAAGTGTTCATATTTTGCCCTTTGATTGTGTGACGGAGAAAATCTCTCTTTATTATTAAAGGTAAAAGTGTCTTTTAGTTAATCAAAAAGTGTAATGATTACACATTCCTAAAACTGTCATTTTCAAGGACATTTATTTTGGGACGGAGGGAGTAAAAGGTAGTGAAGGCATGTGTGATACGTACCTCGGATTCCTTCATCTTAACCAAGACATTTGATCTTTGCCTCACCGTGATACTTGCAGGTACAGGGAAATGTTCAACCTCGTCGCCTGTTTTTCCTTCCCTCGATCTCTTTTTCCTTAGAATCAGCTTTGTTGGCAGTGGCTAAATACAGAGCCAAAATTAACAAGTCGCTATACAGAAAGAATATAGCAAAAATGTGAATCTATATATGTAGTCCCCTTCTTTTACAAACCCAATAATTCGTACGGAACTTACAAACCAGTTTTCATGTGTATGTGTAAAAATGCAGTGTTTATACGGTGTTGTGTTTCATATGTGAAACATTCAGAACTGTTTTTACCACGCAAAAAACAATCCTGAACGATTTGACATGTGAAACAAGACCGTATGAACATTGAATTCTCACACGTGTTATTTCGTATGTGAAACAACACATGAAACCAGTTTGTAAGTTTGTATGATTTATTGGGTTTGTAAATGATTATGCCTCTCTCTCTCTCTCTCTCTCTCTCTCTCTATATATATATATATATATATATTTGTGTGTGTGTGGTTGGGTTCTCATTTGAGACACACCATGAAGGTTTTGTAGGTGCTTCCCATGAAGGTTTGGTGTCTTTTTTATGAATATTAGTTGTGTTTTTCATGTGAAGATTTGGTCCTGTGAAGGTTCAGTGTTTTGCAGTGAAAGTTCAGTTTGCTCTGTTCAGGAGGTTTGTCGAGATAAAGAAAACACATCCAAAGACTCGTTGTGTGTCCCATGGGGGTCACGAAAACTAACGTGTCACATGATCCCAAATATATGCATATATATATATATATATATATATATATATATATGTATATTACATTGTAACGAGCCTCTGATTCATCAAATGCAACAAGGAAACTCGTAGGATCATCCACATCCTCACCCCGCACCTGTTCAAAAAAAAAATATGTATATAACACGACATTTTTTGAACACAGCCCTAGAATTTGAAGAGTTTACAAGTACTGAAACATACATCCCAACGATATTCACGAACCCACGTGTAAGAAATATCTTCACTTTCATCGGATATATCCTTTGACAGCTGGAACCATTTATAAAAGCACGGTGAGCATTAGAGAAAACGACCAAATAACAACAAACAGAACCTACATTTGATCACTACAAAATTTCAGAGTATGCATTTACTAAAACAAAAACAGAAACATATGGATGAAATGTCTCGGTTCTCACCACACTGGAACTTTAAAGGCAAATTTTACCTCACCGACGGAAGGTACCATGTAACCCAAAAATTTGTCAGGTTTAGCCGAGTCCGAGGTGCTTGCCACAAAGCTTTTCATAATGGCCTGCAATGGAGCATGAAGTCAAAACAAACCAGGCAAGTAGTTGAAATTAAATTTGGTAACTGTAGCTCGATTGATTTGAAGTGCCATCGCCCATCAGGCTACATTAATGTCCAAAATCCCCTATATAATGGGTTATTGAACTCGATTTTTTTATCGAGTGCTTTCAGAAAACCAGGGAGCGTTTATAAGATAGAATTGCGGAGCCAGTAGAGATGTATTCTTTTGCCTTCCAACTTCCAAGTTCCAATTAATTTTCACAGCTTACCAACTTGCAAGTTGCAATCTAGGTGCGTTTGGCATGTGTGGGATGGGCGAGAGTGAGGTGAGCAGGTGAAAGAATTTCGGAAGGTTTTAGGAAGGGTAGCTTAGTAATTTACCGATCTTGTTATCTCCCTAATTTTAGCTCCACCTATTTTCGTGGGACTGATAAATGCAATTTTTGTCCACTCAGGTTTTGTCTTGTCCCAGTCTAATGTCGTGCCAAACTTGGGACAACAAGTTTTTGTACCGTCTTGTCCCATGTACTGAAAGCATCCTAACTGGACATGACAGAATAGGGGTCAATGTTCCACCTTTAGCAAGACTTTTACATGGAACAAACAGGAACAAAGTGGAACACCCCCACCCCATGGAACAAAGTGGAACAAACCTATATTTTACCAATATAATCTCAAAATAAAACCTAATTCTCTTCTAAAACATCAAATACGCCTCCCTCTTTAAATTCTATTCATTCTCTAAATTTTATTTGTTGTATTTTATGTTTTTCAAACTCACTTTACTGTCCTCAAAATATTATTTTGTATGGTTTCTATATTTTGATTAATTTATGTACGTTATTAAATATTAATAATAAACAAATAATATAGAAAAGGTGTAAAATAAATTTGGGAAACTACATAAACTTTTTATTTTGGTGTTCATTTTAATAGTCTTGACAAGAACTTTCGGGTTATATATTTTGTTATAAAAAAACTTATTATATTATAATTTAATAAATTACATGAGTTAATCAAAATATAAAAAAATATATATAAACAACTCATTAAGGGTAAATTGGTCATTTTATCTGTCCAGTCCTGTCATATGATCCTGTCTTACCAAACGGCAAACAACTTTTATGTCTTGTCCTGTCATATCCTCTATGGATGCCAAACGCACCCTAAGAGATGTCTATCACCCTAATAGCTTTCAGGTCTCAACAATTCAACTACTTAAATCTTCAGTTATCTACTTTCCCTTTTTCAAAGCTGCCACTTTATAGGACTTAAAATAACATTTTTCACCAACTATCCACAACATCGTGTCCAAGCAGATCATACCTGAGCTTCATGAGCATCTCTAACGGATTTGTCCATTTTATTGTAGCTTTCTGAATCTACGGTAGGAGGACCATCAAAGGTCGCAACAACAAATTGATCATCCCACCTGCAAACACAATCAGAAATTAGCAAAAGATGAAGGATAGACAATTTCCCTTCAAAATAGAGGAATACTGATATAGAATATATTTACAAGAGTAAATGAAAATAAAATATTTAGCGATTACCGTTCAAAATCAGGAAATAATGGCAAAATCTCAACAGGCTGTAGTTTTTTGTTAGTTGCATGAACAGGATGTGACTTGCAAGCCTCAAATGAAGCCTGAATGTCCTGAATTTTCCTTTCCCTGATTAAAGTGAATGGCAATTGTCACAAAAGTTAGGCAATGAAATACAGCATGTGGTTTCTTCATATAGAATTGGAAACGGATATTGTATACCTACTATTGAGGTTATCTAGTATGTTGTTCCCGCGTCTTTCCCGTAAATCTTTTGCTTGTTTTTCAGTCAAAGACTGCAAGTTGGATTGAAGAAAAACGACTTGTTGTTTAACCAAACAAACACAAATTTGAAGTTTTGCACATAGTGATGTGTACCCACAAGTCCACGACTTAGGGTGCGTTTGCTACACCAGACAGCACAGAACAGGGATCCCTGTTACACTTCTGGTAGAACTTTTATGTGGAACATACAGAAACAGAGTGAAACAAGCATGCTCCAACCCCCATGGAACAAGGTGGAACAAGGTGGAACAAACCTATATTTTACCAATATAACCTCAAAAAAACCTAATTCTTTTCTAAAACATCAAATATGCATCACTCTTTACATATTATTCATTCTTTACATTTTACTTATTGTATTTTATGTTCTTTAAACTTTCACTTTTACTATCCTCAAAATATTATTTTTATACCGGTTTTTATTTTTTGATTAATTTATGTAATTTATTAAATATTAGTAATAGAAAAATATAGAAAAGGTACAAAATAAAAGTTGAAAATTATATTAACTTTTTATTTTGGTGTCAATTTAATCGTCTTGACGAAAACTTTCTAATGATATATTTTGTTATGAAGATATTTATTTTATTATAATTTAATAAATTACATAAATTGATCAAAATATATAAAATATATAAACAACTCATTTGGGGTAAATTGGTAATTATATCTGTTTTGTCTTATTCAATTATGTCTTACCAAACGTTGAAGAGTTATTCTGTCTTGTCCTGTCCTATCTTGTCTGAATACCAAACGCACCCTTAGAAACAAAAGCATTATATTAACCTGTCTTGTTGCCTCCATGCTAAGAGGAGATATATATTGCGTCTTGACCAGCCAAGAAACACCTTTATCCGTAGGGCGTTCCTTCCTCTTTAACCCGTCTTTTTTTATCGGGGTCACAGAGACATCCTCCTGCAGCAGCCTCTCATCTTCAGGAGCAACATGTAGTATTTCATCTTTGGGAGCACTAATCCATGAAGGAAACAAGTTGTACTGAGTTAATTGACTTGATTACAAGAAAAGGCAGACAATTTATTAAAGAAAGAACGATGATAAAATGAGTTAATACTTGTATACACTGAGATCAAGTAGGTCAAGCGGTATCCCAAGGTCTGGCTCGACATACAATTGAGGCTTGTGCACCTTCTCCAATGAAGTGACGGAATACCTAGCAGCTCTGCGAAGATTATTTGTAAGATTTAATGCTGGTTATACGCATAAACCATAGATATTACAGCTCATGGCTAGTCGGGTGATAGTGCACTACCCATCATATTATAAAGAACTGAATTCATTTCACCCGTTTTCTAACTTTCTTAGAACAAAGAATTCATCCTTACCCAACAAGCACTACAACAAAATCGAGTTTAGGACGCCAATAGGACTTAAGTTTATAGAACCAAACAATTGTGCGTCATGTGCAAAAGTGTTACAATAAGTTTATACGGTGCTTTGAGGCATCTTAACAAGTTTTTTAGGACAATTTTGAAATAAAACGCCCTAATAATTTTTAATACGACATTATTTGAAAAAAAATGTATAGGTGGCCTGTATATGTGTTCATAGACCATTTCTCAAAAGTTTCCTAACAAAATGCCACCATAACACTTTATATCTGATAAAACTTGTTAAAGATGCCCGAGAACTATCATATGAACTTACCAAAGGGCCTTTGGCCTAGCGGTATCGTAGCCCTTGGCCTTCTAGGAGGTCAGGGGTTCAAACCTCACCATAGGTGAGTTTATTTGTTGCATTTGCCGTATATAAATATTATATACTTCAAAAAAAAAACTATCATATGAACTTATTATAACACCTATTAAATATAAGAACACACAATTGTTTGGTACTAATGTACTATAAACTTAAGTCCTATTGATTTCATTTATCAAATAGAAAATCATGAAGTGCAATTTACATCATGAAGTGTAAGATCCTGCCATGCCTTCTGCATGGTGACAACTGACAAGCCCGTCATGAAGTGTAATTTACATGTGTATTTCATTTACTTGAAAAGTACACAACGAGCAGTAATTGCAAAAACTTGAAAATAGGTGTTGTGCCTAAGCTGTAATACATAAATATAACACTCTCATGTTGTTGTGATATCTATAATAATATACTAGTAGTACTGCAACGAACTTGGTCATCTAAAATTTATGAAGAAATATTGCAGTCAGAGATTAATAAATAATAATCATCTTCAAAATCATATATATGAATTGTGATACACAAATTTTCACATCAAATACCCCCAATGTGTTGTCCCTGTAACAATACTGACTACATGCAACTTTGTCAGGCTACACACTTGCACATGGCATGCAAGAGAGCCTGTAGAGCAAAGTGTGAGATGGCAATTACTATAGCCACGGAAATTATATAAAGAACACTGAAGCTGAAGATGGGGAAAATATCTCTGCCTCTCTTCTTCCTGTTCATTCATTTGATTAGTGTTTTTTGTTTCAGATTTTGCATTGCTTTAAACTCAGATTTGCATTAGTTTGGATCATTGGGCTTCAAACTGATTTTTTTATCCACAGCTTTGTTCAGAAAGCAAAATTTTCACAACCATGTCCATTATGACGAGGCAAGCATTTTGCCATAAGTTCCACAGTGATGCATCAACAGGCAGTTGCAGACTGCCAAGACGCCTAGTTGCCCATGACAACTATGTTATTAACAACTTCTACTGAATAGAGTGGCATGTTCCTTTCTAAAGTATACATGAGTGAGCTTGGAATTTTCATTGCTGAGAAGTATGCTCTAACATTTTATGATATCTATATGTGGTTGTTTTCAAAAGCTTGTATGACAATCATAACCCACATCAGGTGGAATAATAAAAGATCCACTGGAGCTGGACTAATGATCTATCTACCCATTAGTTTTTAGTTTGATTGATAGTTTGGAACACGACTACACGAGATCAAACTACGCAGTCTCAGATTTTCAATTTGGAAAACCGTTTTCAGGCCTAAAGTGGAAAAGCCTTGCCCTGCGGATTCATCCTATTAGCCTTCTGAAGAAGCAACCGCCATGTACCTTCCATCGTCTCTACTTCTGACATTTGATGAGAGCACGTTACAACTTACAACAAGACACTGATGAATACATCATTTTTCGGTATTCTATTTGGCAGTCTCAAATAATAAGCATTCGCCACCAACTAGTCTCTACCCATGGCAAGCAGCATGTGTAGCTAGGAAAATTTTGTACAGCACACATATGTGTAGGATAAGTTTGAAGCTAAAACAAATAGCAGTGCAAAAGATCATGAGAGTAAGATTGCATACCGATATTTGTCTCTCCTTATAGACAGAAGCTTTGGTTGGGATGTCGAATCCGGTAACTCATCCCGGAATCTTCAAAGAGCACAAAAGTGTAAAGAACATTCAGGATCAAATAACTATATTAGAAAAAATAAATAGGTTGCATCAGCCATCAGGTAACAGTATTATCACGAATATGCTGGGGTGCCATATCATGAAGTCAATAGAGTTAAAAAGAACCTCAATCAAAACAAAGCAACAAATGAGCACCAATGCAACAATGCTTTGCAACATAAATAGTAAGAGGTGGTATAAGGCAAAGGGTTAGAAAGAGATATAAAACTTAGTGTCGTAACATACTTACTTCAGCTTGCAAAGAAAGGTTGTCGGCTTCTTCAATCGATTTTCAATCCTTTCACCACTCAAAAATGGGTTAGCCCTCCTATCACCCATATGGGAGCCACTAACTGAACCATGTGGCTTGATCCCTGAAGATAAAATTTGGGTCTTTTGGAGGACTTTATTCTGAGACTCCTTCAACTGCTGCCTATGTTTCTCTTCTTGCCTTTGCTTTTCCATTTCTCTCTTCTTGAACAACCTCCTCTCTTCTTCAGTCTCAACCCTGCCAGGAGGACCGCCATTCGATTTTCTTGCTGGCACAGGAGGTAAACTGGATGGCTTAGAATGCTGTCTAGAAGGACCGGCATGATGGGAATGCGACGGATTACGCCATTTAGAAGCCTCCGGGTCATTGGAAGGCCTTTTGTAACCTTCGTGTCTGTTTTCCTTGGCTTGATCTTTTGTGGGAACGGTAGTAGGAGGTGGAGGAGGCGATGGTGGTTGTAGTGGTGGGGGAGGAGGCGGGGGCGCTGAAGAACTCGGAGGAGAGGAAGGTGGAGGTGGTGGTGGTGGCGGTTGCAGCAGTGGTTGTATAGGCTGATTATGTAACTGAGCATGCTGAGAAGATGGGAAATACATTTGTCCCCGTGGTGCAGGCTGGGAAGGGGGCGGTGGTGGTGGTGGATATGAAGACTCCGGTGGTGGTGGGGGCGGATATGATGCAAATTGTTGTTGTTGTTGATTGGGAACAGAGGTTCCTGGTGGAGGCGCATAACTACCCTGTTGAAAACTCGAATTGGGATAGCCCCAATTCTGAGAATACTGATTTCCTCTTGGTTGGGGCGGAGGGGCAAGTGGTGGAGGTGGAAGAGTAGTGTGATTGGGCAGCGGAGGTGGTGGCCGGCCAAAATTTGATTGAGGTGGTGGTGGTGGTTGAGGGAATGGTCTGTACGACGCCATCCCTTCAGAATTTGACTCTACGAACCACTGCTCAACTATTTTACTAAAACCCTAGCAGACCGATGGATATTACGACAAAAAATCGCAAGCGTATTGCTTCAAGAATCTAAACGAAGAATGTGTATGGATTCCTTTTTCCTAACAGGAGAGGTAATATGAAATTGAACTCACGGATTTCAATCTCTTCGATATATTCCACCCGAAAAACATTCAAACCAGCACCTCGTCTTTACAATAAGTATCACCGTTTCCCAAATAATATAAACAGACCGAATTTCAAAACCCTAGAACCAAAAAATCCGTCAAAACTCCATTGTTTTAAGAATTACTAGATTCAAAGCCATGAGAAACAGGAAACGAAATCAAATTCCTATTAAGATCGAACTAATGAAACAAACTCACAAATATATAAACGCTGGCGTCGCAATCAATCTGCTGCGCACATAATGTGTCTCAGCAGATGATTCAAGAGTTCGACGTTGATCAGTAGAGATAAATAGGCGTATCAGATTGAAGAATCTGCATCGATAAATAGAGATGGAGTGTATGTGTATGTGTTCGGATGGGGAAAGTGGCCGGAAAAGTGATCGGAGATGCAAAACCTGAAGGCGGCGAAGCTATTCATACGGTAGTACGCTACCAGGGGAAAAGAGGATGGTTCTGTTTATAAATCTAATCAACTAATCTTGTGATTAAAAATCATTATAGCTGTGGAACCGAAAAATTACATGAAAAAAAAACATATTTTAATTTGATTTATATTTTGGGTAACACGTCAGTAAATAATATTGAGTTGGATACTACATCACTCATCACATCAATATGATAACTGATTAATGTTTCAATCAGGTACTTAAATGTTTAAAATTTGACATCTTATGTACCAAAATAAAAAATTTAAAAGTACGTTACCTAAAATAAGAATCAAGTTAAAGTACGTTATTTTTTATACAATTTACCCTCAAATATAATATACAAATGGTATTGCAGTTTATTGGGAAATTACCAAAATACCCTATCTCTCCCGTCAAACTCACTTTTAAGTTTTTTCTCAATTGAATTTTCATTTTAGCCAGAGTTTATGTAAATGCCTAAACTCGATTTTCAGATTTATAAAGAAAATTTGTACGGAAGTCTGTGTAAGGATTCATATTTGCATATAAAAAAAACCTGTTCTTTTTTAATCTGAAAATAGGTTATATATTAATGTGTAAAGCATTAGTTGGCTTCTAATATGAATTTAGTTCCAAAGGTAACTAAAAGTGAATTTAATTGGGGAGGTTGACTACATTGGTCAATTTTCGAAGTTTATTGAGTGTATTCTGGTCTATGCAGTGTAAGGTTTTTTTAGATTAGACCGTAAGTGATAGGGATGGCAAAAAAAAAAAAAAAAACAGATGGTGAAAATTGAAAACCAGAATTTTTTGATCGGATTCGGGGACATCTTATCAAGGACGGGGCGGTGATCGGGGACTTTACCGGGGATGGGGGCGGTGGTCACCGGCATGGCCTGGTCTGATATGTGTATAAATATTAATTTTAATTTGTATACATACATGTCTATATATTTTTGAGATCACGTGAGACCAGCATGTTTTCATGAGACCCGTAAGACCAATTTTTACACTTGAAACTTCACAGCGTTTTTGCTGTGAAGGTTCAGTTTTTTTTTTTTTAACCTTCACATCGTTTTGTTGTGAAGTTTCAAGTGTAAAAAAATAGTCTCAGGGTCTCACGTGAACCTAAAGCATGTCTATCTATCTATTCATCCATCTCTCTCTCTCTCTCTCTCTATATATATATATATATATATATATATATATATATCACTAAAAGAAAATAATAACATTAATGTTTAAAAGACTTTTATTCAATTTACCTCAGCACCCCAAGGTAAGATTTCTAAATTCCACCAGAGGCATAACATAATCATAAGTAAAAGTAAGTTATCCAACCACTCGAAATTAACTGCACAATAAGAGGCATAATAAAGATCGAGAATCTTACTCGGTAAGTTATGAGCAAAGCTATTTCCGTTAGTGCTTATTGGACAAGAGACGCTTATATCAACTACCCAGTATGATGATCAAGAATATCACTTGATAAGGTAAATAAGGACAGTAACTTTTACCAGTAAGCACTTACCCGCTAAACGTCTGAGTAAACGACTCATCAATTAAGAAGTTAAATTCATTTTTGATGGTTTTCATGCTATTTCTGAATCGCTAAAACATCAACATATTGTTTTGATTTATCAAATAACTGTAAAAACTGTATAATTAGAAAAATAATAATTACAGATAACTTTTCCGCTATTTCGTCTAAAACAAAAGGAATAATCATAAATGACTTGTTTTTCATTGTCAGCTATTATTGTTGTTAAAGTGACAAGAAAACGGCGGAACACGCGGTTTTAAGCAATTTTATGACAATTATGTAAACATTTAAACACGTATTTACTTATTTGCCTATTGACAATTATTGATGTTTTTTTAATTAACTTGGATATCCAACCCGTTATACGAGCCGACTAATCTCATGACGACCAACTACTTTACGGGTGGCCAGGAGTCACCGCATTTGAACCTCCGTAACCACACGGTGATTTTTATTCCTCTTTGGATTTAAACCTGGGACCTCCAGACACTTTTGATATTTGGAGTCCAAGCTCAAACCAATCAGACATCACCTTTGTGGTTTATTGATGTGTTTAAGTTAATCAATCAAAAGCTACGGGCTTAATTGGAAGTCAAACACGTTAATGAAAGTTGTAAGGGAGGCAACGGTTGGCCCCAATCGGGACTGATGGGCCGAAATTGATCCCAAATTTCAAGCTAAAGGTGGTTAGAATTGGAATCGAACTTTGAACAAGTTCAACCGTTTGTTCACCTTGACAATTTTGCACAAATCCCATAAATTAGAGGTCGATATCATGTATACCGAACAAGAAATCAACTCACTAAGATCTGTGTATAAAAACACTTAGGGCAATTTGCATAGGAAAGTAACGTACTTTAACTTGATTATTATTTTGAGTAACGTATTTTCAAAACATTCATTTCAAAACCGAGTTGGATACCACATCGTTCGGCACATCAGTACGATAACTGGTTAATCTTTCAATCATTTAAGTACCCGGTTTAGATATAAAAAGAAGATTGATTTTAGATTAAAAAGATCTATGTCACTAACCACGTTAACAAATAATAATGAGTTGGATACCACATAACTCACCGCTCAACATGATAACCGGTTATCCGAGTATTTAAATGTTTAAAACTTTACAACTTAGACATCAAAATGGAAGTTTTGGAAGTATGCTACCCAAATAAAAATCAAGTTAAAGTACGTTACTTTTTTCATGCAATTTGCTTTTTTGTAACAAATAAAAAAAATATATACACTAGAGTTATTTTTTAAAATTAATTTCTTAAAATAAAAGCTGTTCAAATTTGAAATTTAATTTTAAAACTATTTTCATATATTTATTAGTTTAAAGAAACTTTTCAAGAAATGCCAAAAAGCAAAAGAAAAAAAAGCCACGAGATCAGACAAAAACACCAAGCCCTGAATCCTTTGAATTAATTCATTAAATTAACCACCAATGACATCGACGAACACGCAATTCACATGCGTATTCATATGTGAATCCTACTCCCAAAATCAAAATCAAAACCCAAAAAGTGTTTAATTCTTCCCCCATGAATTGATTCTCCATTCAAAATCAATCCTACATTCTTAAGAATCACTTCTCCACACGTAAGTGCTTCTCCAAGAATCAAAAGCACATACGTATTCATATCGAAAACCAATCACGGGTTTTCGTAATCTGTTCGTTTTTTTCACATGGATCATGTTCGTAATTCTGGTTTTAGGTCAAATTGATGGCTGAAGAAGAACAAGAAGACGACAACGACGAAGAGGATTCGCCAAATTCAGGGGTTGATTTTGTGATCTGTTTATTTCAAGGATGTAATCGGGATTAGGGTTTTCGATTTGATTTGAATTTGAAAAATGGAAAGAGGGAAACCAGATATAAACCCAATGGTTTTGAAATTTGGGCTTGCTGTAGCTGTTTCTCTTGGTGGGATGATTTATAGTTTTCTTAGAAACAAAAGGATCAAAAAACCAACAAAACCTCCATCTGATTGTTTGAAATCTCCTTCAGGTTTGAATTTTTGCCCTAATCTTTTCATCTGTTTTAGATTTTGAACGATTGATGTTTTTTATGATGATTTCGTGTGTTTAGATTGCAATAACCAGGGGATTTCAGTGAAGGAATCATGGGGTTCAAGAAGTGATCATTGTGGATTAAATGTAACATCAAATTCTTGCCGATTTGATCCTTTGGCAACTGATAAACATGTAAGATGCTTGATGCTTTTTTTAGATTTTTGATTGGTGTTATTATGGCAATTTTACCTTTCTAATAGCTTAATTATCATCTAACCACATGGCTTATTTGAATTTATAATTCTTGTATGCAAAAAAAGGTATAGAATTTGAGGAAAAGGTTGAATATTGGCCCTATTTGGGACCTGCCCCCAAAGAACCACATGTGAGCAGACACTTTAGCATTGACTTAGAGGATGAGGCCGAGGGATTACGATTCGGGATTTTACATAAAACCAAACACGAAATTGGTATGAAATCCAATTCCAAATCCTATGAAATCTAACAAAGCAAACAGGCCCTTAAATGGTACAAAACCAATAGGTGGAATAAAGATAAGGAAGATGGGACAAAAATGGTAAATTACTGAAGTACCCTTGTAAAATTAAAACTCTAAAATGCTACACTATTATTTCACCCGTCTACCTCGCTCTTGGCCGTCCAGTGATGCTTTCGTTAGGTTTTTGATTGGTGTTATTATGGTAATTTCCCTTTGCTAATGGCTTAATTTCCCATCTACCCACATGATTTATTCGAATTTATAACTCATTGTATGCAAAAAAAAAAGCTTTAGAATTTGAGGAAAAGGTTGAGTACCGGCAATCCCGCGCAACCCCACATAAAACCGTCTCCTAGGAACCACATGTGAGGAGACATTTTAGAGTTGACTTAGCGGTTAAGGCTGTGGGATTACAATTCGGGAATTTACATAAAATCAAACACGAGATTGGAATGAAATGCAATTCCAAATTCTATGAAATATAGCAAAGCAAACGGGCCCTTAAATGGTACAAAATAAATAGGTGGTACAAAAATAAGGGAGATGGGACAAAAATAGTAAATTACTAAAGTACCCTTGTAAATTATTAAAACCCTAAAACCCTGCACAATTACTTCACCTGCCTATCTCACTCTTGGCCGTCCTATGATATCATTATGCGTCAAATAGAACATCAAATCCTTGCAATTTGATCCTTTGGCAATAGATAAACATGTAACATTCTTGATGCTTTCTCTAGGTTCTCGATTGGTGTTATTATGGTAAATCCCCCTTTCTAATGGCTTAATTTCCATCTACCCACATGATTTGTTTGAATTTATAATTATTGTATGCAAAACAAGCCTTAGAATTTGAGGAAAAGGTTGAATACTGGCAATTCTGAGCGGCCCCACATAGAACCATCTCCCTAGGAACCACATGTGAGAAGACATTTTAGAGCTGACTTAGCAGTTGAGGCTGTGGGATTGCAATTTGGGATTTTACATAAAACCAAACACGAGATTGGAATGAAATGCAATTCCAAATTCCATGAAATCTAGCAAAGCAAACGGGCCCTTAAATGGTACAAAATAAATAGGTGGAATAGAAAGAAGGGAGATGGGACATAAATGGTAAATTACTAAACTATCCTTGTAAAATTAAAACCTTGCCTAGTTATTTCACACGCCTACCTCATTCTCCCCCGTCTAGTCTTGTCTATATACCAAACGCACCCTTACTGAAGTTACATGATTATCGGAATCTAAAAAACACATGTTCATTAAAGCCAGAATCACTCAAAATTGCAAAATAGGAACAAAAAAACTAAGGGCAAAACTCAAACCTGAAGATTTAGAAGGATCAGGTGGAGATTGGGAGGTGTGTTTCAGTCTTTGGTACGCAGACAGGACTAGATAAGACAAAAAAAAAACTTACCATAACACTTTTGGTGTGACGTATAGACTGTGACAGGACAAGACTGATTGGAACAAAAATGCACCATAATCGGTGGAACAAAAATCAGGGAGACATAACAAGATTGGTAAATTACTAAAATACTCTTATCCAATTAAAAACCTAAAACCTTGCACAATTGTTTCACATGCCTACATCACTCGAGTGCAACAAAAATGCACCAAAATAGGTGGAACAAAAATAAGGGAGGCATGACAAGATTGATAAATTACTAAAATACCCTTGTTCAATTAAAACCCTAAAACCTTGCACAATTCTTTTTAACCCGCATAGTCTTGTCCCGTGCCGTCCCGTTGAGTGTTATCTTTGACCAGTTTGTATGTTTCCTGTTGCAGGACCAGTTGCATAACTCCATGCCTGATCTTTCTCCAAATAGTAGGTCTAATACAGATAAAGACTCCTATCTTCTGCCCGAATTCAATGATCTAGTGAAAGAATTCGATATGACTGCCATGAAAACCAACAAGGAGCTTCCAATATCAGAAGCAGAATCACCCGCGAAAGAGATCAAGAATCTAGTAAACACGGTCAAAACCCTCAAAGAACGAGAAAGGAATCTAGAGATTCAATTACTCGAATACTATGGTCTCAAAGAACAGCAAGCCGCAGTCATGGAGCTTCAAAACCGTCTTAAACTCAACAATTTGGAAGCGGAGCTTTTCACACTCAAGATCGAGGCCTTACAGACCGATAACAAGCGATTACAGACACAAATGGCGGATTATGCGAAAGTGGTAACGGATCTTGAAGCTGCAAAAGCCAAAATCAAAGTTCTTAAGAAGAAACTTCGATCGGAAGCTGTACAGAATAAGGAACAGATCTTGGATCTTCAACAAAGAGTTGAAAAGATGCAGGAAGATGAACACAAGGGTGTTGCGAAGATTGATCCGAAGGACGAACTAAACCTTCGTAAATTGAAGGATTTGGAAGCCGAAGTCGAGGAATTGAGAAAGTCGAATTATAGTTTGGAGATTGAAAAATCAGAGTTGGGTCAGAGGTTGGAAGATGTTCAAATCCTCGCGACTTCTGTCTTGGAAGACGATGAAGTAAGATGATTTATTCATTTCTTGCATTTTCATAAACTGGGGGTCTTCATGGAAACAACTGGTTTACTCTTTGGGGTAGAGGTTAGGTTTGCGTACATCTCACCTTCCCGAGACCCCACCTCTGGGCGGGATATACCGGGCCTTTTTTGGTAACCATGGGTGTCCAGGCGAGCTTGCGCACACCTCTACGTAACCGTGGGGACCTGAAGATAACAGTCGGGAAAATAAATCCCGAGTGGCCCTAACAATGTGTTCTCCAAACCTTTTTTTAAGGAAAAGAAAAAGAAAGCGAGGGAAAGGAGGGGAAAAACCCGTGTGTTCTCTAAATCCTTTAGAGAACGGAAAGAAAAAATAGGAGGGAAAGAAAATCTGAAAGGAGTATGAGGTCCTTTATGACAAAAATACCCTCATACAGAAAAGTGAGAAAAACAAATACAAAGGGTATATATGTAAAAATGGCGTATTTCCTTTCCTTTCTCGTCCGATTCAAGAACATCGAAAATCCTTTTTTCAGTTTCTTTCCTTTTTAAGAACCCAAATTAGAAAAGAAGAGTAAATTACCTTTTTCGTCCTTGTGGTTTGTTGAAAATTGCTATGTTCGTCCCTGTACTTTTTAAATTACGATTTTCATCTTTATGATTACAATTTATTGTTGTTTTTGTCCTTATGGTTTACAACTTCATATATGTTTTCTCCCTCTTGACTCGTACTTAAAGGTAGGAAATTTGCCTTAGGGACGAAAATAACAATGAATTACAGTTACAAACCAAAGGGTGGAAAATCACAATTTCGAAACTACAGGGAGGAAAGTCATAATTTTTAACAAACCATAGGGACAAAAAACGTAATTTACTCCAAAAAAACATGATATTTTTTTCTTTCCCTGCCCTTTCTTTTCTAAAAACTCAGATAACTGAGAGACTCAAACTGGCGACCTACGGAAGCGAGCCTTTAGGGCCCAACATGTTTTTGTCCGTTTAGCTCACCCTCAAGGTTTATATCGGGCATTTTTTTTGGTTTGGTTCATTCGTTATCATCATTTGCAGACGGAAAAGCTTAAAGAAGAACTCGAGCGTTTAAAGAAAGAAAACGAAGATTTAACCAAAGAAATCGAGCGACTTCAAGCCGACAGATGTGGCGATGTTGAAGAACTCGTGTATCTTCGATGGATTAATGCATGCTTAAGGTATGAACTTCGGAATCATCAGGCGGGGCCCGGTAAAACAATGGCTCGAGACCTCAGTAAAACATTAAGCCCAAAATCAGAGGAGAAAGCTAAACAGCTGATCGTTGAATACGCTGATAAAGAAGGGGTGACCGAAAAGGGTATAAATGTCCACGAACTCGATTTCGATCAATGGTCGAGTTCTCAGGCGTCTAATCTTACGGATTCCGGCGAACTCGATGAATCTTTTATCAGTTATCCATCACCTCAAAAGACCAACAAGAAGTTCTTTGGGAAGCTTGTGAAACTGTTAAGAGGGAAAGACAGCGGCAGCAGCCATGGCGGCAGCCGCCACCACCACCACCACCGCCGCCCCCCTAGTAAAAACTTGTCTTTAGAAAGAACAGAAGACGACATGAATTCTTATAGCGATTATTCATTCGGGAATGTAGGAAATTCTTCTAAACATTCTATGGATTCTCAAAGATCGTTTCATAGGCATAGCGATATAGGAGTTCATAAACGGATTGATTCCATTGCAGAAGACAGTGGCGGCATTGGTGGTGGTTCGGATTCACCATCTTCATCGGACGGTCAGAAATCCGATCTGATGAAATATGCAGAAGTTCTGAAAGACTCTCCGGCTAAATATCGCCGGAGATCGACACTGTTTAGTTCTTTTTGATCTGGGTTTTTCCTTCTTGTTTTAGGTTAATTAGGAAAACCTGCAATTTGATTTTCTTGGCAAATGTTGTATCATATACTGTAACTTGTAAATAGTAAACATAATATGTTGGATCTTGTTTTAATGTTGAACTTGGTACTTGATCAAGATTTCTTATGTAAATTGATCTGCATTTGGTACATGGGACAGGATATGACAGAACGGGACAAAACTCATTGTTTCATGTTTGGCCTAGCGTGGGATAGAATAAGAATTCACTGTCTCACGTTTGGCGGGACAAGAACTGGGACAATGTGGGATAACATGAGACAAAAGAGGGTTTTTCTTGTTCCATTTAAAATAAGTGGAATAAGATGAGACAAGAATGAGACATAAACTAAAATATTACTGATCTACCCTAGTTTGATACATAACCTGTTTTAATGGTAACTTGTCTAGTTCTGTCTCGTCGAGTCTTAGTCGTACTAAACATCAGATATGCACTTGTTCTGTCCAGTCCCGTCAAGTCCTATCCTCTTGTCCTGTCCAGTTATGTCCAATAATGTTTGCGTACTAAATGCTATATAAACGTTTGGCCTTAAAAGTCGTCATTTTTAGTTATAGATTCTCGACCATCGAAATTGATAAACATCTTTTACCTAATAAGCGCTTACCATGTAAAAATCTTCTCTCTTACTTACTGGTTAAGATTCTCCTTGTTCTTGTTATGTCTCTTACCGGGTAAGATTCTAGGTCTTTGTCATGTTCACCCGTCATCTAGAAGGTAAGTGACATGCAATAAGTATTTGATAAACGACCACTGAGCGTCTAACTTTTATAATCAAGTGTCAACTTTTTTGTTCTACTCTCAGGGTCTGTTTGACAGTTGCTGAATGGTTTGGTGCATAATAATTCAGTGGCCAAAATGCTCAAGAGACTCTTATAATATAGTGCAAAATGAAATACAATTGTTTGATGATTATTCGGAATGAAATTAGGGTGCTGAATGGTTAAGGGAGATCCAAGATACAAAATCATTCAAATGGTTTTAGAATTATTAAGAGGCAGATTTTTTTTTTCCAAACAAGATTCACCTCTTAGCAATTCAGAAGCTTTCTCTTAATGGAACTATTAAGAAGTAAACAAATAACCCCTTAATTATTAAGTGAGAAAACTTTATATCTATTATTAAAGATAAAAATATACGCAAGAATACATCAAGATACGCCAAAGGGCCTTTGCCTAATGGTAAGTGAGTCTTTAGCCTCCTAATAGGTCAGGGGTTCAAAATTCACTAAAGATGAGGAGGGTGTGTGCGTTTATTTGTTCTATTTTGCCATTATAAATATTATATACTTCACAAAAGGATACATAATACTACGTCGTTTTGACTTGAAGAATTGTTCCGTACGGTTTCCGTCCGTCTCCATCGAAAGATTTGTGGATCGCCGGAAAAAAGAATACCGGTTGATAACAGACTTAACCGTCTCTCTCTCTCTCTCTCTCTACATAACATATATATACAGACTATATGTATATATACCGAATATTCTTCACATCTTCAGAATCCAGACGCCATTGATACTCTGAGTTACCTTTCTTCCACTCATCTCTCTGATTTCCTTCCATTATGGCAATGCAGATTGTTCTTCCAACACCACCACCACCTCCGCCGCTGCTACCACCACCACCACCACCTACTGAACACAGGTCAGCACTCTACGTCGGCGACCTTCACCCCGAGACCACCGATAATGATCTCCACATCCTTTTCAACATGATTGGCCCACTGCGTTCTGTTCGTATCTGCAGAGACCGTCTCTCACACAAATCACTCTGCTATGCCTACATCAATTTCTATCTTCCTTCTCACGGTAATCATGAAATAATCGTATCGATTACTTATGTTTTGTTCGATTGAATCGTTTTCGTTTGTGATTTTTGATTTGATTGAGAAATTGAACAGCGACTATGGCGTTATCGCGATTAAACCACACTTTATTGAGGGGAAAACCAATGAGGATAATGTGGTGTGAGCGAGATCCGGTTGGAAGGAGGACTGGAATTGCGAATTTGTTTGTGAATAATCTCGATTCGATGGTGACAGATGCGAAATTGGAGCAGGTTTTTGAGAAATTTGGGAGGATTCTTTCGTGTAAGACTGCGAAGGATGATTACGGAAAGAGCAAGGGTTTTGGATTTGTTCAATTTGCTTCAGAGGAATCGGCTAACAATGCAATTGATGCCCTAGATGGAACTACCATTGATGAGAAGATTATGTATGTCTCTTAATGCTTCAAATTTCTGTTCTTATTTGATGCAATTTGTTGGTTTTGATTGAATTCTATCTTCATATTTTGATTCATGTTCATGGGGTTTAAGTAAATTTTGGGGGTCTTCATCTCATATTATAACTACACTTGATGAGAAGATTATGTATGCCTCTTAATTCTTCAATTTCTGTTCTTATTTGCTGCAATTTTTTTGGTTCTGATTGTATCCCATCTTCATATTTTGATTCATGTTCATGGGGTTTCAGTAATTTCTGGGGGTTTTCATCTCACATTATAACTATACTTGAGGAGAAGGTTATGCATGTCTCTTAATGCTTCAATTTCTGTTCTTATTTGCTGCAATTTGTGGTTTTGATTGAATTCTATCTTCATATTTTGATTCATGTTCATGGGGTTTAAGTAAATTTTGGGGGTTTTCATCTCATATTATAACTACACTTGATGAGAAGATTATGTATGCCTCTTAATTCTTCAATTTCTGTTCTTATTTGCTGCAATTTTTTTAATTTCGATTGTATCCCATCTTCATATTTTGATTCATGTTCATGGGGTTTCAGTAATTTCTGGAGGTTTTCATCTTAATTATACTTGATGAGAAGATTATGTATGCTCTTAATTCTCCAATTTCTGTTCTTATTTGCTGCAATTCCTTGGTTTTGATTCAATCCCATCTTCATATTTAGATTCATGTTCAAGGGGTTTCAGTAATTTTTGGGGTTTTTTTTAATCTCATATTATAAGAATCTTTGCATGATCTTATCAATGAAAAGATTATGTATTTCTCTTAATTATTCATTCTATTCTTATTTGTTGCAATTTCTTGGTTTTGATTGAATCCCGTCTTCATATCTCGATTCATGTTCATGGGTTTTAAGTAATTCTGGGGGGTTTTATCTCAAATTATAAGAATCTTTGCATGATCAAATCAATTTGTGACCATTTTCTTGATAAACAGTTGTTCACAGCATTCGTCTTCATGTTCTAATGACGTTTAAAACAATGGTTTTCTTGTCAAGATCCGTGGCGAAGTTTCTGAAGAAAAGCCAGAGGAACGAACCCGAATTCACGAACGTTTATGTGAAGAATCTTGATCCGGATTTCACCGAAAGTCTCTTGAGAGAGAAGTTTTCCGAGCATGGAAATGTCACGAGTGCCGTGATCATGAACGACGCTGATGGGAAATCAAGAGGTTTTGGGTTCGTCAACTTTGAGTCACACGATAGTGCCAAAAAGGCCATCGAGGCCTTAAATGGTTCAGTAATCGGTATGAAAAGATCATAACTTGTTTATTTTTTGCATTTTTATGCTTTCTAGGCTTTAGAGCATTCAAATTTGTGTTTAAAAACAGGTTCTAAAGAATGGTTTGTTGGAAAAGCTATGAAGAAAGCCGAAAGAGAGGGGTTTTTACGGAAAAAAGACAAGACGAACGCTTCGAATCTTTTTGTAAAGAATCTTGCTCCATCCGTGGATGAAGCAGCTCTTGAAGAAACATTTCGTGTTTTTGGAAAAGTCATTTTAACGAAAGTGGTACGCCATAAGAACGGCATTAGCAAAGGGTTTGGTTTCGTGTGTTTCTCGACACCAGAAGAAGCACGGAAAGCTCGTGATTCACTCGATGGTGGGTTCCATCGTGTGTTCTTTGTCTTTTTCATCGTTAATACTCTCAATTAACTCGATTTTGGTTGAACTTGAACAGGAAACGATTACCGTGGAAAGAAATTAAATGTTTCTTTGGCTCTGAGTAAAGAAGAATGTTCCCGAAAATTGCAGGCTCGTTTTGGACCACAACTGAGTATCGATAACCATCGATATCTACCATCTTTTTACAGTAATCAGTCATTTGTTCGGTCTCCCGTCTACGATGGGCCATACTGGCAGCCAAACTTCTACAGACGTATGCAGAATCTTAAACCCAAGAGTCATCATTATCAGGTAAATCAAACCATACCGACCTAATAAATCCCAATTGAGTGTTGGTTTTAAGAATAAAGTTCAATTTTGGTCTCTAACGATTGTAATTTTCACCGAATAAACTTTAAAATTTGAACATTTAGGGACAGATGTCCTTTGAAAATTAGAATGGTAGGGACCAAAACTGAAGTTTAGTGTTTTAAGGACTAAAAGAAAGTATGATGATATTATCAGGAGCAAAAAGGAAAGGTGAAGTGGGATGGTTCATGTTTCTTGAAAGGGTCATTAGGTTGGGTATAAACCCCTGAGCCAGTTTTCAATGGTGGACTAGTGTGTGTGTGTGAATAGTGGTAGCCATGTACACGACAAGTAAAGTAGTAGGGGAATTAGATGGTTTTTGTGTCAATAGAATTGAGAGGGTAACCAAGAGATCTTCTTCTTGTAAAGACATGTCTTGATTTGTTGACTAATGATGATGCTTTTTTGTTGTTGTTGTTGTTAAACATGGGTTTTCGACTAATTCAATTGGATGGATACCAGAAAAATCTCGTCTTTAGAGAGATTTGAAGGTGATTCGTGACCTTCATTCCAACGTATTCTGTCTTTGTGAATCAATTAATAAAAATGCTCATATATGATATTCCTTAAGTAACAAAAAAGTGTACAAAATTTGATATCCGTGGATTAATCCCCCAATTCAAGAAAAAGAAGTTTAAATAGTGAATAGAGACATGTTGAGAACCAAGTATTCATAATGAATATGATAAATATTCCTCAAATGAAAATGCAGGATATTCATGGTGAATAGTTAGTTCTCAAAATATTTATCGTTCCTATATATGAACTTTTCCGTTATGAACATTAAGTTGGTAGCTTTTCCTCGCATATATATGAATTGGTTTGTGGTCTGTTCGGGTGTCCAAAGAGACACGTCACTTAAATTATGATTTTAGTCCCCTATGGTATGTTAATAATTTCTATTTTCATCCACGGGGGTTACAAATTTTGATTTTTGTTTCTACAGTTTACAATTTACTGTTATTTTTGTTCTTGTAATAATTCATACCTTTAAAGTACAAGGGACCAAAACAATAAACCGTAGGGACTAAAATAATAATAAATTATAAATCATAAGGATGAAAATAATAATGAATTACAAACTATAGAGACGAAAATCATAATTCCTAAATCATAAAGAACTAAACTGCAAATTTAATAAATACTAATTTATATATTAAAACAATTAAAAATTTATGTATATATATATAAGTTTTTTTTAATAATGGCGAATACATAATTTTTCTAAATTTTAATTGTTTTAATATATAAATTATATATATGTATACACACACATATAAGGTTGGGTTCATGTGAAACCAACCTGTTTTCGTGAGACTCGCAAGAATACTTTTCTACACTTGCAACTTCATAGTAAAACGCTGTGAATGTAAAAAAAAGTTGAACCTTCACAGCAAAAACATTGTGACGTTTCAAATGTAAAAAAATGGTCTCACGAAAACAGGCTGGTCTTATGTGATCCCAAATCATTATATATATATATATATATATATATATATATATATATAAAGAGAGAGAGACAGACAGAAAAATGGTTTCATCAGTTAGACCGCCCAAAAAAATGTTAAGCTGCATATCGAACCAAGCCACCTAATTTGACAATTTCCTAGACCGGAGTCATGTAAGATCTCACATCAGTTGGTATAAGGAACTGTATACCTTCTTTACCAGATGCGTTTTAAATACGCGAATCTAAATATGGATAAAATGAACAATATATGGTACGATTAGTCTAAGATATTACACGCCAAACCGTCAAAAATGGTATGGTTTAGTTCAATCGAATTGGTTATCACATGCCATTAGTTTTTTTTAACACCCCTATCAACCGATTTTACAAATAACTTATAATAACTACTCACACATAAAAATAGTAATTTTGATTGCTAAAATAAAAGGAAATTATGTTTTTTATACTTTTGTATAAAATTTAAATTCATAAGCCTTGTTTGTTTTTTATAAAATAGTTCTTATTAGCCTCTTATGTTTGATTCATTAAGAGGTAAGGTCATTCAGACTGTTGTTTTTTCCAATTTTTCAGAAGCACTTATGTCTTATTGTCCTCTTATCTGGTAAGAGCCGGTAAACCAATCTCTTATTTGCCTCTTATTGTTCTTCAAATCCTCAACAACGGTGTTTCTCAATCGAGTAACCTTAATCAATCATTTCTCTCAATTAATCCTTACCAAATCAATCCTTACACCTCTCAATTGATGTATTTTTTTAATAGAATTTAAATGTGTTAAATACGTTAACGACATATTTTCGTTTAAATGAATGTTAATTATAATTTAAATGTAAATTTTATAATGATTATGAATAAATATGTGAAATTGTATAAATTTTATTTATAAATTCAACGATATAATTTTTTTGGTGGGTAAAATAGACAATTTAAATAAATTTAGACATTTATCAGTTTACAAAAACAAATTGTCTTACTGGTAAGTCAACACCATCTCTTATAAATTAGAAGTGAAATAAGACTTCAAATTTCAACACCTCTTAAAGAACAAACGCCACCAGAGTCTTTAAATCATCTGAAAAAATTTCCCACGTTGTGTGTGGTTTTTTAAGTCTTTAATTTTATTTTCTAAAATTAGGTACAAATTAAATGCATGTACGCAAAGAAAAAAAACACTACGGGAGGAAAAATTTGTATATCGTAAATATTTAAAACAAACACGTTTATATACGATTCTGTTTCTATTTAACAACCAAAGAAAAGTCAGACTGTAATATTACATACAATATTAGGAATTATGTTAGTTGTCACTGACATCACAGTTCTGTTACATTATTAAACCGATGATCAAACATTTGGATCTCTTTATTACGTCATTCTGACAAATCCTCTTCTTTCGTTATTAAAAAATAACAAAAAACCGTAATCAGAAGATAGAGTTCGAACAAGTTGACATTAGTCTGTTATCATAATCTTGTCTTATCATTGTTATCAACAAAAAAGTCAAAGTATTTACGTGTTATGCCAAAACCCCATATATATAGGGTTCGGTTTTGGTGAGAAATGTGAGAAGTATAAGAAAAGATCTCCATCATTGTAATTGAATATCAACAGTAATGAGATGCACTAGATCAAAGGTTCGGATCTCTTCTTACGTTTCTCAACATAACTTTGCTTCTCACATGATCCTTCACATATATATATATATATATATACATGTACGAAGAATCGTGTGAGAAAGATAGTTAATGTGATAACTGTAAGAAGGAATTTGGATTATTGATTACCTTTAATCTCAAACTCACTCATGAATCACGCTTGATATATGGATTGATCCGGTGCATCTCATCTTAATGTGCATCCATGAGTGGAAATCACTTCTTACGTTTCTCACCTTAACTCTTTTTCTTAACGGCACCCAATTCTATATATATTTGGGAATTTTAAATACAAACTCTCTAATTGGTACAAACCATATAGACCAATCAAATGATAAATTTTATGGAAATGACGAGACTTATTTATTATAATTTGGATATTCATGTAAGATGATCACAGTTTATTCATTATAATTAACGTTTTAGATCAGTAAACAATCGAGATATTTATGAAACCAAATATTCATAAATTAGACTAAATGAACGATCGAGATTGGTTTGTATGGTTTGTATATGGAACTCCATACATATATATATATATATATATATATATGTGTGTGTGTGTGTGTGTGTGTGCGCGCGCGCGCACGCTAATCATTTGAGAACCCACAAAAAGTTTTCGTGAGATCATCTTTTTACATTTGAAACTTCACAGTAAAACGTTGTGAAGGTAAAAAAAACCGAACATTCACAACAAAAACACTGTGAAGGTTACCTTTTGCTGTGAAGTTTTAATTATAAAAAATGGTCTCACGAAAACAGACCGTTGTTACTCAATTCCAAGTCTATAATTTATGTTACATTATACAAATTTGTATTATTGTCAAGTTGGAGTAATAAAAGGCAAGTGTATATTTCATTTCTAAATTGGGAAATAAAATGAATAAAAGGTTAGCGAGAAATCCGGGTCATGTACACAAACAGAACTTTCTAAAAATAGTAATCAAACCCCAACTGATTTCCAAACATTCAATCATGACAATGCCAAGACAAATGTCAAATTTCGTCATTGGAATTTGATATTAATAATTTTATCTAATATTTTCTACCATAATAATAATTATAGTTTAAAATATGATAAATTACATGAAAAAGTAACGTACTTTAACTTAATTTTTAGTTTTTAAATTTTCATTTTGGTACCTAAAGGTGTAAAGCTTTAAATATTTAAATACCAGGATAACCGGTTGAAACATTAACCGGTTACCATTCTGATGTGGCGAGTGATGAAATGAAGTTGGATTGAATAGCAAATAATACTGAGTTGAATACCACATCATTCGTCACATCAACATGGTAACTGGTTAATGCTTCAACCTGTTACCCGCGTACTTAAATGTTTAAAATTTTACATCTTAGGAACCAAAATGAAAGTTTTGAAAGTACGTTAACCAAAATAGGTATTAAGTTAAAATACGTTACTTTTTCATGCAATTTGCCATTAAAAGTATTATAGTCATAGAACATGAAAATAACTACCAAATGGCTTTTTGCCTAGCGGTTATACGCACCTTTGGCCTTTCAGAAGGTTATGTTTGTACAAAACATGAATAGTCCGAAACACAACACGGTGTTTGTGCAAAACCAAATGCCCTGAAAATCCGAATTTTTGAGGGATGTTTGGGTTAGGACTGGGATTGGTTTTTGGCCACCGACCCGTCTAAAATATTATATATATATATATATATATATATATATATAAAGAGAGAGATGTGAGTTATTATTCAACCATTTACATTTGTACAACCAATACAACTCAATCTCAATTTTCCATTTAATTTGATAAATATGTGATTTCATAAAAGTTTTGATTGTTTCCTAATATAAAATATTAATCATAATTAATGAACTATAGTCATCTTCCATAAATATTCAAATCATAATAAATGAACTTTTATCATTTCCATAAATATCTCAATTAATTGGGTTGCATTGGTTGTAAAATGGACATAGTTGCATTTGAAATATATCATATATATATATAAAATTGTTAATAGAATGGAGATTTACTCCTCTTGCTGAGAAAGAATGGTTTTCTCCAGCCCATAAGCATAATTTTAAGTTCAACTACTGGGATTATATCCAGAGTTTTTCTAATGTATTGCTTTACGAAAATGAGAACAAAAGACATTCATTAATTATATAATTATATTTATATATTTAACTATCTTTTGAAAATTCTAAATCATAGTCGATTGTAATTTTTTTCCCGATTTATGAACTTCTTTATCGATTTCATCATGATCAATTGAATTCATCCTTAAAATTGATTAAATATATGTTTTTTGCATTTAACTATACATGAACCTGACTGACGACCCCCAACCGAAAACTCGACCAACCCGAATTCGAAGCAATCCAAATTATCCGAAACCCAATTAAAATTTTGGTTTGTCCACCCGAATCTGCCCTACCCGCAGATGCACACCCCTAGTTAGAGTCATGTTTAGAAACCATAAGCTGGTTAAACTTTTTTTTTGAAGTATATAAAATTTATATACGGTAAATAGAACAAATAAACTTACACACATTCTTCACATTTGGTGAGGTTTGAACCCTTGACTTCTCAGGAAGCCAATGATTCACATACCATTAGGCCAAAGGCCCTTTGGTATCCGGTTAAACTTATTGGCGGGACGTAATCAAATGATAATTCCATATAACTCAGTATTATTTGCCGACATAGATATATTAATCTAAAATTAGTTTTTTTGTATTGTGGTTTATTAGAAGAAATAGTTAATCTTTCAACCGGTTACTTAAATGTTTAAAACTTACATCTTAAGTATCAAAATTGAAGTTTTGAAAATACATTACCCAAAATATAAATCGAGTTAACATATGTTATTTTTTTATGTAATTTGCCGACAGATTAAGAAGATGTTTAGTTGGAAGTATTAAAATAGTAATCAAGTAAATATAAATATTTATATTAAATTAATATATTAAATTAATAGATTATTTAATAAAAATAAAAAATAAAAAGAATTAAAAAAGTAAAAAATAAAAAACATGTGGTAGGCATATTATAGGAAAGGGTCAAAAGAGAGGGATGATTTTCGAGGGGCACGCCTTGGATTGAATCAAGGAGACAGGACCCACTCACCGCCACATGGTTTACTTTTTCTTTTTATTTTATTATTATTATTATTATAATATTATAAATACATTAAAAAATTAATTTAATTTAATTTAATTTAATTTTTATTAATAATTGGTTAAATTTAGGAAATGAAAGATAGTAATTGGATTTTTACGGATGATTTTCATTACAAGTTACACTCACAATTAGGGATGGTGATTTCATCCGATCTGAAAGGGGGATGGTGATTCTCCGGTAAAATAGGGCTCAGGGTCGGGATCATCGATAGACTCAAACTAACGAATATTATTCATGAGGTTTGACGAAGTTTGACAGGGGTTTGATCAACCCAACTTAATCCAACACGAAATAACTTAACCTAAAGTAATCTGATGTCTAATCGAGTTGTATAATTGTCAAACCGTAGGTATTGGATTGCTATTATTTGAACCCAACCCAATCCGATGAACCCGATATCATTTTATTTCTTGGATTTAATATGATTGTTGAATTTATATTAATATGTACATTAGACAATTACACTATCATGTATGCTTTTCATATACACATATTTTCATTTTTCAATCTATTCACATCTTTATATAACTTATTCGTATATATGTTCAGTAACTGTGAACATATATATGTAAATTGAAAAAATTAACTAAATGTGATATACGTAAGAAGTATGAATAAGTTGTATCAAATGGTTGATGATGAAAAAGAAATTATGAGTAGAGATTAACATATTCTAGGTTAGAAGAGTATTTTAATGTACCAAAGTATCAACCCGACCAACCCGTACAAGTTGGGTTGGGTTGCACTTTGGTTCGGGTTGAGTTGAGTTAAGATTTTTCAAACCGCAAGCATTGGTTGAGTTGTTCAAATGTCTTTAACCCGATCAACTCAACCCGTGAACACCCCTAATACGTTCTATAATGACCAACCCTTCTTAAAAAACACTGATAAAATAACCTTAACTTGTTTAATCGTGCAATAAGATGATCAGTAATAGAGTCGGAAAATCTCTGTTATATATATAAAAAATTACTATTTTAACCCTAGAACTTTTTCTTTAAAATACTCAGAAGACAATGTATCATGGCATACTTTTGTTTTATGTATATGTCTATTGATAAAAAGTTTGTACTTTCTTTCAGATTATTAAACTATAAATCTGATCTGAAATTCTTATATTATTCTGAGAGGATCACAATAAAATTACTTTTTAACTTCTTTCAATTGGTTATATATATTGTTTTAAATTATTTGTATCTTATTAAATTACCGTACTGTATTTATTTTTAGAAAGTTTGTAATTTATTCATGTTTATATCAGAGTACGTTTCTACAAAATAGCAAGGTTTCAAATGGTGTGAAGCATGATGTGACGGTAAAGCCAAGTCTCAAGTTCTTAGAAGCCATGATTGGTTTGTAATTATTAGTTCCATTAAGAGACAACATCTGAATCGTTGAGAGATGAATCCTGTTTGAACAAAAAACAAAGTATGTCTCTTAATAGTTTCAAAACCCTATGAATGATTTTGTATCTTGATTCTCCCTTAACCATTCAACGCCCTAATTTCACTGTAAACAATTACAAAACAATTATATTTCATTTTGCACTATATCATGAGAGTCTCTTAATTAATCATTCTCACCACTTAATCATTTCACACGAAATTATTCAGCAACTACCAAACAGTCGAAACGCCATAGTTCTCTAAGAAGCTGGCCGTGGAGGGATACCTCCATATAACTAGTTAGCAGGTTGAGGTCTCGTTCGTTAATGAAATTGTTTTTGGGTCGGGATTTTTCCAGAGCCGAGCCAGGGGAAGCCAGGACACCTCCGGTTTTTCACATAATCAATAATTACAGTATCAAACAACTTAATATCCACGTCATCTATAATCATGAAATTTACCCTAAAATAACTAGATTTTTATTACATAAATTGAAAAAAAAAAACCCATCATATTATTACATAATTAAATATAAACTAAACCAAATTTCCATTTTGACCTAATCAAACAAGTAATGAGTGTCATCATTATCATCATAACAATCAAAAGTACAAATGATGAGACCAATAATCACCAAATTCTTTAAATAAAAAAAAAGGGTTTTTCTAGGGTTTTATCATCATCATCATGATGATGATCATCATCATTCTTGATGATTTCATAATGATTACCATGGTTTCTTGGGGTTAGCTAACTAGGGTTTCTTCCTACATCTCCTCATGATGATGATGGATCATTAGGGTACAAATTTTCATAACAAATTTGATGAAAATGGGTTTGCATGGAAAATGGGTTATGATCAAAAGGTACAGCCATTGAAGCACCAAAAAGATTCTTGTTTGTGTTGATTGGATTTGTACCATTTGCATTGATTGTTGTGCTGCTGCTATTTTGCCCTAATTGCTCCAATGCCTTCACTTGTGACCTCAAGAACTTGAGATAGTTTGCAGCTTCATCAAGCATGGAGGCTGTATCCATCTTGTTTCCACCAGGAACCAGTTTCTGCAAAACCCTAATTCTTTCACTAACCCTCTCCCGCCGCTGCCGTGCCGCCACCGTTTGTGGGTCGTTCGATATCCTCACGTTCTTTCGTTTAGGTTTATCCACCACTGTCGTCTCCGCCGTGAAACTCACCGGCCGAAAAGCTGCTTCTCTGTATATCATCTCCTTCATCTGCGCAATCGCCTCCATATCAGTTTCAGATGGATTACCTGCAGGACCATCTATTAGCATGTTAAATTTCGTTTTTGAACAAGGACCTCAAAAATTTGGGGCCCATTTTTACTTCTACTTGGAGAAAACAAATGATTTTTACCCACAAAAGTAGTTCTAGGGAAATTTCCATCAGTGATTACCTACGGATCACCCAGAAAAATACTGACTCTTCTGTAGAATCTGATGTTTTTCAAGAAAATACCACGGGATCACTCAGAAAGGGCAATCTGTTACTGATTTGAACTACCCACCAACTTTTATGCGGTTTTGTGAGGAATCATTATTTACGACGGATTTCCCAGAGGAAAAATCCGTAAGTAAAAGTCTTACATTTAGTAGTGTGATTTATGTAACCCAACGTGTAAACTCGCCTCAATAAAGACCTATTTAATTTCTTTCAAGATCAAAAGCAGCTATCTGCAAGGTGAGCAGGTGGTCATACTGGGATTAGTCGGCTCGCATAGCAGGTTGGATATCCAGGTTAATAAAAAAAAGCAGCTAATTAGTTTCGGAATTTGTCGATCAAAAACAAAAACGGCTCATTGATATTCTTTTCAACTGTCATTTTAAACATTTTTGTTGTTATAGTTTGTAAGATTTTAAATATAATATGAAATTTTATATTTTATTTTCTTTATTACTCATTTTATACGATCTATAGTTCTGATGCACGTGTAACATGACTCCGGGCGACCCGATTACCTGGTTGTTGGAAGTTGATATTTGATGAAATGGGTCGACCCGAATTCGATCTGGATCTCTTCGGTTTTGACGGGTTATTATTCTCTGAAACTCCGGTCCCCGACACGCTGGTGATCGGTCTTTTTCCCGATGAGCATTGAGAAACACCGTCGTCTATTTCTTTCGTGACGGAGTCACCAGAGGAGAGGCCACTGACATTATTATTTCCGATGATAACGTTGTTCTTCGGCCATAAGCTTTTGCAATCAGAGAAAATCACAGAAATCCTGTCTGATGCGTCGGTGGTGCTATTGGTGCCGGAAAGTAAGCAGTCCAGCGATTCCGTGGCGGTGACGGTGGCAGTGGCGGCGGTGGTAGTTGAGATGGAGATCACATTCTTTGTTTCTTGGAATCCATTAATGCAAGCTAAATTGTCAGCAGCAGCAGCAGCCATGGCGGGATCATGATCAATCCAAACGGTGGGTGGTAACTGGTGGATTAATGGATTCAGGAACATATTTTCTGAATCAAAATCCAAGCTTTGTTGATCATGATGATGATGATGGTTGTAGCATTGGAATGGCAAATCATCCATGATTGGTTAGAAACCAACTGATGGATGGATGATGGATGATGAAGAAGATGAGATGGAAACTGTTTTGTTGCAAATTAGAAGCTGATAAAATTATATGGAGACATTTTCTTTGTTAGCATATTCATATGATGTTATATATAGTAGCTTTTATATACATGCATGTATGTATATATATATATAGATATAGATATAGATATAGATATAGATATAGAGATATAGATATAGAGAGAGAAAGGGAGGAGAGAGAGAGGCACATGTAGACGCATACGCATTGGCACACGCACGCACAAGATGGAGAGAAGTACAACAAATGTTCAGTTTGAAACAAAAGTTGAAGTTGAAAGGTGGGGTTTCAAAGAGATAAGGTCCCAATCCAATGGATATTTTTAATGTAATTAAGTTATATATGTATATATATACACACTTGGAATCATGTGACACCAATATGTTTTCGTGAGATTCATGAGATCATTTTTTTATATTTGAAACTTTAAAGTCATGAGATTTTTTGATTTTATAACTCCCAATTAATGATATGGGCGTTACATAAAAAAGAAAATTACATATTTACCATTGTCATTAAATTATAAAATGAATATGAACTTATATATAAGATGGATTGTCATTGGTTGAAAATGGTTAACAAAGTTAACACAATAAATTTGGTTAACATTTGAATCTGACTCTATCTCTCTCTCTCTCTCTATATATATATATATATATATATGAAAGAAGGTATGTGAAAATTCGTAAAGAATACTGAATCTAAATATGAAGGTAGATGAAATCACGAGGTCATGAAGATAAATGAAGGTCTGCTTTTTCTATAAACAATCAGATAAAATAAACTAAATTCATTTGTTTTCGTATCATGTCAAAGAAAAATATATTTAATGATTACAATATACAGTAACGGCTTCCGTTTTGATGATTTAACATTTCGAAGAAAAAAAAAACCATTGTTTTATATGGTGCATGTCGTGAAGAAAAAATAAATAAAGAAGTAATTCTGTATCAATTTTCATGATATGCGGAGAACTGATATCAGGCATAAAAAATATCAAGAATGTGAGCTGTCATCATTTTGTACCTGCTGCAGTTAACCGGTTACCAGTCAAAATATGTATAATATAGAAAAAATGAAATATAATTAGACAGATTAATTGAGAAAAAACCGTCATCACTAAATAGAAATCAAAACAAACTTCACTTTATTTTGGTACATCTGGACCTGTGAATTTACAGACATTTTATAATATCAATTGTTAGCGTGAAAATAGATAACTTTGTAATTAATTCTATATTAAATCAAGATTGTTTAATTAAACATGTTTCGATGAATGTGGTTGTAAGTAGGGGTGCTCATAGGTTGGGTTGATCGGGTTGAAGACATTTGAACAACCTAACTCAATGTTTACAGTTTAAAAAATCTTAATTCAACCCAACCTAAACCAAAGTGCAACTCAACCCAACCCAACCCAACCCAAACCGTAGGGGTTAGTCAGGTTAGTCGGGTTGATACCTTGGTACATTAAAATATATATTCTTTAACTTTGAATATGTTACTTCTCTACTCATAATTTCTTTTTCATCATCAACCATTTGATATAACTTATTCATACTTCTTAAATCTTACGAACATCACTTTCAATTAATTATCTCAATTTGCATACATATGTTCACAGTTACTGAACATATATACAAATGAGTTATATAGAAATAGAGAAAATATTGAAAATATGTGTATATGAAGAAGATACATGATAATGTAATTGTCTAATGTACATATTAATAAAAACTCAACAATCATATTAAATTCAATAAATAAAAGGATATCGGGTTCATCGGATTGAGTTGAGTTCAAATAATAGTAACCCAATATCAACCAATACGTACAGTTTGAAAATTTTACAATTCGATTAGACATTGAATTGCTTCGGGTTGAATTATTTCGTGTTGGGTTGATCGGGTTTTTAAGCATCCCTAGTCGTAAGCTCCTAAATCGAGTTGAAACCTTCCTCGAGTGAAAGTTCAAGCTTGCATCAACAAAGTTGATTATCGAGCTCAAACGAGGTTCAAGGTTAACAATTAACACGACTAAACCAAGTTTGAGCTCGGTTCATCCCGTTCACAACCCTATATATATATATATATATATATATATATATATATGTTGTTACCAGCTACTCATTCATCTCTCTCTCTCTCTCTCTCTCTCTCTCTCTCTCTTTCCGAGAATAATTAAAACTAAAACCACAAAAGACTAAGAACCAAGAAAACTGATAATCATATACGTGAAAAATACAGTATTATTTCATGATATGATTAATTTAAATGTATCTTTTTATTTCACATTATGAAACAATACTATAAACAACAGTATTTTTTTCACTATTCTCCACACACGCGCATACACACACACACACACACACATATATATATATATATATACATATATATATATATATACACACACACACATATATATATATATACACATATATATATACACACACATATATATATACACATATATATATATATACACACACATATATAGGGTTGGGTTCACGTGAGACCAGCCTGTTTTCGTGAGACCCGTGAGACCATATTTTTACACGTAACCTTCACAGCAAAAACACTGTGAAGATTTAAAAAAAGTCGAACCTTTACAGCAAAAACACTGTGAAATATATATATATATATATATATATGTGGACTTGGGATCATGTGAGACCAGCCTGTTTTCGTGAGACCCGTGAGACCAACATTTTACACTTGAAACTTCACAGCAAAATGCTGTGAATGTGACTTTTTAAAACCTTCACAGTGTTTTTGCTGTGAAGGTTCGACTTTTTTTTAAATCTTCACAGTGTTTTTGCTGTGAAGGTTACGTGTAAAAATATGGTCTCATGGGTCTCACGAAAACAGGCTGGTCTCACGTGAACCCAACTCAACCCTATATTATATATATATATATATATATATATATATATATATGCAGATGGATGTATAATAATTAAGTATAAAAAAAATGTGTGGAATTAAAAGCTGCAAAACTGGTGTTCGGTGGTGTATTTCATGCGGTCTGCAAGTTTAAGAGTTGAGCACTCACCAGAATCCACTTTCTCATCTCCCCTTTTAATCATACTTTCATCATAACCAATTTTCATTCATTATTTACTCATTTCTTAAATATTTTATTTCATATATTATTTTTTATTGCTAATATACATATATACGGTCGGTAGGGTTCACGAAATACCAACATCTTTTCGGAAAACCACTTTTTTACATTTGAAAAGTTATAGCAAAACGCTATGAAATAAACTTTCACAGTGGTTTTTTTTTAATACATTTACAGTGTTTTGCTGTGAAGTTTCAAGTGTAAAAAAGTGGTTTCACATGTCTTACGAAAACATACTGGTCTCACGTGAACTCAACCCTATGTATATGTATATGTATATGTATATGTATATGTATATGTATATGTATATTGAGTGCACATGCAGCCCATGACTACAGCTCAAATGAATGGGTTTCCATTTGAAAATTGCAACTTCAAATTCTTGATTGTCAACTCCCTTTTTGTTTTCTTTTGTATTCCAAAGGCCAAATAACTTTGTTTCCACCTTCGCCTTTTTATTTAAATCATTTCATAGATATATTTTTTATGTTTAAAATAACATATGTTTTGCTGTTTTCTTTTTTGAAGTATATAATATTTATAAACAGTAAATAGAACCAATAAACTCACACATCCCCTTTACTTGTGGTAAGGTTTAAACTCTTGACTTTCTAGGAGGCCAATGACTCACATACCGCTAAGCCAAAGACCCTCTGATTATTGTTTTCTTCTATATTTTTATATAAACAACTTTATGGCTACTACCCAAATGTAGCAGTTGGCCCAATATTTTTGTTGAGCGGGTGCATTTTTAAGGTTGATCAAATATATATGTTGAACACCCAATCGCTATTGTGTTATGATTATTCCTTCTCTGTGATAAATGTGTGATAGGGTAACGATTTATCGATTTTCCTTATGATAATCACACGGTGATAAATCTGTGACAGCCAAACAGGGTAACAATTTCTTGATTTTACTCTAAGCATGTGATACCACACAACTGTGATAAAGAAGGGAAATGAGCATATATTACTAATTCAGGGTCTAATTTCTCAATTTCTCCTTACAATTATGACACCGTGATAAATCTGTGATGCCCAAACAGAATAACGACTTCTTGATTTTGCCCTAATCGTGTGATGCACACTCTGTGATATCGTGTGATATAGAAGGAGTCATTGATTGTATATGTTGTGTATATGATAAAGATGTGATACGTAACACATACCTCTTAGAAATCCCCTTCCTCTTCTTCGTCTACGCCTCCAAAGTCGACTGATTTCTTTCTCCTTAAAACCATCGACCCTATTATGTAATATAATCTGATCATGTTATTTTATTTTATATTCCTATTTTCAGTTTTACCCATCCACGTCTTTCTTATTTTTCTCGTTTGAACCCTTATATATATATATAGACTTGGCATCATGTGAGACCAAGGGTTTTTTGTGAGACCCGTAAGACCAATTCTCAACCCTTGGATTAGATCTACAATCTGAACATTCATAATCACAAAATTGCCACGAGACTTCTTAATAATCACAAAATTGTCACCATACAACTTTAAACCATTAGATCATTAGCTTATAAAGTTGATCAATGAATATAAATTGGTCTTACAAGTCTTACAAAAAATCTTTGGTCTCATATGAACCCAACCCTATATATGTATATGTATGTGTGTGTGTGTGTTAAAAAAAAAAGATAAACAAAGGACAAAAATATGGAGAAAGAAACATAAGAGGAAACCATATATGGGTGTCAATGTCTTCATAAATGATGCGCGCGTGTGCTTATTACGATTATCACTTTCTTACATCATCCTTCGTGGCACGTGAACACCATCAGCTTCCTCACACGTGGCTTAAAAATATTGGTTGGAATACAAACAACCAAAATATACGTGGCACATTATGTGGACGCCTAACTTTCGACAATACCAACCGTTTGATCGGAGCATTGCCTCAATGTCGTTCAACGTTAAACAATATCATAATTCTTTTAGATACTTAAACAAAATCATATCATCAATTTTTTAGGTTGGATTTACGTTTTATTTTTCTTCATGAAACAATATTTTTACACTTGAAACTTAACAACAAAATGTTATGAAGATAAAAAAGTCAAACTTTCACAGCAAAAACATTGTGAAGGTTTATTTCACAATGTTTTGCTATAAAGTTTCAAGTGTAAAAATGTTGTCTCACATGATCCCAAACCTCAACCTTTAACGTCGTAAAAAATTAGTACTCCTTTTGTTTCAAAATAAGTCTCAATATTTTTATTTTAGTTTGTCTCAAATTTAAGTATCCATTTTCAAAAGTATCTAATTGTTATGTTTAATTATTTAATTTACATATATATTTCAAATTAATATATTTATTGCTACGATTTAAAGTTACGATAATGATAATAATTGTCAAACATTCAAATATTTAAGGTGTCGTTTACCTAAACACTTTACTCAGTAAGTGTTTATCGGTAAGATTCAACACTATCACTTATCTTATCGAACATGATTTTAGTCTATCAAAATAACATCGTATAAAACAATTTACCTAATAAACGCTAACTAGGTAAGAGTTGTCACCTTCACTTACAGTTACAGGATAAGACTCTCGATCCTTGTCATCTTCTTATCGGATAAGATTCTTAATCATTTTTGTGTTCATTCGATAAAGTAAAGTAACCCAATAAGCACTTATCGGGTAAGCTAATAGGTTAATCGACATTGATTACAAGAAAATAGAGGAGAGTTGGGATGATGTGCTAGTCATGGGGAGGGGTGTTCAAAAAAATTGTGGGAGAGGTCAAATCAAGTTAAACCATAACATTTTTGATGGTTTGAGCGATTTGGCAGGTGAGATCTGGTCTGAAAAATTATACAAAAACCTCTTGGTTCGGTCTGCTCTGTTGCAGTTTGAACGTTTTTTTGAACAGTCTGAACCGAGTCTGGACCAAACTGACCACCAAAAATACATATATATTAGTTATATCTAGTTCATGTTCTAGATCAGAATTAAAAAAAAAAATAGGTTCAAGACATTATTTTTTAGTTTTCATTTCAAATCGTCCTTCAACTTGCTCAATATTTATCCAAAATTTCAACTATTGTTATTGGATTTGTTTAACATTTTTTCAACTTGCTCTGTGCTCTTTTGGTTATAGAGATAGACGTATATTTTATAATTCAATATCCTATTTTTTAATAATATATATATGTAGAAATTTTATGTTGATGTTATGTTTTTCTAAGTTGAAGCAGACCCAAACCGATTAAATCGGTTAAACTAGACCGCCTTTTTATGGTCGGTTTGACCGGTTCGGTCACTTGCTAACCGGTGGGTTTGAGAAATTTTATGAACCGCAACTACCGTTTGGTTTATAGTTTGGGGGGTTAAAGTTAAACCGTCCAAACCGGACCGCAAACGCCCCTAGTCATGGTCCATCAATTGCCAAGTCCCCCACCTCTATCAAAATCTCTCTTGGTAATTTTGTCGAACACCTTGTCTACAATACCATTGACAACAACAAAATGAAGACAAATTCCAAGAAACAAAGAGATTTAAAACAGATTTACCATAAAGAAACAGCTCACAGTTGCCAGTCCGATTTTAATAGATCTCGTCATTGTAGGGGACCCCGATGGAAAACCCACCCTTATCTTCTTTCAGAAATGATCGATATTCGGTCACCATCGCCAACAAGATTCCATTTCCATCCCTAACGAGCTTTCTGGAACTTGCAGATGAATCCCATACGTACAGATGCTAAAATCCCTCTAGATTTGTAAATTAATGATTGGGGTGTCGTATATGAATGCAAGATTCATCGTTCTTGATATGATCATCGGTTCATCGCCACCATAATCGAAAGAAGTTTCTTGTTAATCGTTAATTAAATGGGCCTGGATTTAGAGGAATTGGGCTGAAGAATGAAGCTTGATAAAGAAAGGCCCATATATAAATAGGGGAAAAAAGAGCACAATGATGGTCAATAAATCGGTTTTGGTATCAAATCGGTCCCTTAAAAGTTATAATGTTTTTATAATTATGATTTGACGAAAAAATAATGTACTTTAACTTGATTCTTATTTTGGGTAACGTGCTTTTAAAACTTTCATTTTTTTACCTAAAATGTAAAGTTTTAAACATTTAAGTACTCGGATAACCAGTTGATGACTAATTTTAAATTAAAAAAATTATGTTACTAACCACGTTAGCAAATAATACTGAAGGGCCGTTTACCAAATACTTACCCTGTAAGTGCTTACCGGTAAAATTTAACATTATCATATACTTACCGGGTAAGATTTTAGTCCACCAAAACGGTTTTAATTTACCCGGTAAGCGCTTACCGTGATAAGAGTCGTCGCCCTCACCTACCAGGTAAGACTCTTGGTCCTTGTCTCATTCTTACCGGGTAAGATTATTGGTCCTTACTATATTCATGCCCTTACCGTGGTAAGAGTCGTCGCCCTCACTTATCGGGTAAGACTCTTGGTCCTTGTCTCGCTCTTACCGGATAAAATTATTGGTCCTTGTCATATTCATCCGGTAATGTGACTTGGTGTTCACTTATCAAAGTAAGCATTTGGTAAACATCCCCTGAGTCGGATACCACATCAACATGATAATCGGTTAATGCTTCAATCAGTTACCAGGTTACTTAAATATTTAAAACTTTACATCTTAAGTATCAAAATGGAAGTTTTGAAAGTACGTTACCCAAAATATGAATCAAGTTAAAGTACGTTAATTTTTCATGCAATTTGCTCTATAATTTATAACAACTTGGGAGAATTAAAAACTTGGTCCTGCTTAAAACCGGTCCCAGGTCATCAAATCATAATCTGTTCTAATCCGTCTCGAGCTGGATCAAACCTAATTTGGTCATCTCTAGTCCAAACTTCAAAGAGAAAAATGGTTTGAAGCCCAACTTATCACGTTGAAATTCACACACAAAACGATAACGAAATTTGTCTTTAATATTTAGCGTGACAATAAAAAGTTTCCAGTATAGTGTAACAAACGTTTTAATACTTTTTCGATGTTGTACCTAATTTAACCGGTAAACAAGTTTTCAGTACTCAGAAATTACAATATAACTTGACAATTTAACATCTATGTCATCAATTGTTACAAGATATACTGATTATCAGTTAAAATGGATACACAATAGAAAAAACTGGATGTCTTATGATAACTGAGGAAAAAAAATACCACTATACTGAATAAAAACAAACACAAATTTTGCAACATTTTACCCGACAGATTGTAATAGTGATTTTTTGACCACCCAAGTAGTTTGTTTTTTTTTATAGTGTTACATAAAATAGCCATCGGGATTCAAACCTACAACTTGTAATGCTACATGCAATGACACTACCAATATATTGCAATCTGCACCTACACTTTTTTCTCAACTTATGAACGCACAAATCAAATCTTTTAACGCCCCCAAAAAACTTCCATTGTACTGGACAATGGAACGGGTGCACGGGCAAGTCTAAATCCGTCCCATGAATCGTGTCAACGAGCTTGGAAGGTTGGATTTGAAACAAACCCAACCAAACCAAATCAGTAAATCCCACATAGAACAATAAGGGTCGAATAGCAATTAACGAAGCTCCAACAGACAAACACATTCTATATGCGGAGTGTGAGGAAACATGTCGACGGGTTGTACACTTCTTAGTCTGTAACATCCTTGTAATTTTTGTTCCACCTACATAAAACCCCGTAAACACTCAAATATTGATGCAAGGAGTTGAGCAAACTTTGTCGTAAGAGTGGTACTCACCGAACCGTGACAAAGATAATCAAGGTCACGTGCACATGTGGCAGGGTTACATGATACATAAACGATCCGAGGTGCCTTTAGCTTTAGCAAGTATTTGATCAAGTTAGTATGCATGCCGGGTCGGTTTGGATCTGAAGACGGGTACAAAAAACAAGTTAGAAAAAAAAAAGCAAGGTAGAGAGCAAGAAATCTTGCACAGAATCCTACTTTTGACGTCGTGTTCTGAAATATGGGAAGGAAATATGTCAGTTTTACAAATATACCCTAATTTATTTCACAAATATTGTAATTGATGGGTAGATGTGTAATTTTATAAATATTTTTAATTGATATTATTTCTTTTTCCCCTTTCCTCTTACAATTGGGAGAAAAGTTTTGAGAGGAAAGTTGGCATTATTTCATTTCCTTTCCCTTCCCTATAACTCAAAAACACGATATTTTAGTTTAAAAGCACATGTAATTTAGCCGTGTTCATGTTCTCTTATTTGGTTAATGTTATCGTATGAACCTGACTTGTTGTCCATATATAGGGGTGGTTCAAATAAAAAGGCTAAATATTATGAGAAGGTAAGAAGGGATGGTTAAGAGAAGATTCGTATGTGAATCCATTGAAAAAATCTATTTAAAGATGCAAATGTGAACTGAAATTACAGATTATTCATATGGGTTCACATATGCATCCTTCAAATGGAATTTTTTAATGATTCACATATGAACCTTCCTTCAACCTTCCCCTACCTTCTCACGATATCAAGCCTCCTTATTTGAACCTCCCATTATATATATATATATATATATAGGCGAAGGATCGTGTGAGAATGAGAGTTAAGGTGAGAAGCGTAACAAAGGACCTGGACCTACGATCACCTTTAATCTCAAATCCACCCATGAATCGCGCTTGATATGGGATTGATCCGGTGCATCTCATCCTAATGTGCATCCAGGGTGGAGATCCCTTCTTACGCTTCTCACATTGACTCCCTTCTCATCGGGTTGGGTTCCGGTGAGAATCGAAGTTATGGTGAGAAGAGATCTCCACCCTTGGATCAACACTAATCAGATGCATCGGATCAATTCCTGTGATAAGCGCAATTCATGGGTAAGGGTGAGATTAAAAGTGATCAAGGTTCAGATCCCTTCTTACACTTCTCACCATAACTTCCATTCTCACACTACTATATGTGCAAGCCAAGTAAATGTTCATGCACGAAGAGGGACAACCTGATATGACGATGTCTGGTTTCGGAAAATCTTTCCCAAAACTTTCGCTAATTTTATTGAGATCCCCTTGGATAAATGTGGCATTGTGGAGACCATTCAGCTTGGCGTTCCGACGGGCATCAGAGATGGCTTCAGGAACTACCTCATAACCATAAACATGTTTTACCCTGAAATAACAAAATCCAAAGGAGAAAATCTGTTCAGACGCACGCATTCGATACATTCAACCCAAGAGAGAAATAATTGGTCATACTTTTTAGCTAGAGTCAGGCCAATGGTTCCAGTTCCACAAAAGAGATCGAGAACTATTTCCGAGCCATCTCCTTTGAGACCGGCAGAATCTTCTACTAGCTTGTATAGAATCTCGGCCTGCACGATAAATCGACAAAGTAGTCATTATCGTTACTACTGAGGGTAGCATAAGTGTATAACCAAATGAACCTATTAAGGGGCTGTTTGGTTGGTTTTCCATTAAGTCCTGTATGGATAAATCTATCCATGTGGATTAATTTGTTTTTTAGTACAGATTAAAATGGATAAAAAAAATGAGTTCAAAAGTAAATTTCATCAGTTTTATTACAAGTTATCGAACCTCTGAATCTATGCACTCTTTTTTAATCTGAAATACTTATACAAAAAAATGCGGGAGAGATAAAAAAGATGCAGGGTCATTTGTCAGAAATGTCTCCACCTGCTGCCAACAGTCTTTCTTCGGTAGGTCGGTGGCTACCTAAGGAAACTCCGATTCGATCCGCCCCCCGGCTGGGAGGCATCTACCTCATCCCGATCACAAGGAGAGGTTCACTATGATGGGGGGTACTTCTTTTTTTCCCTTCCGGAAAGAGACTTTTGAATTGCGAGGTACCATTACGAGCTCAATATATACGAGTGTTATTCCGTGAAATAACTCGAATTTCAAATCATTCACTTGGCCGTTCGATCGAGTCCATCCCTTGAAGTCGTACCCTCCCAGGATGCATGAGTCTTCCGCCGATTGACAGAAATGCCGTTACGGTCTCAAGGCAGCACTTCCATCCGAGTACACACTAATATATCTATCTCTATCCGCATTAGCGGAATCTAAATCCAATGGGCAGGATCTCTCTTGTTTGGTTATTCCTAAACGAGTCATGAAGGGTATAACGAACATACCCTGTCTCCACATTTGTCTTTATAGATCGGGAAGGTTTTTGTTTAGGATGGGTTTTTCATAGATGGAAGGAGCATGTTTTTTAATTGGGAGGGACAGGCTTTCTGCAGAAAGCGTCTCACTAGAAGCTTACTGAATAAGCACTTTCTATATCATTATGCCATTACCAAACAGTGAACATATAGCTGACCGAACAAACTATGAATTTCATTAAGCTCATTAAGCTGCAAACAAACCGGTCCTAAATTCCACTTGAAAGTAGGGTCTAGCAGCGGTGGACCCAGGATTTTTGCCAAGCGGATGCACCTTTAAGGTGGATCAAAGTCCCGAACAAAGTCTCTGAATGTGTTTACAGCCGAATGCCATTGTTTCAAGGGATTTTTTATGTTTTTTGGTTGATCTCGAGACTTTTTTGATGTTCTTTGTATTTTCTAATATCCCGAAGCACCCCTCAAAGTTTAGTGGATGCACCTTTCATACCCAAAAGAAAATTCTACTTACGAAAATAAGTTGAGCGGGTGCATGGACCCCACTTTGGGTTTCATAGGTCCTCCCCTAGGGTCTGGGAGGGTTAAGATGTACACAGACCTTACCTCAACCACTAGGATTGGGAGGCTTTTTCCGTGAACCCCCACCCCTGGCGAGACGCAAAGGTGTGTACAAGCAAGCAATAAGATAGGAAATATAATAGGTAATCGGACAAATAACACGTAGATGACGATGCTTGGTGTCGTGCAAGCACACAACAATGGTAAAAAATGTAATACAAGTAGAAACTAATGTATACTCCCCCCATCCCAAAATAAGGGTCTATATTACTATTTTAGTTTGTCCTAATATAAGTGTCCACTTTCAGAAGTAAATGTCTACTTTTCCATTCTACCCTTTATTATGAGATGAAGAAATTTATCTCTCTATAATTAAGGGTAAAATTGTCCTTTTGTTAATGAAAAAGTGTATTAATTATATACTCCTAAAACCGTGTGCCTTTTTTCATTGTGAACATTTATCTTGGGACAGAGGGTACCAAATGATGAAAGTACACTTGATTTCTATTTCAATACATACCTGGTGCGCATTTGTTTGGAAGAAAGAGTTCGCTGAAATTTCGAATGCTAATCCTCTTAAGATCTCGGTGATAGTAGCCTTCCCATACAATTTGTACTCTTCCTCTCCAAGAGACATGTTACCAACTTTAGTATTTACATTGTTCATGATGCTTACCTATCCATCATAGTTGTTAAACAAGGGAAAATGATAAATTTACCGAATAAAACGACTGAAGATCCCACCATCAATTCTTCATTAAATGGAACCAAACCAAACCAAACAAGAGCAGTATATCCCACCCGCGCCCCGGGGTAGAGCTGATCACGGGCGGGATGGCCCGCTAGACCCGCCTTGTCCGGCCCACTAGAAAAGTAGGCTTGGACTACCATTCTCGAAGAAATGGGCGGTCCTGGACTAACTTTTTAAAATTAATGGGCAGGCATGGGTGATGCAAAAAAGTTTTTGGGCAGGCCCTCCCGGCCCGTTTATATTTTTATAATAATCAACTTTTATAATTAAAATTTGCAAATAAATAAAATTGAAAATTCTTGATGCTTATCAATTCCTACTCAATTTTTCTAAATTATGTTGTTATGTATTTACTTTTAGTTTTAAGTAGAAAAAATTGTTGTCTATTTTGAATTATTTTACAGAACTTGTGATTTTATATAAGTTTTGTTTTCTTAAAAATATAAAAAGACTTTTAGGCCTGTTAGCTAACAAGCCCTGCCCATTTATGGGGCGGGTAATGGCAAGTTTTCAAGCTCGTAAAAAAGTGCTTGGGTCTGCTATATTAGGCCCGTTGGACAAGAAAAATAGGTTAGGCCGGCCCAAGCCTGCAAATGATCTGCTCTAGGGGGATGTACGCCTATTATGGACATAAGATACCAGGAAATGTGATAAATGTATCATGGAGCATCTTCTTTATGAAAACTAACAGAAAGTATGTGATAATCTACGTACCACTTCTGGGATAACTGCAAGCTTGTCAACAAGGGGCTTCAACAACTCTGGCTTGTAGGAAGACGTCACAAAATTAATCATAAGTTGAGGGAGCCGAGTCTCAACATCTCTGGAAAAAATAGTAGACTTTTAATTTGGCGTATGTTAGGATTGGTCTATGATACTTAAGTATACAAAAAGAGATGAAAACCTATTACTCCCTCCGTCCCAAAAAAATTGTCTACGTTTCTATTTTAGTTTGACCCAAAATAAGTGTCCACCTTAGTAAGTGTTTACTTTCCCATTCTACCCTCAATTATGAGATGGAGAAAGTTTCTCTCTATTATTGAGGGTAAAAGTCTCCTCTAGTTGATTAAAAAGTGTAATAATTACACATTCTTAAACTGTGTCTCATTCTCATTGTGGAAATTTATTTTGGGACGAGGGAGTATAAGTTTTATTGGAGCACAACTAACACTAGTTTGTCTTGTCTAGCATAATATATGTTTAGTGTAGCTAAACTTTGAGGAAAACAAGTATTAGCAAATACATGAAATATGAATTGTTGGTGCGATATTCTATTATGCTTGACGAATATGAACCCTGTGATCATTTGACACATCATCGTTAGGACTTAGGAGCATTGAAAGGTCGGTGAGTGTAACATCTCAGGCCAACCGTACTAAATATTGTCCGCTTTGTCCTCACCTGGACTCACCGTTTTAAAACGCGTCTAATAGAGGAGGTATCCCATCCCTTATAAGGCAAGATTTGTTGCTCTCCCCAACCGATGTGGGATCTTACAGTGAGAGATAACTCTCAGGTTCGCAATATATTTTTGAAGGAATGGAATATGTCAAAGGAATTGGAATAGAATGTTATCAAGTTTGACCAAGCGTTTGGTTGGCAGGAATTGGAATATAATCTGTCAAATGAACTGGAATTTGTCTTTTTAGTTTACGGAGGAATCAGAATGAAATGATGAAAAATGACCAAAATACGCCTCTTTGAATTTTCTTGTTTATTTTTATATTTATTTTTCTTAACTTAAGAAACTTGGTTTAATGGGTAGTTTTGTCATCTTAAGAAATTTGGTTGGAATAGAATTCAATTCCTTTCATACTATAATGAAATGATGAAATCCATGGTTGGTAGAATGTATGGAATTCAACTCCATTTCAGGGGTAAACCAAACGCTGGAAAGGAATTTGGCCAACAGAATTGACCATTCTCATTCCACCAGATTCCAATCCTCCGAACCAAGCACACCCTCATGGTAAAGTGATATCAATAGACAAAAATCGGGCATCAACTCAACATTTCACAAAAAAATGAAACAATATTAGTACCTTCCGCTTCTTATCATTAGGTGTTTCAGAAATCCGGCATGAGAGTGGCAATCATATGGTGACAATCCTAGTTCTTGATTCCTCCAACAATCTTGAACAGCTGCAAGAACCTATACATCAGAAATGCAACTTAAATAGAAAGTATGCTAAAGGATTGCACAATTGTACTGGTTATTTCCGTATAGAGGATTACTTGAATCAAACACACCATCAACATCGCTAACAATAAGAAGATCCCATGATTTACCCTTCTCTTACATTCTCTCTACACGTTTGTTGGTTGGATCTATGTATATCCAAATCCTGGGGGCAGACCCACTCTATTTCATACGGTGGCACGGGCTACCGTTCGTTCCTCCATCGTATTGTAAAAAATATAGGGTAGTGAAAGGTGCCACCGTATCATTTTGTTATGTGTAACCATATATATTTTGAAACTACAATGATGACACAAGTTTCCTTTGGTAGAGTTGGTTTGTATGGCTTTTCTCGCACGCCAGGCGCAGGTCTGAATCCCACTTATGTCATTTTTTTATCTTTTTATTATGTTTCTGAAATTTGTTGCAATAAAAGACTAGAATACATGACCTCACATACGAAAAGAAAGGAACCAACCAACAAACCAATGATTATTTTGTAAAAAATATCTATATCTTCGTTTTTTTAGTAAAATGGTGCAACCACTTGAAAAAACTCCTAGGTCCGCCTTTGTCCAAATCAATGGACAACCAAATTCGAATACATGTGTCCCTGCATGTATACTTATCCACCATATATGCATAATTGTCTAATAGTGTCAAATAAGGGTTGGGTTCAGGGGGAAACCACAAAAAAAATGGAAAACCGAAGAACGTCCTAATAAACAATTCATATGTACTGTATGCACAGGTATATAGAAGTAATTAAAAATGGTTCCATAGAAGCCAAAATATTATTACCTTATTCGCCGGTTCACTTTGTAAAAAGCACTTGTCGACATTTAACACCTTATCAAAAAAACCAGGAGCATGCAATCCCAAAGCATAGACATTAGCATCTTCGCTTCTCTCATGTAATTGTTCTTTGGGCAGCCATCTTTTGGGACCAAAGGAAAATTCCATCTGCATAACAACAAACCGTTCCTTCAGTATTTCTTCTCTTCAACACGAGAAGATAACATACAACTTCTTGCTTGTATTAAATAACAGAACACGGGAGATATAATCACACATGTGAACACACTATGAGGCAAACTAGCATGTGATAGACTGCTTCATTCCTACATATATATGACTGGTGAGAAGATGTGATTTTTAGATCCAAGGCATTTCATCACACATGCAAAATTATAGTTCGCAATCGAATTGCAATCGTCCTCCACAACATAAGAGCTCAAGAGAGGTGATGATGCTAGGATAAGAACGACCATGTGAGATCCCACATCAGTTGGGAAGGGGAATACCAGATACCTCCTCTATCAGACGCGTTTTAAAACCGTGGGTCTAAGTGTGGATAAAGCGGACAATATCTAACACCTGGTGCGGTTGGCCAGGGATGTTACAAATGGTATCAGAGCCGCGAACCGAACTGGTGTGCCAGCGACAACGGTGGGCTCCCTGAGGGGGGTGGATTATGAGATCACACATCGGATCAGAGGGGAACAAAGGTTTCTTTATACAAGACTGAATACGTCCTCTATCATCGCGTTTTAAAACCGCGAGTCCAGGTGTGAATAAAGCGGACAATATCTAACACCTGGTACGGTTGGCCGGGGATGTTACAAATGGTATAAGAGCCACGAACCGGACTGGTGTGCCATCGAGAACGTTGGGCTCCCTGAAGGGGTGGATTGTGAGATCACACATCAGTTGGGGAGGGGAACAGAGGTTTCTTTATACGGGACTGAATACGTCCTCTATAATCGCGTTTTAAGACCGTGAGTCCAGGTGTGAATAAAGCGGACAATATCTAGCACGGTTGGTCGGGGATGTTACAAACCAAGACTTGCTCGGGAAGAGAAAATTGAATAAGATGGCGGTTGTCAATTTGCAAGAAAATTTGATCATATGATTACGTGTTCATATTATATGTAATCATGTATGATCTTGGAACTTCTCACTTTCTTGCAAATTGATCAACTTCTAGCATGATCCTCCCTCTTACTAGGTATATGTGTATGCACAAAGAGAAATAGCAGTTTGACAACAAATAAATACATGAAAATGTGGGGAAGCGGCTTTGAGTCTTTACTGACCTTGTTTCGGTAGTGAAATTGCATATCACATGGAACAATGGCCTTCATTACATTATCAAATTCTGGGTCCTTAAAAGAGAATTTTCCAACATGTACCACCAAATCCCGGACTTGATCTTCCTTAGCTCTAACCTGAGCTTCATATAGTAGACTTTGTGTCTTACAACCTCCACAATGTGAAGCATATTCACACGGTGCTTCCACCATATCCATATGAGGACTTAGTGTCTTCAGTTTAGTCACCTGCACTTCTAACAAGGCCCATACAGCATCAAACTTCAAATTTAACATAAGCAAATGGTGCAGGCTATATAATCAAATTTTGTTTATTTACTCGGCATTTTAAGAAAAATCCTTGCCATCTGTAGGGTTGTAAGGTCAGAGTTGTAAGCAGCATTTCTTGTCAAACACCAAATACATGGAAAAACTCACTAACAACCGTTACAAAACAGCAGATTTTGCTGGTCTTAGCCTTCTTTTAATCAAATCAGAAGCAAATCAACTAATCAAGCAAACATATAAGCAAACTGATAAACAAAATTAGAAGCAAGAACAGAAATCAATGGCCGAAAAACTCACAAATTCTACTTTAAATGAGTTTTATAGCCGGTAATTTCTATTTTTATTATTGCTTCTAGTTTTGTTTATCGATAACAAAACTAGAACAAAACTAGAAGCAATAACATAAATCATTGGCCGAAAACTCACAAATTTTACTTTAAATGGATTTTACGGCCAGTGATTTCCGTTATTGCTTCTACTTTTGTTTATCAATTTGCTTATGTGTTTTGCTTCGAATTTGATTCAAAAAAAGGTGAAACTCAGCAAAATCCACTATTGCAAAGGCATAAAAACCCATTTAATTTCGCCTAGAACATCCTAACATTCACGGTTGATGATTGATTGGCAGCGTAAATGAACTTGCTTATGGAACAGAAAACTACACGAGCCCTAACCAATTGCAGAAATAGCAAAACATCCTAAATTTCATTGAAATTGAGCAATAATGACTTCTATAGAGCAATGTAGTAGGACAAAAAATTAACGAACCTCGGAGTAATTGTTCTTTTTGCGAGTAACTCGACCAATAAATCGTTCACCAGGAAGAGCACGATCGCACATAACTACATAACCAGTATCTTCCACCTTACACAGACCTTTTCCTTTAAAAGCTATCGACTCGCATACAAGTTCCAATGTCTCGCCTCGCTTTGGAAAAAGCGGCTTAGTTTTTCTGTTCTTATTTCTGTTATTTGGTTCTTCAATGGCGGTGGAGAATGTATCAATATCCAATTTAGGTTCCTCTGAGTCTTCAATTGAAGAAGAAGAGATGGCGGAAGAAACATCAAGAGGTAAAGCCATGGAAGAAGAAGAACGGCGAAGGTATGGCAGCGGAGGCGGCGGCGGAGAAAGAGCTGAACGGAACTTGTTAAGCCATGGAAGTTGCCGTAGACTGAAAGTCGGCATGATGGCCGCCATTGACCACCGTTACCTCACCGGAAAATATCGGAGGTAATGGACGCCGAGGGTAAACTTTGGGTAAGGATAGGGATTAACTCGAAATGGAACAAATTTTGCAAACGCAATTTGCCCTTCAAAACAATTTTTAAATTTCAAATACAATACGGTTGTTTGTTAGCGGCTCCTTGGGTTTATTAGTTACTGAATGGTTTGATCAAGAATAATTAAGTAGTCAAAATGATTTAGGTGATTTTTATGATATAATAAAAAATAAAATATAATTGTTTGGTAATTGTTTATAATAAAATTATGATGTTGAATGGTTAAGGGATACCCAAATAACCAATTTTACTAAAAAAACGCATTTTCTTTTTGCTTTTTTCATCCTTGGACCTAGGGTGTTTATGGGTTGAGTTGATCGGGTTAAAGATATTTGAACAACCCAACCCAATACTTACGGTTTGGTAAAATTTTAACTCAACCCAACCCGTACGGGTTGGTCGGGTTGATACTTTGGTATATTAAAATATTCTTCTAACATTGAATATGTTATTTCTCTACTCATAATTTCTTTTTCATCATCAGCAATTTGATGCAACTTATTCATATTTCTTACGTATATCACATTCAGTTAATTTTCTCAATTTACATATATATGTTCACAGTTACTGAACATATATATGAATGAATTATATATGGATATGAATAAATTGAAAATATATGTATATGAAGAGCATACATGATAGTGTAGACGAGTCGAGCTTTTAACGAGCTTAATAATTATCGAACTCGAGTCGATCTTGAAGACAAAATAAAGATGGCATAACTTAACGAATCGAGCTCCATAACACCACTGTTAAACTCGACTTATTTGAAAACCCGATTAAACTTTACTAACCAAGGCCAAACTATTCAAGCATAAACTTTTCCGAGCCAAACATATTTATATGTTCACAAATCATCGAGTTTGAGTAAATAAACGAGTTAATGAGTCTCGAATTCGAGCTCATAAACGAGCATCGAGCATGAGCCCAAACATTAAAAAATATTCGAGCTCGAGATAGAGTCCGACTTTGAAAAAGTTGTTCAAGCTCGAAAGCTCAAATAACCTGCTACTCGACTCGTTTACACCTCTACCATTAACCAAGCACATTGTTTGGACTTTATTACGAAAAACAAAAAAACGCATCAAAATAAAAAGACAAAAATACCCTTATCTTTAACGAAAATAGTGATAGGTCCACTGATCCAAGGGTAAAAATACGCTTAACACGGCTTTTGATTTAGATACCAAAACCGTAACTTTAACGCATCAAAAGGACCAAATCCATAATTTATCACAAAATTTATGGTTTACTCTTGATTTAACGACAAGTAATAAACTTATTGAAAAACTTTCCTTAAATTGGTCGTTCTTTTGATGTTTCTTGCCTGTCTCTCTTTGCACATTCACCGACACTCGCCCTCATCGATTACACTGCAAATTACACACTCCCAACTACTGTTTCTTTCATCACACCACACCCATGTTCCTTGCTGATTCTTTCCCAAGAAAATCAACCTAGATATTTGGAAGAAGAAATAATTGTTTATTTCGTCTTGTTATTTTTAACCTACAGTGAAAAATCGCATGGGGGTTTTGATTTTCTTCACATGGGTATAGATTTCTTTTCAAACGGATTCCAATTATCATGGCAGAAGTATGAAAACTTTACATGATTGTAAGGTTCGTGTCGGATTTTCTTTTGGGGTTTGTGTGTTCTTAATCGACAGCGTGCACTGAAGGTGTTTGTGAAATTGTCTCTTAGAACAAATCTGCGTTTTTTTGCCCTAAAAGATGCAGTCGAGGTTAGTGACAATGGAGGAAGGCAAAGACCCCACCACCAACTCAATTAGAACAAATCAATCTAGGGTTTTGCCATTAAGATTACTTAGGTTCATGGTGTTTGTTCTAGGTGTGGGCATTGTTCTATCGATCATTAGTGTGCGCATTAACAGAAATTTAGGCATTCGGAATATTGTTCCAGGAGCACAACCTTGTTTTGAAGAACCCATTAGTTTACAGAATTTGATTAAGCCTCCATCGAATTATCTGCATATTATGAATGATAGCGAGCTGTTATGGAGAGCTTCACTTGTTCCCCAAATTAAAGAATATCCCTTCAAAAGACTACCCAAGATTGCATTCATGTTCTTGACAAGAGGACCGCTGCCACTTTCGCCATTGTGGGAGAAGTTTTTCGAAGGAAACGAGGGACTTTATTCCATTTATGTTCATTCTCTGCCTTCATATAAACCAAACTTTTCGACATCTTCAGTCTTTTACAGGAGGCAAATTCCTGGTCAGGTGAGCAAGATTTATCTTCTTTGTTCTTTTCTTACATTATATATCTATTCCTGAAATTGTCACAAAATGATTGACTGATTGTTGTTGTATAGGATTAAAAATTATACTACTTGACTTTAAGTTGTATATGAAATCTTATGAAACTCGTTAAAGAGACCGAAAAACCATATTGAAATGAACATAAATAGAAAAGTACATTTTAGCTTAAGTACATATCCCTCTTTGTTTTCATGTGTTATGATCATGGTTATACCTGCTTAAATTAAGTTTTTGCATCATTGGTAAAGTTCTGGATGCTAAATTGAAGCCAGTTTTCTCATTTCTGATATATTTGGTACGAGATGGCGCACATTGAAAGTGAAACAATTCGTTCAAAAATCTTTTAGGTATTAAGGTATGACTTCTTATGGTAAATCTTGAGGAACCCATGTCCATGCTAGCAATCATATACATGGATGTTGATCCGTCTTTGATCTCTCTTTTTGTTGGTGCTTAGAAACAGATGTAATTACTAAATGTGCATGTTTTCCATTTCTTGGAAGATTGGAAAAACGGAATAGTTTTGTGTCAGGTTCAGCTCACAAGCTCTTGAATGTGTGACCTCAAAAAAAAATGGTTCTGCTAGCAAGAAGGTAGGTTAACATAAGAGGGTATATTCAGTCTTTATGAGAGCATTATAGAATCACAAAGGTAAAAATCCTCTCACCTGTCCACAATCTCTGTTCCCCCATTATTTTTGTGTTTGTAGAGGCTAGATACTACATCTATTAGGTTTTAGTGTAGATCTCTAACAGCACTGATACGTTGATCGTATTCAAAGTAGCTACTTGACTTGCCATTTCCTGAATAGTGGTGAATAAATGAATGGGCAAGAGCTCATCCATTTGAAGCTGCTATAAAGTTGGAGTCCTAACGCTACAACTTATCAACTTCTCTTCCTATGCGAGACAGTTATCCCAAACAGTCTTGGATGGTTAAACTCCAACTTTGAGCTCAAAGTAGAGTAATAACAGTTCTCTAAGCTGGATATAATATTAGGGGCAGGTTCATTTAGGAATCTTAAATATTTTAGGAACCCATGAACCACCTATTTTGTGAGTATTCATGATGAATATTATTCATCATAATATCTGCCACGTTATTCATCATGAATATTTTATCACGTTATTCATCATGAATACTCACAAAAAGGGTAACCTAACCAGTGAACCACTGGCAAGAGTATCCTCAAATGGTAACCTAACCGCTATATGGCTTTGTGCTACACATCCTACTCCATTTGGCCAAGATAAATTCAATTTTTGCCCTTTTGGTGAAGTTACAACTATGAATCATTACAAAATCGATTCTGGTCCATAATATTTCCATGTCATTCTTAGGGTAACGCAGGTATTTGACTAATACTAGAATACATTTATTAGATAAATATTATGTGTTAAGCTAAATGTTGCCTTTTATTTTGGGATCAAGGGCAGATTTCATGACCTTTTGAGAGAGAAACCACAAACACTCAACATATAGCGACACCACTTCTATATCATATAAAAAGAGTTCTTTAATAACTTTTATATATATATATATATATATATATATATTGACATATATATTACACTTCTATATCATATAAATTGACATGAGACCCATCATCACTTGTGTAAAACCAAAGTAGAAAATAGCAGCATCAAAATGGTCATACCATTTTTGTGCTTGTTTGGAACAATAAAGTAACTACCAATTTGCATATTTTAGTCTTTTGGCTCAAGAATAATGAACCTCAGGTTGTTCTATGTATCCTTATTGTATTTGGATTGTCTTTCACAAACTTAGTTATGATATCCATATGATATACATAAAGATAGGTCAAGGTTGCAAGTGCAATCATGGTCGCAATGGAAGTGAAATGCCTGATTATTGCATATGTGTCTAAGAAGTTCACACCATTTGTTTTCCTGTATCCTTCAATAACTAATCTTGCCTTAAAAGCAGCCAGCGGGATCTCAAAATCGTACATTATCCTAAATATCCACTTGCACACAATGAGTTTGAATCACAAGGCGGATATACTAATACCCAAATGTTTTTTTCTGGTGTATATAATATTTTATATACGTCAAATACTCACACACTCCTCACTCTTGTGAGGTTTGAACCCTTGCGCTCCTAGGAGGTTGGGCTCTACCGGTACCCCAGGTACTGCTTGGTCAATGACCCTCTGGTAAACACTAATGCACACATGTTATCACCAATAATGGGACCCACGTCATTATTTAAACTCTAAACTATCCATGTCAAATTAAAACCCTAAAACCTTCACAGTTCTTTCACCAACCTGTCTCACTCTTGTTGTCCTGTCCTCCAATCCCCTCCAGTCCTGTCCTCCAGCCCTGTCCTTTCCAGTCCAGGCCTGGCCAGTCTCTGTACCAAACGCACCCTCAATATTCGAATACACTTCCTGTATAAAGAACCTAAACAAGCACTTCTACTTGATTCTATACAGATGGTGGAATGGGGAAGAATGAGCATGTGTGATGCCGAAAGAAGACTTCTAGCCAACGCATTGCTAGATATCTCAAACGAGTGGTTTGTACTCTTATCTGAGGCCTGCATAGCCCTTCACAATTTCAGCATAATTTATCGCTACATTTCAAGATCCAGGTTCAGTTTCATGGGTGCATTCGATGAGCCCGGCCCATATGGTAGGGGTCGATATAACGATAACATGTTACCAGAAGTCAACATCACCCAATGGCGAAAAGGGTCTCAATGGTTCGAAACCCACAGAAATCTTGCAGTTGATATCGTTAAAGATACCAAATTTTACCCCAAATTCGAGCAATTCTGCAGACCTGCATGTTACGTTGACGAACACTATTTCCCTACTATGCTCACTATTCAATCTCCAAATCTGTTGGCAAACCGGAGCCTTACGTACGTAGATTGGTCAAGGGGCGGTGCTCATCCAGCTACTTTTGGGAAGAACGATATCACGAAGAACTTTTTCAAGAAAATCCTCGAAGATCAAACGTGCATTTATAATAATCAGCCAACTTCAGTTTGCTTTCTGTTTGCAAGAAAGTTCGCCCCCAGTGCTCTAGAGGCATTGTTACAACATTCTTCGGAATTCTTTGGCTTCTAATTGACTCATAGCCCGATGGTCGTAGTAGAAGCGTGAAAACCGGTGGATTTTTATCGCACATCACCACGTTGGCACTCGGAAGCCGGATTCTTTTCGTAGTTACAGAATAGAAACCTTAGATGGCATTATTGAATAATAAGTTTATATCCCATTATTGATGTAGTTTTGAAAGTTGTGTGATACAAAAATGGGGAGTGTGTAGGGTTTTTGTTGAAAAGTTGTATTCTAACATCAAATCTCTGCTACTTTATGCAACTAATTGCCATGAAAATGCGTGAAGCAGTGTATAAACGAGTCTGAGTAGCAGGTTGTTCGAGTTCAGCTCGAAAAGATTATAATAGCCTCGAGTTTGAACAACTTTTTTCAAAGTGGAGCTTGAGCTCAAGCTTGAATAGTTTTTGAATGTTCGAGTTCAAACTCAGAGATCATTTAGGGTGCATTTGGTACACAAGACATAACAAGTATCACTATTCCACGTTTGGTAGGACTTTACGTGGACCAAACGTGTTCTACTCTTTGGGGTAGAGGGCTCGACTGCATACCTTTCAGGGGTTATTTAAAAATGACCTAAAATGAGTTTTTCATTAAATCCGTAGCAAAAAACTTGCTTCATACTCATGAGAAGGTTATTGATTTAATTAAAATTTCATTTAAGGTTACATACCCAAATATACCTTGCAGATGCTTGTTACATTGGTCAGGTCAGCCCATTGACAGATCCATTTTTTTTTTTCAAAAGTGTTTGTCCACACCTATTTTTCTAACGCTTATATATAGAAGTCAGCTGAAATCAACCAAGTTTTATAGTTGGCAACATCAATTGTTTATCAGGGTTGATGTCTTACAGTCGGCTTTAATCAGAGCTGATGTCTTACTGTTACAGTCGTTTTTGTCATGATTAGCTTGGGATACGGGATACCCTTCCAAGTAAAAAATCAGCTATAAATTGTCTGAAAAATTAGGTCATATGATAGATAGCTAAACGAGCTCTTGACAAGAGACCTAGGACCTATCTGTTAGCAGCTTAACGAGCTTAATGGGACTCGCACTTTATTTGATTAGCTATACATGATTATTTGATAGTGGCTTAATAATATAGAAAGTGACTTATTTAGTAAGCTTCTAGGGTATGTTTTATGCAGAAAGCCAAGTTTTTTCAGAACCTGTCGCTCCAAATTAAAAAAATGTTCCTTCCATCTATGAAAAAACCTGACAAACAAAAACTTTTTCAATTTATAAAAACAGATTAATCCACACATACAACTTTATCCCTACAGAACTTGATGGAAAATCAACTAAACAACCTCTTATACGTATTATTGTGTAAACAATTGACATTCTTCAGTTAAGTTGTCGTATTCTCAAAACCTGTCAGAAAGTCGTGAATTTAAAAAAACCTATAAGGTCATTTAACCCAAGGACTCGAGAGAACACTTCACAATTCGTCACGGTCCCTGGATGCAGGAGTTCCCGGATGTTGGTTTTCAAGGTACGTTACAGCCAAAGCCGACTGCATTGCAGCACCGTAAGGAAGAACATCTTCATTAAGCTCAAAAAATGGGGAATGAAGTGATGCGGGATTTCCGTTTTTTTCATTTTTCATTCCGATAAAGTAGAAATAGCCGGGCATAACCTCTTGGTAAAACGAAAAGTCCTCCGCTCCCATAAATGGCGGCATTTCTTTGACGTTTTCGACACCAAGAACGTCTCCGGCAACCTTTTGGAAGTGGCCATGCAAGCCTTTGTCATTTATGGTCGCCGGGAAGAACGGTTTCGCTTTTGTGGAGAACTCCACGGTTGCATTACACCTATGAACGGTAGCTTGCGCGATAATAACCTGTTTTTGAAATTAATTAGTTTCCATATATAAACACGGAAGAAAATCCTGTAAAACATCTAAATGGTTTCTATCAATAAAAAAGGTTTGCATGGAAACAAGTGTTTTACTTTTTCGAGTAGAGGTCAGGTATGTTTATATCTTATCCCCATACCCCATCTTCGGATGGGATATATTAGACACGTTTGGTTTGGTTTAGTTTAGTTATCTACCATCTATGAAATAATTTGAGGTTCTATTCATTCACATCATTTTCGATCATTCACAATTGTCATTCTTGTGGGTCCGATATTCATTTCCTCGCATCCACTAAACAAGAGAGGTTGTTTGGTTGGTTTTTCATTAAGTTCTACGTGGATAAAGCTGTCCGGTATGGATTAATCTGTCCGTATAAAGTTGGAAGATTTTTGTTTAGGAGGGTTTTTCATAGACGGAATAAGCATGTTTTTTTAAATGAGATGCATGTTTGGAAGAAAAAAAATATGGCTTTCTGCATTAAGCCCCTCAAGAAACTTACTGAATTAGTCACTTTCTATATCATTAAACCACTACCAAACAGTCATCTATAGTTGACCGAATAAACCAAGCCCATTAAGCTGCTAACAACAAATCTTAATTCGTTCTTACCAAACCAAACCAGCGAAGTATATCCCACCCGGAGGTGGGGTCCAAGAGGGGTTAAGATATACACAAACCTAACTTCTATTTTTGTGAATATCCCCGACTAGTGAAAAATGTGTGAAAGTGAGAAATACAGATATGAATAAGCAATAGCAATATGATCAGAAAAAAAGAGACAAATATGTTCATTTTGTGTTATTACATATGTGTATGTACCTCCTCTATACGTTCCCTGAGTTGCGTGAAACTTCCTTTAGAAAAAGCTCTAAAGGTTCCGCCAATGGTGACGGAATCCGGGATAACATTGAAAGCACCACCTCCATGAAACTTAGCAACCGTAACGACCTGAATGGGTACCACAAAACAATTTCACTATATGTTTATTCTAAAACCAAACCAAACAAACCCAATAATCCCACCTGGAGGTGGGTCCCCCAGAATAGAGTTGTTCATGGGGGACGGCCTGCTCGAACCGCCCTGTCCAGCCCATTAGAAAAGCAGGAATGGAATACCATTCTCGAAGAAATGGGATGGCCCGCACTGACTTGTTAAAATTAATGAGCGGGTATGAGACGATGCAGAAAAATTGGGCAGACCCACCCAACCTGTTAATACTTTTATAATTAATTAAAATCTACAAAAAATTGAAAATTCTTGGTACTTATCGATCCCACTTAATTATGACTCATGATAATAACATGATTTAGAAATGTAAGCCTCAATTGATCAATTCCTATTATCTCATTTGGTCATTTCCTTTATTGATGTTCGATATTATGGGAAATAATTTTTTTATATAAATTATGCACATTTTTATGTGTTTGCATCTAGAAAAATTGTTATGTAATTTGTATTAGAACTGTAAAAAGATTTTTAGACCCGTTAGCCCGTAGGCAAGCCCGGCCAGTTCATAAAGCGGGTAAGGGCAAATTTTCAAGCACGTAAAAAAGGGCTTGCGTTTGCTATATTAGGTCCGTTGAACTAGAAAAATAAGTTAGGTCTGGCCCAAGCCCCCAAATGATTGGTCTACTCCAGAGGGGGGTATGCACGCAGACCAAACCTCTACCCCGAAGGTAGAACAGTTGTTTTCCGTATACATCTTTGCTCAAGATGTGGAAATAGAAAAATAAGAACTTGATCTGAAGTTACCTGAGAATCAAGAGGATCGGCTTCTCTTGATACAAGATGTTGTAAGCTAACGACAACATTTGATGCCGCTAAAATAGGGTCTATCGAGTGCTGAGGAATGGCGGCATGGCCTCCTTTTCCGGTAATGATGGCTTCAAAAGAGCCACTCCCAGCCAAAATAGCACCAGATCGGGAGAACACTTGACCAACCGGGTGCCCCGGAGAAACATGTAAACCAAATATGGCTTTCACGTTCTCGAGAGATCCACTATCTACGACTTGTTTTGCCCCTCCGCCACCTTCCTCCGCCGGTTGAAAAACCAGAACCACCGTTCCCTACGAACGATAACAAATAGACACATTTTTATGTAAGAATACACAAAATGTCGGATAAAAATACACATAAGCAGAGAGAGAAAGTAAAATGTATTAAATAAGTTTAAAATAAATAAAAATTTGATGGGTCTTGATTTCATTGGTGGGACATAAGTGTCCAATTTTGAAAGTAAATGTCTATTTTCCAGTTCTATCCTTAATTATGAGATGAGAATTTTTTACTCGATCATCATCAGGGGTAAAAATGTCTTTTAGTTAATTAAAAGGTATAATTGATTACAATTCCTAAAACCGTGCCTTTTTCATTGTGTTAGGGACAAGTGCTACGATATATTCCTTGAAACTACAATAATAACACAAGTTTCTCTTGGTAGAGTTGGTTTGCATGGTCTTTTCTCCCCTTCTGGTCGCGGGTGCGAGTCCCATTTGTATTATTCTCTTAGTCTTTTAGCTTTTAGGTTGCGTTTGTTTTTTAAGAGGTGCTTAAGTCAGAAGTCTGAATTCACTTCTGAATTTTAAGAGGTGGTGTTGAAGTCTGAAATCTGAATCAGTCAGACTGTTTGTTTTTACGTCTGAAATCTGAAATCTAAATCATTGAAATCTAGGCTTTCTTTGCAAGCATTGGAAGCTCTAAAAGCAATTAAGAGGTTTTAAGTGAAAATATTACCTCTAAATAATTCAGACATAATCAGAGCTTTTAAGCTCTTAATTGAAAAAAAAACAAACACACTTAATACCCTAAGGTCTGACCGATTCAGACATAAGAGGGTATTAAGTGCTTTTTAGATAAAAACAAACAAGGCCTTAATTTCAGGTTTATTATGTTTTTGAAGAAAACTTGGGAAAAAAACTCAAACACAGTACCTTAGATACAAAAAACAAGGAACTAACCAACAGACCAATGATGATCATGTGAAAAATATACAAACTTTTTTGTTTTTTATAGTCAAATGGCGCCACCACTTGAAAATTTCCAAGCTCCGCCTCTTAATATGTGTATATATATAGAAGGGGGGGGGGTTCATGGAGAACCCCAAAAAATTTGAAAAACTGAGGAACACTCAGGTAACCATTCATATGGACAGTATGCACATGTGCAACCAAGTAATTGAAGTTGTTTTTTGGTTTTTATGCACGTGTGCATGTTATGCACGTTACTTATATGCACATGTGCATACTGTACAGTGAACCGTTACCAGGGTGTTCCTCAGTTTTTCGTTTTTTTTACGTTTTTCCACTGAACCTGACCCTATACATGACATATATGATGAATATTCAAAATGAAGCAGTCAGGTAAGAAACAAAAGGAACATACCTTCAAAAGATGGCTATGCTTTTTGAGAATCTTGGCTGCCCCAAGAAGCATGGTGACATGACCATCATGACCACATGCATGCATCTTTCCAGGAACTTTACTCTTGTGGTTCCACTCCACCATTTCCTTATCAAGAAAACACAACCCCATCAATAGAATTAATATACAACTTCAACAAAAATCAATGTTCAAATTACATAACAAGAGAATTTTATAACCAAAATCCAAAAGTCAAACCGTAAAACCACTTGGGTGAGATTTTTATAACCAGAATCCAAAAGTCAAACCGTAAAACCACTTGGGTTGTGGCACACTAGTGGGGATGTAATGGAAAATCTCATCTACCCTGGGTTCGAATCTAGGCACTGCCATAGCCCTTGTGGCCGTGGACATTCACCTGTAAGGACTCTAGGCCATTTGTGGTCACCCAGGGGATTAGCCGGTGCACGTAAGTTGGGCCGGAAACCCACTGCTACTCCCTCCCCCCAACAAAAAAAAACCTCAAACCGTGAGAATATGGGGAACCCCATTTTATTGCTCTTGAATCGAGGAGAGAAGAGAGGTTCCAACATATATAGAGAAGAAATGGTCCAAGTCTAGTTGATGTGGGACTTTAACACTCACCATCCAAAAGAGGCTACTGTAGATTGCCCCAGAGCATCGAGACCCTATAGTGGTCGACTTTCCTTCTAACACCATGTGAGAATATATAGAACCTCATTATATTACTATCCAAACGAGCCTTCAAGGAAAGGAGGGACGTTCCAACATATAGAGAGAGGAAATGGTCAAAGTCTAGCCAATGTCGGACTTCAACACTCTCCCTCCGACAGAGGCTGGTACAGATTTCCCCAGAGTTCCGAGTCTCTGTTTGTTAGTGGTATGTGAGAATATTGTAGAACCCCATTAGGTTACTCTCCAAAAGAGCCTAACTGGACCTATGCGAGAATATCTAGAACCCCGTTAGATTACTCTCCAAAAGTTGGAGAGCCTAATTAGAAGGGAGATATCAACGTATACACAGGAGAATTTGTTCAAATCTAGCCTATCTATGACTCTAAACAGCCACAAATTGTCTCAAAGTGTCGAGAGGGGGCAAGATGATAACAAATTAAGCCAGATTTTTGAATCCCTAGAGCAGTAGACCTTTAACTTATGTGGAACCCATTAAAAGAAAGAAGGAAGGTTCAACATATATATAACACAAACACAAGTGAAAGAGTCTCTAAAAAAATTCAACTTCAAATATTGTAGACAATTACTAGAAACTAATTCAACAAAATAAGCATAAACTTAAAGCTTAAAAAAAACAGAAAACCTGCATGGAGAGAGCATCCATATCCGCCCTTAAACCAACAAACGGTGGCTCGCCGGAGCCGATGAATCCAACAACACCGGTACCTGCAATTGGATGTTTATAAGAAATCCCCAATTTATCCAATTCTTCCCTGATTACTTTACTCGTTTCGAATTCTTCATAACCTAACTCTGGATTCTCGTGTATCTTCCTCCTAATCCCCACCATCCAATCGAAAACCTCATCCTTCTTCGCAAAATCGAGAAATTCCTTCGAGAGATCAGAAACCCCAATTGAGATTTGGGGTTTTAGAAGGGAAACAATCAAAATCGTAAATATCCATTTCGAAATGTTCATTTCTTCGATGTTAGCAACTGATAATAGTAATAATGATCAATACGATTCTAAGAATGAGTTTGTGATGGTATAAATTGATAAATCGGTGAAGACGAAGACGATGAAGACAAGTGTAAGTGTGTGTGTGTGTGAAAGGAAAATAAGGTCAAAGCCAAGAAGAAAAGGTTGAATTGAAGGGGGATTAAATAAGAAGAATGGTGAATAAAAATGGCATCGAGATCACCGGGCGGTGGTCGTCTCCGCCGTTGATTGGCCACCGGCACTTAAATTTCACCACGTGCGCTTATAGTCGGTGGTAGCGATGGCCCACCACTCAGAGAGCTAACTTATCTATTTTGATATTTGTGCATGTGATTCGTAACTTGTCAACATTTTAGGAAGGTGATTTGTCCGGATCCGGTGAGGAATCCGGCCATTCGATCCGAACAGAGACGGAGATTCTCCGTTAAAACGGGTCCCAGGCTTGGGATCCCCAATGGACAAGTAGGCTCAAACCGGGACCGGGTCGGGGATTCTCAGTAGATTCAAACTAACGGGTATTCTTCATGGGGTTTGATCGGGGACAGAATGTTAATCCTCGTACACACCTGGGACTGGGGATTACAAAACCCGTTTCAACTCCACCTCGTTGCCATGCCTATTAAAATTGCAACGAATTTTCTATAATCTATACTATATTATAAAACATTTGACAAAAAATCTTAAAAACTATTTTTTTTTTATGAAATACCTGTTTATTGATACATATTACTTAAAATTCAAGATTACAAGTAAATTGTGCATATGTACAACTTATTAAAGCTCTATGTTTGAATTCGTGTAACTACATGTAGATAAACATAACCAAATACTGGATAGGTATATCATTTTAAATAAAAAATTCTAAAATATATTTAGAATAATCATTGAATTCTAACAAAATACTAATTATTATCTTTATAAAAAAAACTATATTGTTATAAACTAAAAATAAATGATCTCGTTATTAATTTAAATTAAATCATAACAAAAAACTGAATTAAAAAAATTACACAAAAAACAAAAACTTTTAAATATTTAATTTGACACTAAAATCGATATATATTTTTTTCAAAAATTTATTATAAGTTCAAATTTATATTTTATTCAAAAATAAAAACATTATCGCTTTCAATACCACATGAAATCGTATTATAACATCGGCGAAGACAGTATAAAACGAAACATTAAAATCGAGATTATCTCGCTACATTGTGCGAGTATCATTCTAGTTATATAAAAATATATGTAAAAAAGGGGATTGTATTTGCACCCCTATATATATTAAAAAAGATTCAAATCGTACATTGAAAATGTAAAAAAAAACGTATTTTTGGCGTTGATGTGTAAAAAGGATATCAACATTGTAGGGGTTTGGCTCTAAACGAATATGTGAAAAATAAGTATTCACGTTAATGTGTGCAAAAAGGAATTTAGTAGGTAGGTGTGCCTTTAGCTTACCTCTTGTAACTGGTAACTCTTATGTTACGTTTATTTTTTAAGAGATGCTGAAGTCTGAAATCTTATTTCACTTTGATTTATAAGATGTGGTGCTGAAGTCTGAAATCAGAATCAATAAGATCATTTGTTTTTGTATACTGATAAACGTCTGAATTGTTTAAATTATTTTTTTTACCATTAAAAATTATAGTGTTGAATTTACATCCTATTAAAGTATGTTAATTGAGAGTGGTGAGAATTGATTTAGTAAGGATCATATGAGAGAAATGGTCGATTAAGGTTAATCGATTGAGAAACGTCGTTGTTGAGGATGTGAAGAACAATAAGAGGCAAATAAGAGATTGGTTTACCTCTTATCAGATAAGAGGAAAATAAGACATAAGTGTCTCTAAAAAAAAAAAAAAAAAAACACAAGCAGTCTGAATGGCTTTGGCTCTAAACAAATCAGACATAAGGAGCTGATAAGAGCTTTTTTTATGAAAAACAAACAAGTTCTTAGTCTGTCAATTATGTATATGTGAAAGTTAAGTCAAGAACACAATAACTTGTTAGCTGGTTGGCATACGACAAATACCCAGAGAAATTTTTACAATTCTCAAACCATCGATTGTCAAATTTGAACTATTATTTGTTTCTACAAATATTTCGTCATGAAATCAATTACGCTACACTTTCTAGACGTCTACAAAGATGATGTTCATTAAATAAATTTGAGTCGTTTGTTTTTTGTTCGGTTTTTCGAACAAAGTTAATCTTAATTTACCAAAGGGCAATTGACCTAGCGGTATCGGAGTCTTCGTCCTCCTAGGAGGTCAGGGATTCAAACCTCATCAAGAGTGAGGAGGGTGTGTAAGTTTATTTGTTACATTTGTCATATATAAATATTATATACTTCAAAAAAAAGTTAATCTTAATTTTCTTTTAGTGGATGGTTTAAAGTCGTTTTCAAGCGGGTTTAGAAACTTATCTGAATATCAAAAAAGGTTTAAAACGAAAACCAAACCAATTAATTGAAACTTCACTTTAAATAACTTGATTTGGAATATTTTTAAACCAGTTTGATTCTCGATGAAGTTGCTTAAACATCCAAATTATCGAACAACTTGAAACATGTACGTTCTAAGATAACTCTTTTAATAACGATCTAACATATTTTTTAGTGAATTGTAAATGATCCCTGGATTATTTATAAATTGTCATTGTTAGTCCATCATCTTTTAATTTTATAGTTTAAGTCCTCTAACTTTTTTTTGAAGTATATAATATTTACATACGACAAATGAACAAATAAACTCACACACCATTCTCATCTTTGATGAGGTTTGATCATTTGACCTCCTAGGAGGCCAAAAACTACGATATCATTGGGCCAAAGACCATTTGGTTAAGTCATCTGACTTTGGCTCCTTGTTTTATTCCATCCTCACTTCCACTCAAGCAATTAGGGGTGCTCAAGAGTTGGGTTGATCGGGTTGAAGACATTTGAACAACCCAATCTAATGCTTACAGTTTGAAAAATCTTAACCCAACCCAAACCATACGGGTTGGCCGAGTTGATACCTTGATACATTAAAATATTCTTCTAACTTTGAATATGTTATTTCTCTACTCATAATTTCTTTTTTATCATCAATCATTTGATACAACTTATCCATACTTCTTCCTTATACCGCATTCAGTTAATTTTCTCAATTTATATATATACGTTCACAGTTAATGAACATATATACGAATGAGTTATATAGAGATATGAATAAATTGAAAATATGTGTATATGAATAGCGTATATGATAGTGTAATTGTCTAACATATATATTTATAGAAATTCAACAATCATATTAAATCCAATAAATAAAATGATATCGGGTTCATCGGGTTGGATTAGGTTCAAACAATAGTAACTCAATATCTACGGTTTAAGAAATTTACAACTCGATTAAACAGCGGGTTGCTTCGATTGAGTTATTCCGCGTCGAGTTGGGTTGGGTTGATCGAGTTTTTGAACACCCCTACAAGTAATTGGTGTTAATTTCCAACAAATCATATAGGAAGAGAGCAGATAGTCAAAAGCCTAATTACACCTAATCATCTATCTTTTAGGTCATGTAATGTTACTAACTGACTTTTTGGGTTATGCACTATATAACGTCAGTTTTCAAACGTCTCAAACAAACAAACTTTTGGAACTGTTTAATCCAGACGTCCAAATTGTATTAATTGGTATTCCGTACTTCTGTTAGAAAGTTCAAAATGAGACATCATCTTAATTCTGTTGGGTTTAATGTCATAATAGCTTTTGTTATTCCTATTGGTAGTAAGAACTACCCTCATAAACCACAAGGGTGGTGCCTGATTGGTTTGAGCTTGGCTCCAAAGATCAAAAGTACTGAAGGTCCCAAGTTCAAATCCAAAACCCCCTTGTGGCCACGGAGGTTCAAATGCGGTGACTCTGAACTATCTGCAAAGTAGGTAGTCGTCCTGGAATTAGTCGACTCGCATAACGGGTCGGATGTCCAGGTTAATAAAAAAAAGAACTACCCTCATACGACTAATTGAACCCTTTAATCATTGATACCAAATAGCAAGGGAAAACATTTTACATTTTGGAATAAGTTTAAAAGCTAAAAGTATATATTGCAGAATAGTCTAGGGACCATTTGTGTAATTACTCTATTTCTGAATAATTATAATTAGAAATCAACAAAAATCAAATCATTAACCAACCACTACCTTAATTCAATGGCTTATCTATACTATATTATAAAGTATCTTACAAGAACTCATAAAAGTCATTTTTTATCCCTTCGGATCATCCATTGGATATCCAATAAAAGTATTCATTGATGGAACCGATCCAATCATCCATTGGATCGGATCGGATCGGTTGGCAAAATCCAACATCGAATGGATGATCGGATTGGATTGGATCGGATCGGTTCGGTTCGATTCCCCTCACATCCAACGGATGCCAACCGATGAACAGGCCTACCCTCTACCTCTCGTCTGCTAGGGTAGCAGATATCATAGGCTAAATTTTTTGTTGTCCATCTACCGACACAATTCATTAGAATTTAGATGATTCTCTCAAGTAGGGGCATAATCATATGAGAACCACTGATCTTGTGTTGTTTCACATTGTAAAACAATGCATGTGAATGTACAATATTGTTTCACCTATAGTAAAAAAGAACATCTTAAAAAGTTGCTAGTGTTACAAGGCACCACAGACTCTTTTATCTGCTTGCTCAATGAGAATGATAACAAAAGAAGTGAGAGCAGTCATGAAAACTCACACATACATGAAGGAGAAAGAAACTGATATAATTCTGGAACCTGTGATCTTCTTATAATAACTATCTTAAGAGAATCAGCTTTTAACAGAGACCAAAATGTATGAAACATGGATACCCAGCAAGGCTTAAAGGCAGTAAACAAAATTTTTAGGCCTACATGACACATGAGTCAGCAGCAAACAGAATTAACATAGGTAAACATAACACAAACAAGCATGAAAGTCAACAAAACCAAGAAGCAAATTTGAACCTAGTTAAGCTGTTAACTAGTCAAAATGAATCAACAATCGTAGAGTAAAAACCAGATTATAAGATCTATGTGACAGTAGACACAATTGGTAGCAATGCATAAAAAAGTTAGTGTCGTAGTAGCCTTATATGAGCATGAAACATGTCCAGGACCTGTACCTTGAGGGTGCGTTTGGTATACGGACACGATTGGACAAGACCGAGAGTGAAGTTGATAGGTGAAAGGAATCATGGAAGGTTTCAACTTAAGATTAGTAGTTTAGTAATTTACTTATCTTGTCTTTCTCCCGACAAAAGTATTGCATTTTTGTCTCACTCAGTCCTAGCCTGTCCCGATCTAGTTGTTGGACCAAATGTGTGACAACCAAGTTTTATTATGTCCCGTCCAGTGTACCAAACGCACCTTCCGCAATTTTGGTATTACCATGATCTAATTCAGAGCACATGAGCATATAGTTAAACCCAAAGACTCTAGTCATTTACACTAGACAAAAATTAAACTAATTCACCATGAAATTCATTGACAGGGAAGAAAGATGGTAACGTATGCCGAAGTAATCATAATTGAGCAAACCATGTAATACCAAGAGTTCTAACATATAATCCAACCCAATACATACGTCCAAGTATGACATAATTATAACATTATATATATATATATATATATATATATATATATATAGGGTGGTAATCATTTGACAACTCGGTTTTTTGTGAGAACTGTGAGATCCAACTACATGCATGGGTTCAGTGAAATACCATGTCTAGGCTTAATGTTTGAAACATAAAACACTCATGCTTTGGATCAATGGTATTAATGGTATGATTCAACATTTTGAGTTTAATGTTTGAAATAGAGAACACATTGGTTTGGGTTCCATAAGGGTGCGTTTGGTGCGCAGACAGGACAGGACGGGACGGGACGGGACAGGACAGGACAGCTGTTCAGCGTTTGGTAAGACAGGACAGGACAGGACTGGACTGGTTAAAATGACCGATTTACCCCTAACGTTATTTTGCTTCTATACTAAGTTAAAACATATGCAAAAACAGTTTCCATCTAGGATTCTAGGATGAAATTAGATATGTTAACATCTGAATTGAAGAGATGAGAAGACCAAATTCACACAAAACACCAATGTAATTGTAAGTAATCAACATTCTTCTGATCTCCACAAAGGTTTCAAATAAGAAGGGATATATAGACAAATTGAGAGCCAAACTCAAATCAAACTGAATTCAGAAGGCGATTAACTCTCACTCGGTGGAATCTGTTCGAAATTGAGTGATCGTTATACACATACTATAGAATCATGGAAATAAACAACAGTTTCAGTCCGTGTGAATTTTGAACAGAGACGCATACACACAGATACCTGAAAATTTTGAGTCTGAAGAAGAAACCACCCCCCCCAAAAGGAATCTTCATGAAAATGCAAGTACAAGAGGATAACGAAAAACCAGAAAACACAGCCGGAATTAAACTTCAAATGAACACATAGATTGAGCAGCGAAGGAATTTTAGGAAGGAAGGAAGTAAATATGAATAATACCATCGTATCTCTCGGCTTGCTCTGCAATTCTAGCAAAGTAAACATGGCGATCTCGCTCCTTCTCCGTATCCATGGTGTCTGCAAAAACCCTATTTTGTGCCCGTCGCCGTCGAGATGGAGAAGAAAGATTGTCGCCGTCGAGAAGGGAACTCCCGTCGCCGTCGAGAAGGTGCGATGGAGTGTGCAGGGTCTTTGGCAGGTGCAGGGGCGTCGATGCAGGTGCGATGAGTGTGCAGGGGCGCCGATTGAGGGTGCGATGTGGGGAAGAAAGGGGGATTGAGGGTGCGATGTGGGGAAGAAAGGGGGAAGAAAGGGGGAAGGGTATTCTAAGTAAAAATGTCTCTGTTCCACTTAGTTCCAGGGGTAAGGAGAGAACACCCGTGTCCCATGCTTGTCCAACTTAGTTCCACTTAGTTCCACATTTAGCCACACCAAACGTAGGACAAATGTGTTCTGTCCTGTCCTGTCCCACCCTGTCCAGCGTACCAAACGCACCCTAAGTAATCACAGTGTGAATTACCATGTACGGGTTCAACATGTGTGGTTGTGAATGGATCTCACAGTTCTCACCGAATGCAGAGTTCTTTCATGAATAACACCCCCCCCCCAAATATATATAGTATGGTGATGATACGCATTGTTATCAGGAAAACAACCAGTGACAACGAAAGCATCATGCTGTGTGCCATCAAATTATATGTGCATGGATCGGATTGAAGCAGTATAACAGTCAGAGATACAACCAAATCAAAACTCAGGCAAATGTACAGACTTATTCAGGTAGCAGATAGTATGCCAAATATATAAAGAGTATTCACAACTCCTCTGACGATTTTCAGTTACCCACGGGCTTTTAGCTCTGCTAGACGCCTAGAAAGGTCATCTTCATCAACCTTCTCGGCGTTCTTCGTTGGCACAGCGTGCGCAGCAGGTTGTGGCAAACCCACCGACACCTCTAGACCATAATCATCTGCCACTTGCTGCATCAAGCTGTTAACCTCTCCTTCCGGAGTCGAGAGAGAAGTGCTTCCAGCCATAGAACTCTCCATGAACTCCGCCTGCACCTCCATATTCACAAACTGTCGCTCAAACTGATCCATCGTCTCCGACATCTTCTGCAAGTTACCCGTCGCTAAGGTTGATTCAAGAGATTTGACTATCGATCCCATAGACTTGCTGATCGTATTCATCTTCGCTTGTGTTTCAAGCCTCGCGACAACGGCGTCGAGGCGAGAGGCTAAACGAAGGTAATTCATCTGTTCGTTACGCTTACGGATCGCGTTTTCGGCGTAAATTCTTGCTCCATCCATGTTACCTTTCTCGATTGCCTTCTTGACTTTGAGTTTCTCGGATTTCTCGTCTTTCTCGCACTTTCTTGCCTGTCGTTGGAGGCTCTTCGCGGTGAACTTCAGTTCCATGATCTGGTTCATCAATTTCTCCGCTTGCCCCATTCTTCTAGGTTCTAGGGTTTCGATTTCGAGAGATCGGAGAAACTGCTAAAATTTGCCCCCTTTTGTGATCTAGGGTTTGGTCTCTTCAATTCTTGGCGATTTTGGCGTATGTCCCGGTGACCGTTATGATTTGTGGTCCGATATGCACCTTGTATACTTTGCGACCAAATTAACAAAAACCGACAACCATTACCATTTCAGGGTCGGATGGGTAGTAGCTTAATGGTTTGGTGCAAAATGATTAAGTAGTCAAAATGATTAAGTGACTTATGATTAAGTAACTCTTATGATATAATGCAAAATGAATTATAACGGTTTGATAATTGTTTACAATGAAATTATGGTGTGAAATGGTTAAGGGTTTTAGAACTATTAGAGACAAATTTTTATGCAAAACAAGATTCACTTCTTAACGATTCAGATGTTGCATCTTAATATAATTATTAAGAAATAAACAAACAGCCTTAGTCTATTTGGTTGTTACTCACAATCAAGTCTCGTTATTTTAAAATAATTGCATTTTTGGTTACTGTGTTTGTCAACTTGTTACACTTTTAATCACTATGAATGGTTTTTATTAAAAAACTTTGTTTAACTCGGGGGCATTTTGCTCATTTATCATTTCGTTATTTTTAATTAAAAATAAAAATAAAAATTATTATGACCAAAGCGTCCATGTGTCTCTTTAACGAAAGGTAGTTAAAAGGACCAAAAGTGTAACAGAATTCCAATCTATACTATCTTATAAAGTATTTGGCTAAAACTCTTAAACTCGTTCATCCCTATCCGATTTCATCCCATATCTGAATTCGTGTAACTAACTGCAGATAAATACAATCAAATACAGGATAAACATCTCATTTTAAATATAAAAAATCTAAAATATAATTACAATAATCATTGAGTTCTAACAGAATACTTAATTATTAT